TTCATATCTGATCACTACCTCGGTTTTCAGATGTTTTTTATGAGTATTTTTATACTACTTATTTAATTTTAGTAGGCAAAGTAATTACTAAAAAATTTACAACGACAATTTCATCCATCAGTACGTAAAAGTAACCAGTATTGTTGAACAGAATCAAATCTAATGAAAGCATATAGAAAAAAGCGTATTCAATATATATATTTGTTCATCTTTTCTAACAAACTTAATCTTGATAAAAATGCAGATTATACAAGTACTCTTCGCTTTAAGAAACTAAGTAAGAGCTTTTGATCTTGAACAGCTTTATTGGGAATGGAAAACATTTATTGATTTTTGTATATCAAGTACAGAACTCACTTGAACGTATACGTACAACGTATTCAATGTTAAAGGGGAATTTGGAAAGGCTAAGATAATGAAAATATTAGTTTCTTCTAAAAGATTTTGATACGTTTTATTGATGAGTTCCAACTAAAGTGAAAACCCAATGAATCAGGTGTTCTTCTTGACTCACTCTGTTAATTACAATATATTACTATAAAATTTCGTCAAAACTGTCATTCTGATAAAATACTTTTCATGAAATCTATCGAATATGTTTATAAGAATATTCGTCAAGATTACAAAGAATAGTTTGACAGAAATTGGGCGCCGAGTATAGAGAAGTCGTTATATATGAAAATTATATTTCAAAGAATCTCGGAGATTAAAATTTAAATAATTCCAAAGTTTCGTCCAGCTAACTTGTCTAGTCTTCTTCAAGGTAATAATCAAAATCAATTCATCAAAGAAATATATAGCTATTAACAATCATTGGTTTAGCAAAGTATAGTTATGATTGTTACAAAAATAAATTTTTCTTTCATGAATTAGACTTTGATTATTACCTTGAAGAGGTGTAGACAAGTTAGTTGGACGAAACGTTGGAATTATTTAAATTTCAATCGCTGAAATTCTTCCAAATATAATTTTCATATATCAAATATGGTTGGTTTAATTCTCATAGTTACTAATATTGCAACAGCCTTTTGTACCGTTATAACCATCTTTTTATACAGAAATCAGTGTTTTTTTTTACAAGATTTAGTGTAAATGAATAAAATACATGATTTGCAGCTAATAACAACACACCAAATCTTGAATTACTTGAATTCTCCAAAAAATGTCTCATTGAAAATTGAACTACTGAATATAATTAAGTAGTCCAAGTTTGTAAACTAAAAATACAAATAAATAAGAGTCTTAAATATGGTCGATACAAAAACGTAACATTAATAATGGCTATTACATTTTTGGTATAGTATAGAATTCTCAGCACAAAGCATTTCAGTGCGTTACCATTTCTTATTTCTTGATCTATGTTGAGTGATCACAAATTAAATTTTAACATTTCATTCAATTGACACGTGATTAATGTATATTCATTTCGATACATATTGCCAGCAACCGTGATATCTTTGATAGGACTCTTTGCTAACTTGTACAGCGAAATGTCGTAAACATTTGACAAACTCGCCTGAATAGGTTATGCGACTAAATGACATAATGATATGTTAAAACAAACAAGAAAACAGATAACTCGTTGAAATAGTCCAGATATTCAAACAGGCCACTTTGATCTTGATCAGATTGAACCATCAATTGAATTCATTTTATAATATTCAGAATTATTTTTTTATTTATGTTTTATATTCAACTTTTATAGATAATGAGAACATTACAAAAAGCCACTTTAACAGCTAATAAACAAAAATCATGTACTAAAGTGATCTTTTCACCGAGGCAAATATTAATTATTTGGGAAAAACGACAAGCTACAACTAATACATCATCAAATGTAGTTGGTGGTAATGCTACCATACAAATGAATACAACATCAGCTGATGTAATTAATACAACTGATTTTTCTAATTCATTTATTACAACATATAATTCAAGCATTCAATCAAATGATACAATACAATTATTCGACTTACAAGCTGGACGTAAGTAGTAGATTTTCATTCTGATTTACTTTATTATAATATTATATATATATGCTCGGATAGATAGATAGATAGATAGATAGATAGATGTGTGGATAGATAGATAGATGTATGGATAGATAGATAGATAGATAGATAGATAGATAGATAGATAGATAGATAGATAGATAGATAGATAGATAGATAGATAGATAGATAGATAGATAGATAGATGTGTAGATAGATAGATAGATAGATAGATAGATGTGTAGATAGATAGATAGATAGATAGATAGATAGATAGATAGATAGATAGATAGATAGATAGATAGATAGATAGATAGATAGATAGATAGATAGATAGATAGATAGATAGATGTGTAGATAGATAGATAGATAGATAGATAGATAGATAGATAGATAGATAGATAGATAGATAGATAGATAGATAGATGTTTAGATAGATAGATGTGTAGATTGATAGATAGATAGATAGATAGATAGATAGATAGATAGATAGATAGATAGATAGATAGATAGATAGATAGATAGATAGATAGATAGATGTTTAGATAGATAGATGTGTAGATTGATAGATAGATAGATAGATAGATAGAAGTGTGGATAGATAGATAGATAGATAGATAGATAGATAGATAGATGTGTAGACAGATAGATAGATAGATAGATAGATAGATGTGTAGACAGATAGATAGATAGATAGATAGATAGATAGATAGATAGATAGATAGATAGATAGATAGATAGATAGATAGATAGATAGATAGATGTGTAGATAGATAGATAGATGTGTGGATAGATAGATAGATAGATGTGTAGATAGATAGATAGATGTGTGGATAGATAGATAGATAGATGTGTAGATAGATAGATAGATAGATAGATAGATAGATAGATAGATAGATAGATAGATAGATAGATAGATAGATAGATAGATAGATAGATAGATAGATAGATAGATAGATGTGTGGATAGATAGATAGATAGATAGATAGATAGATAGATAGATAGATAGATAGATAGATAGATAGATAGATAGATAGATAGATAGATAGATAGATAGATGTGTAGACAGATAGATAGATAGATAGATAGATAGATAGATAGATAGATAGATAGATAGATGTGTGGATAGATAGATAGATAGATGTGTAGATAGATAGATAGATGTGTGGATAGATAGATAGATAGATGTGTAGATAGATAGATAGATAGATAGATAGATAGATAGATAGATAGATAGATAGATAGATAGATAGATAGATAGATAGATTTGTGGATAGATAGATAGATAGATAGATAGATAGATAGATGTGTGGATAGATAGATAGATAGATAGATAGATAGATAGATAGATAGATAGATAGATAGATAGATAGATAGATAGATAGATAGATAGATAGATAGATAGATAGATAGATAGATAGATGTGTAGATAGATAGATAGATAGATAGATAGATAGATAGATAGATAGATAGATAGATAGATAGGTGTAGATAGATAGATAGATAGATAGATAGATAGATAGATGTGTGGATAGATAGATAGATAGATAGATAGATAGATAGATAGATAGATAGATAGATAGATAGATAGATAGATAGATAGATAGATAGATAGATAGATAGATGTGTAGATAGATAGATAGATAGATAGATAGATAGATAGATAGATAGATAGATAGATAGATGTGTGGATAGATAGATAGATAGATAGATAGATAGATAGATAGATGTTTAGATAGATAGATGTGTAGATAGATAGATAGATAGATAGATAGATAGATAGATAGATAGATAGATAGATAGATAGATAGATAGATAGATAGATAGATAGATAGATAGATAGATAGATAGATAGATAGATAGATAGATGTGTGGATAGATAGATAGATAGATAGATAGATAGATAGATAGATAGATAGATAGATAGATAGATAGATAGATAGATAGATAGATAGATAGATAGATAGATGTGTAGATAGATAGATAGATGTGTGGATAGATAGATAGATAGATAGATAGATAGATAGATAGATAGATGTGTGGATAGATAGATAGATAGATAGATAGATAGATAGATAGATAGATAGATGTTTAGATAGATAGATGTGTAGATTGATAGATAGATAGATAGATAGATAGATAGATAGATAGATAGATAGATAGATAGATAGATGTGTGGATAGATAGATAGATAGATAGATAGATGTATGGATAGATAGATAGATAGATAGATAGATAGATAAATTCATAGATTAGAATAGCCATTTTATTTACCTCAATTTCGATAGACATGAGTAGTATCGGTAGCTTTTAGATCGATATAGAATGTTGAATTCAATGCGAAAATTTGATCCATTTTGATCAAAATAAATATTCGTATAAATCTGCTTAACATAAGCTCAATGATTAACATTCTCTCAGTATATGGATTATGGTGAAAAGTATATATCACTTGATTATCTTACAATTTCAACGAGTTAACTTCCTTTATTGATTACCATAGAAAATTCTCGGAGTTCTGGTGAGAAGTCGTGACCAGTGGAGCTAATCCGTGTCGGCTAGAAAGAGGTGTCTACCTCAGTACAAAGGAAGATGGTCACGCAACTTCGTGGATTGGTTGAGGTTAGGCATTAACACCGTTGAATGACGGCTCAGTGGTCCAGTAGATCAAGCGTTCGCGCGCGAGACTGAAGGCCCTGGGTTCGAATCCCGCGAGCGGGATCGTGGATGCGCACTGCTGCGGAGTCCCTCAGTAGGACGAAACGGCCGTCCAGTGCTTCCAGGTTTTCAATGGTGGTCTAACATCAATCGGTTCATGATCTCGATCATAAATAAAAAGGTTTGTCATTATTAACACCTCTAATAGAGTTACTGTGAATTCCATGTTCTAGTAAAGGAGAAAAGTTTGGTTATGGGGTCAGAAATCCCATCCTGTAGAAAAAAAATCACGCTGAAAATATTTTAAAAGAAACGCCAACTAAAATGAGCTACCATAAATGGGGTAACAGGCATAAGTCAGTAAGTAAGTTACACTATTGACAAGTATCATTGTTTCATCTGGGTTTCAATTTAACTAGTACTAGTGTTATATATTTGGACCGCCGATTAGAGGTCAGTGAATTATCAATCGGATCAAGGATGCGCAAAACACATGCAAGCGGCCTAGAAATCTGATTGGCCATGCTTTCCTCCTAGCCCAGCCAGTTAAGTCCAGAACGCCAATCTCAGCCTCTGCAATATGAATCGTTATATTTTAAACATACTGAGTTTATATACCAATCAAACAGACCACAACATAACATAAAATAGAAAATAACATTTGTACCAAATTTGGCCAATTGTGGCTATGAATGTGGGAGGTAGTGACTAATAAACAGGGCATAATTCAAGAATGGTAAAACGTATAATAATGGTTCATAGGTCAAAATCAAGCTCATCATAACAGGAACATGAATATGCAGATAGTTTAGTTATTTAACAATTATACGATAAAAATATACGTATAGTATTGGTCCATCAATAGACTCCATAGTTACCATTCATTATTCTTATCGGAACATAGCAACTAGTCCATAACATCTATCTATAGTCTTAAATGAACTGATCCACTTCAATAAGATTCAAGTCATTATCATTCAACTTTAAGAGATAAAATTGTGATCTTTAAAAAAAAAAAGAAAAAAATATTGATCAACCACTGAATAATAGATCTACGTTAATCCATATGTAATATAATCAATTATCAATCAATGATTTATGATTTTGAGAATATAACATCAATTGATTTATTTTCATTCATCATATTACATGATAGATGATGACCTAATTAACAATTTAGAAGAAGGAATGGAAATTCTAACTATCCAACTGAGCAAAATATGATAATAAATCATCAATTCATTCATATCTAGAGTTGTCAATTATGTTAACAAACAGAATCAAAGAGATTCAATCTGAAACTACTTACTTCGATTCTTATTTACTTACTTACTTACTTACTTACTTACTTACTTACTTACTCACCTACTTACTTACTTACTCACTTACTTACTTACTTACTTACTTATCTACTCACTTACTTGCTTACTTACTTCCCTGCTTACTTACTTACTTACTTACATCTGTTACTCGCAATGGAACATAGACCGCCGACCAGCCTTCTCCAACCCATTCTGTTCTGAACCTTCCTTTCTAGTTCTATACAATTGTTGTTCCTTCTTCTTATATTTGTCTCGATTTCTTAGCGTAATGTGTTCGCTAGTTTTGCTCTTCTTCTTTGGCCTTGAGAATTCTATGTGATTGCTTGCTTTGCAATTCAGTTAGGTGCTTTCCCTTATGTATATCCTATCCATTTCCAATGCTTCTTCCTTATTTCTTCCTCCTCTTGAATCTAGTTTGTTCTCTCCCACAGTTAGTTGTTACTGATAGTGTCTGACCAAGGGATCCGAATTATTTTGCTTAGACAACTGCACGTAGAGCCCCTCTGAAAATACTGCTGGTCGCAAATCCAGATAAGAGGGTTCAGTATGGGTTTAGCATCTCCATTCCGTAGTCTCTAACTAGAAAAATGTTAAACTATACTTATCATAATCTTATTGAATAAAAGTCTAGTATTGTCAAGTTCTTCTTCATAAACAAGAGACTACCTGACACCAAAGACAAACAAACAAAAACAAAAGATGTTTGCTTAAGAACATTGTTCACAATAGTGATCATCTATTTAAAATATCTAGATACTACTTATATACATATATGGTATGCTAGTAGATGATCCATTTCAAATAGACATGGTGAATTAGTAACTAAAAGTTTAACCTATGAAAAAATAAGCATAACACTTGAGGAATTGAAAAGTGAGCAAGCTAATTAAATTCAGCTATGAATTAAGCAAAAAGATTCTTCAGCTAAAGAATTCTTAAACAGAAAAGCTTCAATTCATGAAGGAAAAGAACTCCTGGAAAATTGAAACTTGAATAATAATAATAATAAAATCCAAGTAGAATGGGGATTCCTGTAGATTGTAGTGAATTTTAATAGTTGAATTCATATGTTGATCTATTCAAGACCATCAGTGAATATCTCGAAACAGTGGACGATTGTTTCGTCCCAGTATGGGACACCTCAACAGTAAGCATCTAAGATCCAACATATGAAACTCTAATACAGGACTTTCGGTCACGGGCTTATATGCTTAGTATCTACACTAGTTACCCTACATCCAAAAATATTAATGTCTAATTTCATTCAATTAATGATATTGTGCAACCCATCATCCATTGTCAACCATTGTGTCACACCCTAAAAACGAATACACACTCAAAAGGAGTCCCCTAAACAGTAGGAAACGATTATTCATCGCTTTCTAGTTTTCAATGATAATCTAGCTTAGATCGATTAATAAATGCAAATAAACAAATAATCAAGAAAAAATAACAGAACCTGAAAAATACTGATAGCAACAACACCAAACCAAGAGATGAAATATTTTTTAAGAAAAAAGATATTTCATTCATTTGTTTAATAAAAACTGTTTAATAATACTACAATCTCTATAAGTTATAACAATTAATACATTAAGAAAACGAGCACCCCTTTAAGCAAAACATAAATATAAAATAATCAATTTATATCCATCAATATAAGTAGTTGCTATGGCAATAAACTTTAAAAAATAAACAAAAATGACCTTGAATGTAAAGTAAAATCCAAAAAAAAAACATTCATTCTAAAATATAAAAAAAAAATGACATGACGACAAAAATCAAACGACACCAAAAAAAAACCAACGAAATATAAATAAATTATTTAAGTAAAAGAACATAATTATGATCAAAGCAAACAACAAAAACGTAAAAAACGATAGGCAATGAAACAAAAACCACTAACATAAAAATTTATGTAAATAAAATCAATTACCATTAACAAAATATAAACTTACTTCATTATAGAGACAGTCACAAAAACAAATAACACAACAGCATTTACCAATACAATCATACAAGTAACAACAACACAAACAACAAACGCAACAACAGAGATCATTAGTTCAGATATAAACAACATAACACTATCTACAACACCGTCCACATCTATCAACACGTCCACATCATCGACCAGCATCACAACTCCACCAGTCACACTGAACGCAACCACTCTCCCAACCACCCTCAACACCGCAACCACAAACACCACTACTCTCACAAATACACTCAACGCAACAACAACAACAACAGCAACTACTACTACTACTACTAATACTACTACTACCTCCATCACACCTGCCTCACAATCAGCACCAATCGATTCCAGCACAACTCCCACTATCACCAACCTCACAACTACAACTGGTCCAACTGCATCTACTCTAACTCCATCCACCGCATCAACCACCACTAATCCCAACATTACCACCATCACTCTATCCACTACACCGTCCACATCTATCAACACGTCCACATCATCGACCAGCATCACAACTCCACCAGTCACACTGAACGCAACCACTCTCCCAACCACCCTCAACACCGCAACCACAAACACCACTACTCTCACAAATACACTCAACGCAACAACAACAACAACAGCAACTACTACTACCACTACTAATACTACTACTACTACCTCCATCACACCTGCCTCACAATCAGCACCAATCGATTCCAGCACAACTCCCACTATCACCAACCTCACAACTACAACTGGTCCAACTGCATCTACTCTAACTCCATCCACCGCATCAACCACCACTAATCCCAACATTACCACCATCACTCTATCCACTACACCGTCCACATCTATCAACACGTCCACATCATCGACCAGCATCACAACTCCACCAGTCACACTGAACGCAACCACTCTCCCAACCACCCTCAACACCGCAACCACAAACACCACTACTCTCACAAATACACTCAACGCAACAACAACAACAACAACAGCAACTACTACTACTACTAATACTAATACTACCAGTACCTCCATCACACCTGCCTCACAATCAGCACCAATCGATTCCAGCACAACTCCCACTATCACCAACCTCACAACTACAACTGGTCCAACTGCATCTACTCTAACTCCATCCACCGCATCAACCACCACTAATCCCAACATTACCACCATCACTCTATCCACTACACCGTCCACATCTATCAACACGTCCACATCATCGACCAGCATCACAACTCCACCAGTCACACTGAACGCAACCACTCTCCCAACCACCCTCAACACCGCAACCACAAACACCACTACTCTCACAAATACCCTCAACGCAACAACAACAACAACAGCAACTACTACTACCACTACTAATACTACTACTACTACCTCCATCACACCTGCCTCACAATCAGCACCAATCGATTCCAGCACAACTCCCACTATCACCAACCTCACAACTACAACTGGTCCAACTGCATCTACTCTAACTCCATCCACCGCATCAACCACCACTAATCCCAACATTACCACCATCACTCTATCCACTACACCGTCCACATCTATCAACACGTCCACATCATCGACCAGCATCACAACTCCACCAGTCACACTGAACGCAACCACTCTCCCAACCACCCTCAACACCGCAACCACAAACACCACTACTCTCACAAATACACTCAACGCAACAACAACAACAACAGCAACTACTACTACCACTACTAATACTACTACTACTACCTCCATCACACCTGCCTCACAATCAGCACCAATCGATTCCAGCACAACTCCCACTATCACCAACCTCACAACTACAACTGGTCCAACTGCATCTACTCTAACTCCATCCACCGCATCAACCACCACTAATCCCAACATTACCACCATCACTCTATCCACTACACCGTCCACATCTATCAACACGTCCACATCATCGACCAGCATCACAACTCCACCAGTCACACTGAACGCAACCACTCTCCCAACCACCCTCAACACCGCAACCACAAACACCACTACTCTCACAAATACACTCAACGCAACAACAACAACAACAGCAACTACTACTACCACTACTAATACTACTACTACTACCTCCATCACACCTGCCTCACAATCAGCACCAATCGATTCCAGCACAACTCCCACTATCACCAACCTCACAACTACAACTGGTCCAACTGCATCTACTCTAACTCCATCCACCGCATCAACCACCACTAATCCCAACATTACCACCATCACTCTATCCACTACACCGTCCACATCTATCAACACGTCCACATCATCGACCAGCATCACAACTCCACCAGTCACACTGAACGCAACCACTCTCCCAACCACCCTCAACACCGCAACCACAAACACCACTACTCTCACAAATACACTCAACGCAACAACAACAACAACAGCAACTACTACTACCACTACTAATACTACTACTACCTCCATCACACCTGCCTCACAATCAGCACCAATCGATTCCAGCACAACTCCCACTATCACCAACCTCACAACTACAACTGGTCCAACTGCATCTACTCTAACTCCATCCACCGCATCAACCACCACTAATCCCAACATTACCACCATCACTCTATCCACTACACCGTCCACATCTATCAACACGTCCACATCATCGACCAGCATCACAACTCCACCAGTCACACTGAACGCAACCACTCTCCCAACCACCCTCAACACCGCAACCACAAACACCACTACTCTCACAAATACACTCAACGCAACAACAACAACAACAGCAACTACTACTACCACTACTAATACTACTACTACTACCTCCATCACACCTGCCTCACAATCAGCACCAATCGATTCCAGCACAACTCCCACTATCACCAACCTCACAACTACAACTGGTCCAACTGCATCTACTCTAACTCCATCCACCGCATCAACCACCACTAATCCCAACATTACCACCATCACTCTATCCACTACACCGTCCACATCTATCAACACGTCCACATCATCGACCAGCATCACAACTCCACCAGTCACACTGAACGCAACCACTCTCCCAACCACCCTCAACACCGCAACCACAAACACCACTACTCTCACAAATACACTCAACGCAACAACAACAACAACAGCAACTACTACTACCACTACTAATACTACTACTACTACCTCCATCACACCTGCCTCACAATCAGCACCAATCGATTCCAGCACAACTCCCACTATCACCAACCTCACAACTACAACTGGTCCAACTGCATCTACTCTAACTCCATCCACCGCATCAACCACCACTAATCCCAACATTACCACCATCACTCTATCCACTACACCGTCCACATCTATCAACACGTCCACATCATCGACCAGCATCACAACTCCACCAGTCACACTGAACGCAACCACTCTCCCAACCACCCTCAACACCGCAACCACAAACACCACTACTCTCACAAATACACTCAACGCAACAACAACAACAACAGCAACTACTACTACCACTACTAATACTACTACTACTACCTCCATCACACCTGCCTCACAATCAGCACCAATCGATTCCAGCACAACTCCCACTATCACCAACCTCACAACTACAACTGGTCCAACTGCATCTACTCTAACTCCATCCACCGCATCAACCACCACTAATCCCAACATTACCACCATCACTCTATCCACTACACCGTCCACATCTATCAACACGTCCACATCATCGACCAGCATCACAACTCCACCAGTCACACTGAACGCAACCACTCTCCCAACCACCCTCAACACCGCAACCACAAACACCACTACTCTCACAAATACACTCAACGCAACAACAACAACAACAGCAACTACTACTACCACTACTAATACTACTACTACTACCTCCATCACACCTGCCTCACAATCAGCACCAATCGATTCCAGCACAACTCCCACTATCACCAACCTCACAACTACAACTGGTCCAACTGCATCTACTCTAACTCCATCCACCGCATCAACCACCACTAATCCCAACATTACCACCATCACTCTATCCACTACACCGTCCACATCTATCAACACGTCCACATCATCGACCAGCATCACAACTCCACCAGTCACACTGAACGCAACCACTCTCCCAACCACCCTCAACACCGCAACCACAAACACCACTACTCTCACAAATACACTCAACGCAACAACAACAACAACAGCAACTACTACTACTACCTCCATCACACCTGCCTCACAATCAGCACCAATCGATTCCAGCACAACTCCCACTATCACCAACCTCACAACTACAACTGGTCCAACTGCATCTACTCTAACTCCATCCACCGCATCAACCACCACTAATCCCAACATTACCACCATCACTCTATCCACTACACCGTCCACATCTATCAACACGTCCACATCTATCAACACGTCCACATCATCGACCAGCATCACAACTCCACCAGTCACACTGAACGCAACCACTCTCCCAACCACCCTCAACACCGCAACCACAAACACCACTACTCTCACAAATACACTCAACGCAACAACAACAACAACAGTAACTACTACTACCACTACTAATACTACTACTACTACCTCCATCACACCTGCCTCACAATCAGCACCAATCGATTCCAGCACAACTCCCACTATCACCAACCTCACAACTACAACTGGTCCAACTGCATCTACTCTAACTCCATCCACCGCATCAACCACCACTAATCCCAACATTACCACCATCACTCTATCCACTACACCGTCCACATCTATCAACACGTCCACATCATCGACCAGCATCACAACTCCACCAGTCACACTGAACGCAACCACTCTCCCAACCACCCTCAACACCGCAACCACAAACACCACTACTCTCACAAATACACTCAACGCAACAACAACAACAACAGCAACTACTACTACCACTACTAATACTACTACTACTACCTCCATCACACCTGCCTCACAATCAGCACCAATCGATTCCAGCACAACTCCCACTATCACCAACCTCACAACTACAACTGGTCCAACTGCATCTACTCTAACTCCATCCACCGCATCAACCACCACTAATCCCAACATTACCACCATCACTCTATCCACTACACCGTCCACATCTATCAACACGTCCACATCATCGACCAGCATCACAACTCCACCAGTCACACTGAACGCAACCACTCTCCCAACCACCCTCAACACCGCAACCACAAACACCACTACTCTCACAAATACACTCAACGCAACAACAACAACAACAGCAACTACTACTACCACTACTAATACTACTACTACCTCCATCACACCTGCCTCACAATCAGCACCAATCGATTCCAGCACAACTCCCACTATCACCAACCTCACAACTACAACTGGTCCAACTGCATCTACTCTAACTCCATCCACCGCATCAACCACCACTAATCCCAACATTACCACCATCACTCTATCCACTACACCGTCCCACATCTATCAACACGTCCACATCATCGACCAGCATCACAACTCCACCAGTCACACTGAACGCAACCACTCTCCCAACCACCCTCAACACCGCAACCACAAACACCACTACTCTCACAAATACACTCAACGCAACAACAACAACAACAGCAACTACTACTACCACTACTAATACTACTACTACTACCTCCATCACACCTGCCTCACAATCAGCACCAATCGATTCCAGCACAACTCCCACTATCACCAACCTCACAACTACAACTGGTCCAACTGCATCTACTCTAACTCCATCCACCGCATCAACCACCACTAATCCCAACATTACCACCATCACTCTATCCACTACACCGTCCACATCTATCAACACGTCCACATCATCGACCAGCATCACAACTCCACCAGTCACACTGAACGCAACCACTCTCCCAACCACCCTCAACACCGCAACCACAAACACCACTACTCTCACAAATACACTCAACGCAACAACAACAACAACAGCAACTACTACTACCACTACTAATACTACTACTACCTCCATCACACCTGCCTCACAATCAGCACCAATCGATTCCAGCACAACTCCCACTACCACAAATCACACAACTTCAAGTGGCTTGGCTCTCTTCACATCAATTGTGGTTACTTCATCATTTTCTCTTCCCAGTAGTTATTCAGGTAGGTCCAAATGTTTTTTTTCTCTCTCACTTTTTTTCATGTTTTTTTAGTTTTTTTCCTGTGTTTTTTATTATCTTTTATAGTTTTCGGTGTGTTCTCGTTCTTTTGTTCATCTCGTTTAGTTTTCCAATTTAATATTCATTTTCGCTGACACTATTTTCTAGGTTTTATATAATGGCTATAATTTCATCCATAATCTTCTATTCACCTTAGGATACTCATTTTTAAATGATCATCCAAATGTGTTTTTCTTTCTGGTGGTTTTCAGAAGGGGGTCATGTGTCCATATTAATTATTTAATTATTGATTACATTAATCCATTATAACTAGACTAGTATATCTATCCTGTAAGCACTGAATGACCTGTTGAAATTAAATATTATGATCATTGAATACCATCTCATTAGTTTGTGTTTGAATCCCTCGATCGGTATTATGTATACGTAATGCTAAGAAGTCCCATTATAGGATGTAACGACAGTCCAATACTTCTATGTTTTATATGGTAATCTAGCTTTGATTGATTCATGAATTCAATTGTTACATAAATTTATAGATCATTAATCTTGTTTAATGTATATGACAATATTTTCTATCATGTTATGTACTATTCAATAATTATAAGTAGTATCTTGAGCTAGAATATAATTTCAGAAGAGGTTTTGTGGGTATTATAGTCATTTCAATAGTTGTAATCATGAGACAATTAAAGCTAGACCACTATGAAAAACCTGGAAGCACTGGATGACCGTTTCATCCTATTGTGGGACTCCTCATCAGTGAGCATATTATATAATATAATTATCAAATTTATTATAGAATAAATCACTAACAGAAAAACGATGTTCTTTACAATCGCTCATCGCTGATTTGTTACTATGGAATTTTTTTTTGGTACAAAATAATCCCACCTGAAATAATCGATCACTTATAGGATTTCTATGTACTTCAGTAGTACATGAAATGATTAGTGGTTGGTGTTGTTTCTTTGGTGTATTACTTGAGCATACAAATTTGTTTTTGTTTCTTTTACAAATCATAATCTATGACTTAATCATTTAACCATTCGATCACCATCTGGAATCTTTATTTATTTACTTAGTTGAACACATAAATATTGGTATAAAGGGGCACTTAATAGATATGCGCCAGACAAGTCACTTGATTTGTATATGGTCTGTGATATTGCCCGAGTGCCCAAACAGAAGTAGGTGGTCTTCTCAGGGGGGGGGCACATCTACAGCTCTCGGACTAAAGGTCTGATCCACAAGATAGTGGAGCATCGTAAGGAGATGCAATTCCATGGTAGTCGACGACCAACAATTGGTTCATACTCCATTTGTTCCCTTGGGATCCTAGAGCCCATGTACACCATTGGTTTGAAATCAGTGTTTTCCAACTCTCCTAGGTAAATCCTCTGTGTTCACAAACCCTATTGGGTCGACGAGAAATCACTTTTCATCGATAACAACTGTTTAATAATACACATATAGCTATAGATAGTCTTTACGTTGAATGATAACAGAAAAAGTATAATTGAAGGGAAAAAACGAATTGTCCTATTTTATAATAATCATGTAGTTATATCAGAATTTATAAAATAATAATAATGACAATGAGACTTTAATATAGTATTCATCATCTCAACTAATGATTCCAAATAGTGCTCTTAAATGCCCTGGTACATCTGAGGATGTGGAGAGTTACTTCTCCCTTTTAAAATGCTCTCATATGGTTATGTATATACAGCTACTACAAGGGAACTCTTATTGACTGCCTTCTCGTGGTGGGGATGTATAGAATTCACAGAGCAAAAAAAAGTTTCCCATTTCTTATTTCTTCATCGATCCTAATGATAAATATTGATCGATCGCCAATTAAATGTTAACAGTTCAGTCAATTGATATCTGAATAAGGTATATTCATTTTCAATGTATACTCCTAGTAACCATAATGATTCTAATTTTACTTTTTTTAACTGATTACATTATGTAATGAATTGATATAATGATTCATTGAAACAAATAAAAGATCGATAATTTATTGAAATATCTAGATGATAGGAACTGGTAGCCAAGATATTCAAGCAGTTACCATCCCACCCCCCGCACCCCCATGAAGTTCTAATCAAATACCGTTTAATGTATTAAAGATGAGAATATGTAGGCAACATTTACAGATAATAATAATAATAATAATAATAATAATAATATACAGAAATTCTGATAAATAAACTTGTTCCTGGCACTTGAAATCGTAATTACTATGTAAGTGAGTATATAAGTAGTATAATACCCAAAATAGAAACAACATTAATAAACTGGATGGTAAAACTATGATTTATGTATGACTCAATCAGGTATATGATAACAGGTCTCGAATTTTGGTACGAAAATCACTCATCTATTTGGTTAAATAAAGTTTTGGCATTATAGCTGATGTCAGTTCGTGATGATAACCCTAAATCTAATTCCTAACCTTAATTCTATCAATTGTATATCATAATTTGAATTTCTCACCTTGGTTTATAACAGTCATTTAGTCCTAGTTACTAGATGAATGCTCTCAATGTCATACATGTCTAGTCCATACTAGTTCAGATCGAATGCGATCGACTATGTTGCAATGTGGCCACCAATCTAAGTGACTCGACACTGCGGGCAGTATTGTGAGATTAGATGGTGGTTGGAGGTTGATGGCCACATTGCAACATGGTCGATAGCATTCGATCTGCATTTATAAGGACTAGACAAGTATGACATTGATCACCATCCAGTGATCAATCAATTGTGATTACATCTCAGTCTTATAGGAGGTCGGTCGCAGCCCGGATAGCTCAGTAGTAACGTCTCTGATTGTGGAGCTGGGTGACGCGGGATCGAATCCGTCACTTACACCTTGCTGATGAGTGCCAAGTAGCACAAAACTCGGGTCCAGGGTTTCTTGTCGACTACCTCCAACCACCATCTAATCTAACGATGAAAGCTTCATATTCAAAACCATTCAGCTTAAAGAACAAAACTCCGTCAAAAATGAATTTCAAGTGATATAATTCACTATGAATTGATAATAGAAAATTATCATTACATAACGAGGATTCAGTAATCATATCGTTTACTAATCTTAAAAGTTACCATAGTTCAGACTTATTTTACTGGACAAAAATTTGGTTAATATAAATCAATTAATTGTATTATGCTTAATTACATAGTGAATTTGTAAAATATAAAAGCATACAAACAATACATTGAATACATCATTTACATATCTTCCTTGATTCATCTCCTACAAGGTATATTGTTCTTTCATTTCTGTTATTGTTGAAACTGCTTCTCTTCTTCTTCTTCTTCTTCTTCTTCTTCTCGAGTTCTTCTTTCGTCCGTAAGAATCCTATTTTTCAGATATTGGTGCATACTACTTATATCTATCCGTATAAGTAGTACACATCATTGAGAAATATTCTAAATAACATTCGTTTCAATTCAATTCATATCAGAATTAAGTTAATCTATCGCTTCTGTGCTCTCTAAGCTAAGATCATTTATAGTATAGTGATTATATTGTTTGTTATATTTAAGGAACTTGTTAAGTGTTTTCAGCATGATCGGTTGGTAAAAACATTAGCTAAAAGATATTATCTCATAATTATGATTAATATGGATGGTGTGATCATGGATACACACTGCTGAAGAGTCCCATAGTAGAACGAAACAGCCATCTGGTGGTTTCAGGTTTTTCATGATGATCTAGCTTCAATTGCTTCATGATCTCAACTTGTTTAGCTTGAAGTATATTATGACTGGAGAACAGGTTGATCACATATCTTTCTTAAACAAAACTATTACTTCTGACGTTCGATGAAATTTTAAGTTGGATAGGTTATTCATGCATAAAAGGCTATAGACTAGTTGATCATGTCAACTACACTTTTGCTTAACCAAATTGAATGTTGTTCACAAGTTCAAACATATATATGTTCCTAGATTATGAACGGATGTAATCAGTTCCACAACAACAATTCAAATAACAAATACAAAACGTGACTGCTAATCTGATGTGACTTTTAGAGAAACTAAAGTAACCTATAGAATGTCCACCTACTTACTAGAGTTAAATGAGAGTTAAAAACCTGTAAAGAGAATAAAGATTATTTTCTGATTGAGATCATGAATCGATTGATGTTCGATCACAAATGAAAATATGAAAGCATTTAAACAGTACGTTTTCTTCATTATGGAAATCTTCAACGGTATGCTCACAGGATTCAAACCTAAAACCATTAGTCATACACATGAACGCTTCACCGCTAAACCACTGAGATTGTATCCAAGGATTTAAATGTCTCAATTTAATCAATCCATAAAATTGCGCGACCAATTACCATTGTACTGAGATAGATACCTTTCTCTAATTGACATAGATAAGTTCCACTAATCATGACTTCCCTAAGAAAGATCATCATTTATAATTGATGGTTAGTGTTAGAAATAACATTTAGAGTATTCATTATGAACTGATATCAGTTTGGATGTTGAAATGTTTAAGAATGAATTTCACAGCCTAATTCATAACCTCTTATTGTAAACCTAATTGATTCAACCATAAATTATAATCTTATCATTGGTAGTTGGTAGTTAATCATCATTAATAAATCTTATCTAACTGATTACCATAAATAAGAAACTACTTAAATACCTTTCACTTGGCTACTAATATATAAAAAAAAACCAAAAAAAAAAAAACAAGAAACAAAACACAAGAATAATAATAGTAAAAGATCGGTTGGAAATAGTTGATCGGTGGACAATACTCCATTGTCAGTAACAGAAAGTAAAGTAAAGTAAAGTAAAATATCGAGCGATCGGAAGAAAGGGATGTTAAATCCATTGTGGTATTCAAATGGTGATCTAAAATCAATCGATTCATGATATCGATTATCAAAAAATATTATTCTTTATATACCGAAATACTAACTTACTGACTTAATTGCGCCCGTTACTCCCAATGGAGGATAGGGAGCCGAACATCATTCTCCAACTTACTATGTCCAGGGAATTCTTTTCTAGTTCCATCCAGTACTTGTTCCAATGGATAATACAAAAAAACGGCTAGAAACAACAATAAATAAAAAAAATAAGCTAATAAATGAAATTAATACGAACATATTCTTTATACAAAAACACAGATACAGCGACAACAATGAACTATCAGCTACAAACAACTGAACGAACAAGAACGGCAAATCAAACAGAGATCAATTATACAACGAATACAATAAATTCATTACCACTAACACATTCAATATCCAACACAACATTCACAACACTACCACTGTCCTCTGTAGTGACAACCAATGCGTCCGATTCCCAATTCAACGGATCTACATCACAACTACCAACATCGAATCACATTAATTACACAACGTCATCAACAACACAGTCCTCCACACTAACAACATCACCGTCGGACACCTACACAGATACATCAACTCCACACTCACTACCATCTGTCACACCATCAACAACATACACTCTCTCACAAACCACTCACTCGCCAACTACAACTACTTCACTACCACTCACACTTTCAACATCCAACACAACATTCACAACACTACCACTGTCCTCTGTAGTGACAACCAATGCGTCCGATTCCCAATTCAACGGATCTACATCACAACTACCAACATCGAATCACATTAATTACACAACGTCATCAACAACACAGTCCTCCACACTAACAACATCACCGTCGGACACCTACACAGATACATCAACTCCACACTCACTACCATCTGTCACACCATCAACAACATACACTCTCTCACAAACCACTCACTCGCCAACTACAACTACTTCACTACCACTCACACTTTCAACATCCAACACAACATTCACAACACTACCACTGTCCTCTGTAGTGACAACCAATGCGTCCGATTCCCAATTCAACGGATCTACATCACAACTACCAACATCGAATCACATTAATTACACAACGTCATCAACAACACAGTCCTCCACACTAACACCATCACCGTCGGACACCTACACAGATACATCAACTCCACACTCACTACCATCTGTCACACCATCAACAACATACACTCTCTCACAAACCACTCACTCGCCAACTACAACTACTTCACTACCACTCACACTTTCAACATCCAACACAACATTCACAACACTACCACTGTCCTCTGTAGTGACAACCAATGCGTCCGATTCCCAATTCAACGGATCTACATCACAACTACCAACATCGAATCACATTAATTACACAACGTCATCAACAACACAGTCCTCCACACTAACAACATCACCGTCGGACACCTACACAGATACATCAACTCCACACTCACTACCATCTGTCACACCATCAACAACATACACTCTCTCACAAACCACTCACTCGCCAACTACAACTACTTCACTACCACTCACACTTTCAACATCCAACACAACATTCACAACACTACCACTGTCCTCTGTAGTGACAACCAATGCGTCCGATTCCCAATTCAACGGATCTACATCACAACTACCAACATCGAATCACATTAATTACACAACGTCATCAACAACACAGTCCTCCACACTAACAACATCACCGTCGGACACCTACACAGATACATCAACTCCACACTCACTACCATCTGTCACACCATCAACAACATACACTCTCTCACAAACCACTCACTCGCCAACTACAACTACTTCACTACCACTCACACTTTCAACATCCAACACAACATTCACAACACTACCACTGTCCTCTGTAGTGACAACCAATGCGTCCGATTCCCAATTCAACGGATCTACATCACAACTACCAACATCGAATCACATTAATTACACAACGTCATCAACAACACAGTCCTCCACACTAACAACATCACCGTCGGACACCTACACAGATACATCAACTCCACACTCACTACCATCTGTCACACCATCAACAACATACACTCTCTCACAAACCACTCACTCGCCAACTACAACTACTTCACTACCACTCACACTTTCAACATCCAACACAACATTCACAACACTACCACTGTCCTCTGTAGTGACAACCAATGCGTCCGATTCCCAATTCAACGGATCTACATCACAACTACCAACATCGAATCACATTAATTACACAACGTCATCAACAACACAGTCCTCCACACTAACACCATCACCGTCGGACACCTACACAGATACATCAACTCCACACTCACTACCATCTGTCACACCATCAACAACATACACTCTCTCACAAACCACTCACTCGCCAACTACAACTACTTCACTACCACTCACACTTTCAACATCCAACACAACATTCACAACACTACCACTGTCCTCTGTAGTGACAACCAATGCGTCCGATTCCCAATTCAACGGATCTACATCACAACTACCAACATCGAATCACATTAATTACACAACGTCATCAACAACACAGTCCTCCACACTAACAACATCACCGTCGGACACCTACACAGATACATCAACTCCACACTCACTACCATCTGTCACACCATCAACAACATACACTCTCTCACAAACCACTCACTCGCCAACTACAACTACTTCACTACCACTCACACTTTCAACATCCAACACAACATTCACAACACTACCACTGTCCTCTGTAGTGACAACCAATGCGTCCGATTCCCAATTCAACGGATCTACATCACAACTACCAACATCGAATCACATTAATTACACAACGTCATCAACAACACAGTCCTCCACACTAACAACATCACCGTCGGACACCTACACAGATACATCAACTCCACACTCACTACCATCTGTCACACCATCAACAACATACACTCTCTCACAAACCACTCACTCGCCAACTACAACTACTTCACTACCACTCACACTTTCAACATCCAACACAACATTCACAACACTACCACTGTCCTCTGTAGTGACAACCAATGCGTCCGATTCCCAATTCAACGGATCTACATCACAACTACCAACATCGAATCACATTAATTACACAACGTCATCAACAACACAGTCCTCCACACTAACAACATCACCGTCGGACACCTACACAGATACATCAACTCCACACTCACTACCATCTGTCACACCATCAACAACATACACTCTCTCACAAACCACTCACTCGCCAACTACAACTACTTCACTACCACTCACACTTTCAACATCCAACACAACATTCACAACACTACCACTGTCCTCTGTAGTGACAACCAATGCGTCCGATTCCCAATTCAACGGATCTACATCACAACTACCAACATCGAATCACATTAATTACACAACGTCATCAACAACACAGTCCTCCACACTAACACCATCACCGTCGGACACCTACACAGATACATCAACTCCACACTCACTACCATCTGTCACACCATCAACAACATACACTCTCTCACAAACCACTCACTCGCCAACTACAACTACTTCACTACCACTCACACTTTCAACATCCAACACAACATTCACAACACTACCACTGTCCTCTGTAGTGACAACCAATGCGTCCGATTCCCAATTCAACGGATCTACATCACAACTACCAACATCGAATCACATTAATTACACAACGTCATCAACAACACAGTCCTCCACACTAACAACATCACCGTCGGACACCTACACAGATACATCAACTCCACACTCACTACCATCTGTCACACCATCAACAACATACACTCTCTCACAAACCACTCACTCGCCAACTACAACTACTTCACTACCACTCACACTTTCAACATCCAACACAACATTCACAACACTACCACTGTCCTCTGTAGTGACAACCAATGCGTCCGATTCCCAATTCAACGGATCTACATCACAACTACCAACATCGAATCACATTAATTACACAACGTCATCAACAACACAGTCCTCCACACTAACAACATCACCGTCGGACACCTACACAGATACATCAACTCCACACTCACTACCATCTGTCACACCATCAACAACATACACTCTCTCACAAACCACTCACTCGCCAACTACAACTACTTCACTACCACTCACACTTTCAACATCCAACACAACATTCACAACACTACCACTGTCCTCTGTAGTGACAACCAATGCGTCCGATTCCCAATTCAACGGATCTACATCACAACTACCAACATCGAATCACATTAATTACACAACGTCATCAACAACACAGTCCTCCACACTAACAACATCACCGTCGGACACCTACACAGATACATCAACTCCACACTCACTACCATCTGTCACACCATCAACAACATACACTCTCTCACAAACCACTCACTCGCCAACTACAACTACTTCACTACCACTCACACTTTCAACATCCAACACAACATTCACAACACTACCACTGTCCTCTGTAGTGACAACCAATGCGTCCGATTCCCAATTCAACGGATCTACATCACAACTACCAACATCGAATCACATTAATTACACAACGTCATCAACAACACAGTCCTCCACACTAACAACATCACCGTCGGACACCTACACAGATACATCAACTCCACACTCACTACCATCTGTCACACCATCAACAACATACACTCTCTCACAAACCACTCACTCGCCAACTACAACTACTTCACTACCACTCACACTTTCAACATCCAACACAACATTCACAACACTACCACTGTCCTCTGTAGTGACAACCAATGCGTCCGATTCCCAATTCAACGGATCTACATCACAACTACCAACATCGAATCACATTAATTACACAACGTCATCAACAACACAGTCCTCCACACTAACAACATCACCGTCGGACACCTACACAGATACATCAACTCCACACTCACTACCATCTGTCACACCATCAACAACATACACTCTCTCACAAACCACTCACTCGCCAACTACAACTACTTCACTACCACTCACACTTTCAACATCCAACACAACATTCACAACACTACCACTGTCCTCTGTAGTGACAACCAATGCGTCCGATTCCCAATTCAACGGATCTACATCACAACTACCAACATCGAATCACATTAATTACACAACGTCATCAACAACACAGTCCTCCACACTAACAACATCACCGTCGGACACCTACACAGATACATCAACTCCACACTCACTACCATCTGTCACACCATCAACAACATACACTCTCTCACAAACCACTCACTCGCCAACTACAACTACTTCACTACCACTCACACTTTCAACATCCAACACAACATTCACAACACTACCACTGTCCTCTGTAGTGACAACCAATGCGTCCGATTCCCAATTCAACGGATCTACATCACAACTACCAACATCGAATCACATTAATTACACAACGTCATCAACAACACAGTCCTCCACACTAACAACATCACCGTCGGACACCTACACAGATACATCAACTCCACACTCACTACCATCTGTCACACCATCAACAACATACACTCTCTCACAAACCACTCACTCGCCAACTACAACTACTTCACTACCACTCACACTTTCAACATCCAACACAACATTCACAACACTACCACTGTCCTCTGTAGTGACAACCAATGCGTCCGATTCCCAATTCAACGGATCTACATCACAACTACCAACATCGAATCACATTAATTACACAACGTCATCAACAACACAGTCCTCCACACTAACAACATCACCGTCGGACACCTACACAGATACATCAACTCCACACTCACTACCATCTGTCACACCATCAACAACATACACTCTCTCACAAACCACTCACTCGCCAACTACAACTACTTCACTACCACTCACACTTTCAACATCCAACACAACATTCACAACACTACCACTGTCCTCTGTAGTGACAACCAATGCGTCCGATTCCCAATTCAACGGATCTACATCACAACTACCAACATCGAATCACATTAATTACACAACGTCATCAACAACACAGTCCTCCACACTAACAACATCACCGTCGGACACCTACACAGATACATCAACTCCACACTCACTACCATCTGTCACACCATCAACAACATACACTCTCTCACAAACCACTCACTCGCCAACTACAACTACTTCACTACCACTCACACTTTCAACATCCAACACAACATTCACAACACTACCACTGTCCTCTGTAGTGACAACCAATGCGTCCGATTCCCAATTCAACGGATCTACATCACAACTACCAACATCGAATCACATTAATTACACAACGTCATCAACAACACAGTCCTCCACACTAACAACATCACCGTCGGACACCTACACAGATACATCAACTCCACACTCACTACCATCTGTCACACCATCAACAACATACACTCTCTCACAAACCACTCACTCGCCAACTACAACTACTTCACTACCACTCACACTTTCAACATCCAACACAACATTCACAACACTACCACTGTCCTCTGTAGTGACAACCAATGCGTCCGATTCCCAATTCAACGGATCTACATCACAACTACCAACATCGAATCACATTAATTACACAACGTCATCAACAACACAGTCCTCCACACTAACAACATCACCGTCGGACACCTACACAGATACATCAACTCCACACTCACTACCATCTGTCACACCATCAACAACATACACTCTCTCACAAACCACTCACTCGCCAACTACAACTACTTCACTACCACTCACACTTTCAACATCCAACACAACATTCACAACACTACCACTGTCCTCTGTAGTGACAACCAATGCGTCCGATTCCCAATTCAACGGATCTACATCACAACTACCAACATCGAATCACATTAATTACACAACGTCATCAACAACACAGTCCTCCACACTAACAACATCACCGTCGGACACCTACACAGATACATCAACTCCACACTCACTACCATCTGTCACACCATCAACAACATACACTCTCTCACAAACCACTCACTCGCCAACTACAACTACTTCACTACCACTCACACTTTCAACATCCAACACAACATTCACCACACTACCACTGTCCTCTGTAGTGACAACCAATGCGTCCGATTCCCAATTCAACGGATCTACATCAGCAACTACCAACATCGAATCACATTAATTACACAACGTCATCAACAACACAGTCCTCCACACTAACAACATCACCGTCGGACACCTACACAGATACATCAACTCCACACTCACTACCATCTGTCACACCATCAACAACATACACTCTCTCACAAACCACTCACTCGCCAACTACAACTACTTCACTACCACTCACACTTTCAACATCCAACACAACATTCACAACACTACCACTGTCCTCTGTAGTGACAACCAATGCGTCCGATTCCCAATTCAACGGATCTACATCACAACTACCAACATCGAATCACATTAATTACACAACGTCATCAACAACACAGTCCCTCCACACTAACAACATCACCGTCGGACACCTACACAGATACATCAACTCCACACTCACTACCATCTGTCACACCATCAACAACATACACTCTCTCACAAACCACTCACTCGCCAACTACAACTACTTCACTACCACTCACACTTTCAACATCCAACACAACATTCACAACACTACCACTGTCCTCTGTAGTGACAACCAATGCGTCCGATTCCCAATTCAACGGATCTACATCACAACTACCAACATCGAATCACATTAATTACACAACGTCATCAACAACACAGTCCTCCACACTAACACATCACCGTCGGACACCTACACAGATACATCAACTCCACACTCACTACCATCTGTCACACCATCAACAACATACACTCTCTCACAAACCACTCACTCGCCAACTACAACTACTTCACTACCACTCACACTTTCAACATCCAACACAACATTCACAACACTACCACTGTCCTCTGTAGTGACAACCAATGCGTCCGATTCCCAATTCAACGGATCTACATCACAACTACCAACATCGAATCACATTAATTACACAACGTCATCAACAACACAGTCCTCCACACTAACAACATCACCGTCGGACACCTACACAGATACATCAACTCCACACTCACTACCATCTGTCACACCATCAACAACATACACTCTCTCACAAACCACTCACTCGCCAACTACAACTACTTCACTACCACTCACACTTTCAACATCCAACACAACATTCACAACACTACCACTGTCCTCTGTAGTGACAACCAATGCGTCCGATTCCCAATTCAACGGATCTACATCACAACTACCAACATCGAATCACATTAATTACACAACGTCATCAACAACACAGTCCTCCACACTAACAACATCACCGTCGGACACCTACACAGATACATCAACTCCACACTCACTACCATCTGTCACACCATCAACAACATACACTCTCTCACAAACCACTCACTCGCCAACTACAACTACTTCACTACCACTCACACTTTCAACATCCAACACAACATTCACAACACTACCACTGTCCTCTGTAGTGACAACCAATGCGTCCGATTCCCAATTCAACGGATCTACATCACAACTACCAACATCGAATCACATTAATTACACAACGTCATCAACAACACAGTCCTCCACACTAACAACATCACCGTCGGACACCTACACAGATACATCAACTCCACACTCACTACCATCTGTCACACCATCAACAACATACACTCTCTCACAAACCACTCACTCGCCAACTACAACTACTTCACTACCACTCACACTTTCAACATCCAACACAACATTCACAACACTACCACTGTCCTCTGTAGTGACAACCAATGCGTCCGATTCCCAATTCAACGGATCTACATCACAACTACCAACATCGAATCACATTAATTACACAACGTCATCAACAACACAGTCCTCCACACTAACACCATCACCGTCGGACACCTACACAGATACATCAACTCCACACTCACTACCATCTGTCACACCATCAACAACATACACTCTCTCACAAACCACTCACTCGCCAACTACAACTACTTCACTACCACTCACACTTTCAACATCCAACACAACATTCACAACACTACCACTGTCCTCTGTAGTGACAACCAATGCGTCCGATTCCCAATTCAACGGATCTACATCACAACTACCAACATCGTCTCGCTCATATGACATGAAATCTTCATCATCTTTTTCCATTCCGTCTTCTACTGTACCTGTTGATGTTTCTTATTCTGCTCTGTTGAATCCTCTTAATGCTGAAATTTACACTGTTCAACATATCACGTCAGCTAATATTTCAGTTTTCATGGAACCTTCCATTTCATATCCAATCACTTCATTTTCGCAATCCACCGTCAGTTCATTGTCTAGTACTATTCCATATATTTCATCTGTCCTATCACATAACTCCTCTTTTTTGGCCGTTACCTCAACTACTGTTCGTGATCAATCATTTGCTTCTAGTGAGTTATTTTGTAACAGCTTCGTATCCTGTTATATATATGCTTGCCATGCTTTGCTCTTTCATACTGACTTCATTATAGCTTATAGCTTGTTTTGTTTTGATTTATGTTTCAAGTAGAATGTTTTGTTTGGTTTAATTATATCTCCATTTATTACATTATTTACAATTTATCAGTAGTCATGTGTTACCATTTGTTTCGTCTGACCTATTCAATGTTGTTTAATTACGTTTATTTTAGGACACTTTCATATAAACAAATGGCTATCTACTGTTATTAGTTCAGGTCCATAGAAAACATTTTACCTCATTTTTATATCATCAGTCTATCAATTTTTCCAATCTTGATTATCAATCTTGCTTCTAGAATTAGAGTTTCTCATATTAATCAGACATTATTAACATCATGACCCGAACTTAGCTAAACAACGACTGAAAATCAAGTGGGATTTCATTTGAGTATAAGACTCTGCTTTAATACATATATATATATAACCCTACAGGAAACATGACCTAGAACCTGTAGTCTCGTAACTTACTTACTTACTTACGCCTGTTACTCCCAATGGAGCATACGTCGCCGACCAGCATTCTCCGACCCACTCTGTCCTGGGCCTTCTTTTCTAGTTCCATCCAATTCTTGTTCAGTTTTCTCATGTCTATCTGCGGTTCCCGGCGTAATGTGTTCTTTGGTCTTCCTCTCCTCCTTCGGCCTTCAGGATTCCATGTGAGGGCTTGTCTTGTGACGCAGTTGGGTGCTTTCCTCATTTTGTGTCCTATACACTTCCACGTCTTCTTCCTGATTTCTTCCTCCACTGGGATCTGATTTGTTCTCTCCCACAGTAGGTTGTTTCTAATAGTGTCTGATCAATGGACCGAAAATATTTTGCGTAGACAACTATTAATAAACACTTGTATATTCTGGATAACGGGTTTCGAAGATCTCCAAGTTTACGCCCCATACAGTAGAACTACCTTAACATTTGTATTGAAAATACTGACCTTGGTGTTAGTTGTCAATTGTTTTGAGTTCCAGATATACTTCAGTTGTAAATATGCTGCTCTTGCTTTGCCAATCCGTGCCTTCACACCTGCATCAGATCCACCGTGTTCATCGATGATACTTCCCAAATATGTAAAGGTTCTGACATCTTCCAAAGCTTCTCCGTCAATTGTGATTGAATTGGTGCATGCTTTGTTGTATCGGACTAGTGTTGGTCTTGAAGACCTGGGTGCGTGACCGCAGAGCCCAAGGGACAACTGCTTGAGGCCGGTCGTGCACGGTCTTTTTGTGGGAGGTTTTTAATGTGTTAGATCCGTTCTTCAAAGGGCCTTACCGCCGGAGACGGAAATCCGTGGGGTAAGGTGAGGTGTGACATTTTTAGGGTCAACCTCTTCTAACCCCTTCCTTCCTTGTGAGAAGGCAGCATAGCTGTAGATGCTGGTCGTCGGAGGGAAAAATCTTACTGCCGTCATGCCCCTCTACAGTCAGCAGTACGACGTCGCCCTCAAACCTTGAGTTGATGCTTTTAGTCTTACCGTTCTCCAATCGATCTGCCTAGCATGGTAGAACCTACAGGGAAATATGTTCCAGCCAATATAACTTGGTTGCGTCATCACGATAGGCAAGACCGACCACCACGTCTAAGTAGCAGCTACAACCGGGGCGTGTACGATAAAAGAGCCAGATCATCTGCAAAGTCTAGGTCGTCCAGATGCTTCCTAGTTGTTCACTGAATCATATGCTCCCCCCCAGATGTCAACGTCTTCATGATCCAGTCGGTCTCCAGGAGAAAGAGAAAGGGTGAGAGTAAGCAACCTTGCCTGACACCGGTCTTTACCTCGAACGAGTCTGTTAATTGTCCTCCATGAACGATTTTGCAGTTTAATCCATCATAGGAATTCTGTATGATATTGACTATCTTCTCAGGCACGCCGTAGTGCCGAAGAAGCCTCCATAATGTTGTTCTGTCCACACTGTAAAATGCTTTCTCGTAGTTAATGAAGTTGATGTAGAGTTATAAACTCCATTCACTTGATTGTTTCACGATGATCCGTAGTGGTGCGATTTGGTTTCTACACGGTCGATCCTTACGGAGTTCAGCCTGTTGTTCTCGAAGTTGGGCGTCTACGGAGTCCATCATCCTATTTGACAATACCCTGTTGAAGACTTTTGCAAGTATCTAGAAAAGAGAGATGCCTCTGTAGTTATCACAGTTGCTGAGATCGCCTTTCTTTGCTATCTTGATCAGGTGTCCTTCTTTCCAGTCTGTTGATACTTGTTCTTCATCCTGAATCTTGCTGAAGAGAATGTGGAGTATCCTTGCAGTTACTGCTACATCTGTTTTCAGTGCCTCTGCTGGAATGTTGTCTGGTCCTGCTGCTTTAACACTGTTGATTTGTCTGTTGGCCATGCTGATCTCTTCAATTGTTGGTGTGCCAACATCGATTGGGAGGTCTCTGAGTGCTGCTTCGATTCAAAAGTTCTTCGAAGTGTTCTACCCACCTGTTTCGTTGTTCTTCAATGTTGGTGATTACTTTGCTCTCCTTGCTTTTTCACTGGTCGTTCTGGTTTTACGGTGATTTCTAGCAAGTTTCTTTGTTGTGTCATACACTTGTCTTGTGTTTCCTTCTCTTTCAGCCTTTCCCGCAGTCATTACTAAATCTTTCACATATTCACGTTTGCCGGTTCTGATGCTCCTCTTCACTTGTTTGTTTACTTCTGTGTATTCAGCTTGTGCCTTGGATTTCTCTGCTCTTGTTCAGCTGGTATTGATTACTGCCTTCTTGTTCCTCCTTTCTTGAATATTATCCACTGTACCAACAGCGATCCATTCCTTGTGATGGTGCTTCTTGTGGCCCAGAACCTCATGACATGTTGAAGTGATTGCCTCCTTTATCTCTTTCCAGTTGCTCTCCTTAGTAGTTCCCTCTCCATTGAGTAGCTCATGAAAGGCCTGGATCCTATTGCCGAGGACTATCTTGAATTTGTTGAGTTTGTCAGAATCCCGAAGAAGAGCAGTAATAAACTTTTGTGATGTTATCCGCCCCATTGCCCAGTGCTTCTTGAGTTTCAATTTCATCTTGGCGACCAGCAAGTGATGATCTGATGCTATATCAGATGTTCTTTTGATTCTCACATCAAACATCGTCTTTCTGAACTTTTCGTTGATGTAGATATGGTCGGTTTGGTTCTGCGTAGTGTGATCCGGTGAAGTCCATGTGTTTTTGTGCATGCGTTTGTGTGGGAATATAGTCCCGCTTATAACCAATTTATCAAAGGCACATAGGTTTGCAAATCTCTCACTATTTTTGTTCCTTTCTACCAGTCCGTGTCGTCCCATGATCTCTTCATATCCGGTGTTGTCCATCCCAACCTTGGCATTTAGATCTCCTATCAGAATGGTCAAGTTCTTTGTTGAACACTTCTCGGCGATTGACTGCAGTCTATCATAGAATTAGTCTTTACCGTCTTCATTGTAGTCGTTGGTAGGCGCATAGCATTGGATGACGTTCATTGTGAAGTCCTCTTTCTTTGTTCTGAAGGAGGCTTTGTCATCCTTTTTCCATGAGATTTCCATTTTATAAGTGCATTTTATGCTTGTTTGGGAGGCATCAATGTAGCTCCTTGTGTATGTGAGGCATTTTCTTCTTCGAAGCTGAAGTATAGCAGAAGCTCCCCTTAAGCTATTCGTTGTTGTCCAACTTGCGTCCAATATGTTTCACTGATCTCAAGCACCTCTAAATTGTATCTCCTCATTTCTGAAGCAATTTGGAAAACTCTCCCAGTCTCCCACATTGTGCTAGCATTCCATGTACCATAATAAATGGTTGCTCTGATTGTCAGAAGGGGCATCGGCCTCGTGACTTCCGAAGAAACTCGTCTTTCATCATGAGGCGTCATAGCTCTTCTAAACGAAGACCTCCTGACTCCCAGGGCAGAGTTTAAATGGTTTGAATAATTTTTTCTGGTTAACATTTTTTAGCGAGTTAGTTTTCTACGGGATGGGGTCGCTAACCCTATGCCCAACCCTTCTCCTTTATCCGGGTTTGGGACTGTCAGTAGCCCCCCGAAAAGGATTCCAGGTGGAGTTATAGTCTCGTAAGCAATCATATAACATATAGACTACTGAGATGAAATTCAATAGTGTTCATATCTAACTTAAGTTGATTTGCAATATTGTCCAACCATTTTTTATTATCATCTATTGTTGAACACTTCAAATCTGATATATTTGAACTCTATTAGACATAACTTCTCACCAGTACTGATTGCTTTTCGACAATAGTTCAACTATGGTTTCTTACTTCACTAAACAACCATTTCATCTTGAAGAGTTCCACAATAGAATGAAAAACGGTAGTTCAATGTTTCCAGATTATCCATAATAGTCTATACATATATATTGTTAAATATCTTAATCATATATTCATTGGTGAAAATAATAATACTGATTATGAATACTATTTAACTAATCTCAGTATGTAATGTTTATAATCCTTAATATAACTAACTATATGGTATATTAATATATGATTATGCACAAGAGTTTGATTATTATACATTCTAATAGTTGAAATCATGAATCAATTGAAGCTAGACCACCATGGAAAACCTGGAAGCACTGGACGTCCGTTTCGTCCTAGTATGGGACTCCTCAGCAGTGCGCATCCACGATCCCGCACCCCGCGGGATTCGAACCCAGGACCTTAACACCGTTGGATGCTGGCTCAGTGGTCTAGTTGGTTAAGCGCCTGGCGCGAGACCGATAGGTCCTGGGTTCGAATCCCGCGGGGTGCAGGATTGTGGAGGAGGAGTCCCATACTAGGACGAAACGGCCGTCCAGTGCTTCCAGGTTTTCCGTGGTGGTCTAGCTTCAATTGACCCATGATTTCAACCAGTGAAATTACCAATTCTCCACAAAACCCATTCTAGTATTATACATTCTGTACATTTACTGGATAAGTGAATTATAGATTATGACTGAAATCATTTATAATCTTCTATTAGATAATTAAAATAATACACTCTCTAATAATCACCATTTTTATTGTACTGAATAAGTGTATTACACAAAAACATTAATTAATGTTAAATTATATACAGAGTGGTGATTTAAACGGTTCTATATTCCAGATTCGAAACCCTGTCTTATCGATTTTTTCGATTTTTATAACTATCTAGTATATTATTAAGCTTTATTATAATGTATATTTATATGATATGTGATTTTATTAGAATTTTCATTTCTATTCATTTATTATGTAATTGTTTTTACTTAATATTTACTTTAGTATTTAGTTCAACACTATTTACTTATACTTGTTATCCTTTATGGAGGAGTAGAGTTTAGATGAATTTGTGACTTTTGAAGAAACTTAGCTTTTATCATGAGACATCATAACTCTTCTGAATGAAGACTTTTTAACTCCTAGGGCAAAGTTTAAATGGGTTTACTGATTAGTTTGTTTTTTTGTTTTTTTTTAACGAGTCGGTTGTCTATGGCATGGGTTCACTAACCTCATGCCTAATTGTCCTGCTTTATCTGGGCTTGGGACCGGCAGGTCATAGACAGAGTTAAATATACACAATCTCATTACTAAGCATTAAAGTGATAACAATACACTATGGTTGATCCGATCAATACAGTGAAACTTTCAATCAATCAATTTCAAACATCAATATAAAGTTAACAAGAAAATATCAAAGGAAATTACATCAATCAATTAAAACAAAGTTGAAATGATGATAATAAATTAACTGAAGATCCAGTAATTAATCTTTATTTATTAAAACAATATTCTGATGAACAAGTCTTAATCATGCAAGTAAAATTACTGTTTACAATCTATAATCATACTACTTAATCTTAGTCAAGATGATACATTTTAACTATACATAGATATATTACTTATATTGTTTATAAGTAGTTAAAAATTATACGCTAAATCTATTCACAATATAAAGTATGTGGTTTTTATTTGTTTGATAGAAAAAAAGTGAGTGAAATGCCTATTAGACTTGATAATGTTTTAAAATTCTAAATAGATTTGTTTTAGGTTGAATAATATTGTTTTCTTGTATCTACCCATTGTTGTTTAGGATTGCAATTCATCAATGTCTTGTTGGTAAATGTGTATTCTATTCGGATTTCCCCGATATTGCCATAATTCATAAGCTTTATAAACAAAGATGGATGGTGGATAGTAGTGGAATTCAGGATGTACGCTACTTTATCCTAGTTGAGACTCTTCAGCCGGATATGCCCGCATCAATTGCAATCCTAAATAATAATTGGAAGATACGAGTAAACAATATCAAGTGAATTTAAACTTCAACCCATTGCACAAACAGATTGCTATTGAGAATCATTATCTAAGTGGATAACGTGATGATATTTGAAGCGAACAGTATTGAATTCGAGTCTCTGAGTGAATATCAACTCTTGAATGCAGAGGTATAAAGTGGCGCACCCCCCCCCCCGTAATACACTACTAACCATCATCCATCTATCCTTATGATGCTTATGACTTCATGTAACATCGAGACAATCTGCACAGGATGTATCTATGCCAATTAGAAATTGATCAGTTATAGTCCTAAACATCAATGGGAGGATTCAAACAACCAATGCAAACATATATTATTATTATTATTGTTGTTGTTGTTATTATCCAGCCAAGTGATTGACAGGTGTTTCTTCCGTTTCAATAACGATGACAACAAATAATGATTGTATATACACTAGAAATAGATTTTCTAAAGTATCCTGAATTATGGCAACAGATTAATTGACGTGATCAGTTGTGTAATTTAAGCATATTGAATTGGACAGTATTCGAGATAAAGTATTGAATGACATAATTTATATGCTTAGCCTAACAGATACATAATTAGACTACTGAATTCCATAATGATTTGTTGTTAAAACATTTGTAATGTAAACCATCTAAAGAAAAGTATGATTTAGATTGAACCTGTATAATTTATATTATCTAATTGTAACAATATGTTTTACCTTAAACTAGGAGAAATTTTACCTACTACTTCTACTCCTACTTCTGCTACTCAGTCAACAATAACGGCACAACCACAGGCAAACACGTTATCGACAACAACAACAACAACAACAACAACAACAAAAACAACAACACCAGCCTATGATGGAGTTCCTACATATAGTTTTGTTGAATTTTCTCTGGCAACGAGACCATCAACGGCAATCGCACCGGTTATGCTACCACTTGGTTAGTTAACTTGTACAAATTTTATTGATTAAGAACTGTTTAAAACAATATTTATGTTGACTGATTGAAATAGATGAATCAGATAGTATGACCGGGATTATAATAATAATAATAATCAATCAATCAATGATACTGTTTGTTGACAATAGTGTCTTCATTGAACTACATTTTCTATTGGTCGTAGAAGCAAGAGAACAGGCGGTAAATAATAAAAACTGCAACCCCTTTTGATGCCATTTTTTAATGATTGTACCTGTTAATGCTCGAACTTTCAGTGTGAATCATTAAAACTATATGATTCTAGTCAGTGAGTCAGTAACTTGATAAAATGACTATCAGTTTACTGAATTATACCTTGTTATAACTTATGGCCTGTATGCCCTGTTAATGTATACGTAATGATACCGCCAATTAGAGAGCAGTGAATGATCGATCGGACCAATGACGTACAAAAAACCCGTACGATCAGTCTAGAGTCTTAATTGGTCCTGTGTTCCGTCTAGCCCAGCCAGTTAAGTTCAGAAGACTTATCTCAGCTTTTGTAGTTCAAATATACTGGGTTTAAATACCAACCAGACAGACCACATCATATCATAAAATGGAAAACAATATTTGTACAAGACTTAGCCAAATGTGGATGTGAATAGAGAACACAGTAATTGATAGACAGCGCATAACTCAAGAATGGTAAATCGTATTATAATAGTTCATAGGCTAAAATAATGCTCATAATAAGGAGGGGGGCATGAATATGGATAGTTTAGTTATTTAACAATTATAAGATAAAAAAAATATACGTTTAATATTGGTCCGTAAATGGATCCCAACAGTTACCATTCATTATACTTATCGGAACATAACACACCTGTTACCTTGCGTGAAACATTGGCTCCAGACCAAGAATCTCCGATATATAAACTGTCTCTAGCCACTTCTATCCAATTGTTTCCAAATCCTATAAACTACTCATATATGAATTCGATTTTGTTATTGGTTATTCAATTCTTACCATTGATATTCTATAACTGTAATTATTCTACCTTTCATTGGCAATATATACATTCTATACAGATTACCTTGATATTACCTTAAGTATATACATGATAACTAGTAGTGAATTCCATAATCCATGCATCGTTTCATCATTCAGGATATACCTTTATCCTACAGTTGTTAATTCACTTCAGGACTCGAACCCAGAAACAATCTATGATATCATTATTATTTTCTCTATTTTAGTTTCTACTAAATTCAATGTTAAATCAAATTTATATAATCAAGTTAATGATACACCAGTTGAATGGATTGAAGAATATTCCAATATAAATTCACCTGGTTATACTAATTTAAAATCAAAATATTGTGATTTAGTATGTTTATGTATTCACTATGTTTATTTGTTTGTTCTTTTTATTACACTACATTGTTACGTAATTGATTACTTTCAGATGATTTACCTATAACTTTGAACTGATATTGTCGCGAAAGCGAACACCAGTAAGGATAATCAACTGTTGGTCTCTAAGAGGTATATCCTGAAGTTCTAGTGAGAAATCATGACCAATGCAGTTCAACTGGGTCTATTGTAAGATAGTAACTTACTGATAATAATGGTGGACGGTAGGGAAACTTCGTGAATTGGTTGAAGTTAGACATTAACACTGTTGAATATTAGCCAGCTCACGCGTGAGACCAAAAGATCCTGGGTTTGAACCACGTGAGGCAGAATCGTGGATGCGCACTGATGAGGAGTCCCACAGTAGGACGAAACAGCCGTAAGATTTGAATAATCAATAGAGAAATGAATTAAAACAATATAAGAGGTTAAGCTCTCATGTTATTCAATATTTATATATAACTAATCAGTCCTTTAGTTCTGATCTGATTCTATTAGTATAAGTAATTCAACAAGGCATGTCAGATTATGGAAGATAATCGGTCGACAAACGTCGCACTAGGTGTCCTGTGATTTACAACCCGGATGTCTCAGCGGTTATATCATCAACTATGAAGCTGCTCAGTTGAGAGTTCGATCCACTAGGAAACATTAGTTCTTTTAAGGCTACTCACTTTCAACCGACCAATATCAAATGAATAGGTCTGAATAACTCATCAGATTAGTTAATAAAGTCATGATTTTGTAGTTGAGCCATTTCCAAACTAACAAAGATTCGAATTAATTCCATTGACCAGTCTTCAATAATAAGATGTATTCATTTCTTAAATATCACAAATGACCACCACTTATATTCCTTTGAAGTATGTTCCTAGAAGTGTTATGAGAAAAAGAATTTACAAACTTAATGATGAATCCAAAGATTTCTCAAATGAGAAATAATGAAATGATTTTGATGGAGTTTTATTCTCTGAGCTGAATGGTTTGATCGTGGAGCTTTCATCGTTCTTCTGAACGACATCATCCACAGCACAAACTTCACATAGAAATGAAGTGTTCGAATTTCTCCGTTGACAGTTCACAGCTTGTCCTGTACACTTCGATGTTCATTGGTTCTTATTGACCTTTAATTTGTCATTGTTTACTTCTTTGTTTTGATTGTATGGGAGATACTTCACTTCCATCTGAAATTTATGCTAATGATGTTGTTCAGAAGAACGATCAAAGCTTCACACCTAAACCATCCAGCTCAGAGAACAAAACTCCATCAAAATCATCCACTTGAACTAAAAATCTTCTCCATCATCTCAATAATAGAATGTTACTATTTGCATCCAATTATAATAACAGTAATTTACTGTTTGTACTTATAACAAGATACATCAAAACATCTCCAACTGGAACTATGGATAAACGATCTTTCTATTCGACACTTGTTATGACCTTGATTTGTCTACCCACTTTTTGGTGCCGAGGATACTTGTCTAATCTAGATTTCGACCTTGATGCGATAGGCTGATTGGCTTAACCTTGAGACTAGTACGCGTGAGTTCGAGATGGGGTAGAGAGAAGCAAAACTATTCTGTCACCTGATTGGTGGGCAAGCACACGAATGAGAGAAAACAAGACAACTGGAACACTACTCGACCTATTTCCTGGCCACTGAACTCACTGGATTCACTGAATTCAGATTAGTGTAAAAAGGTACATGAATAAATAAGCGAATAACCCGACCGCAACGTACAATAATTAGGAAAAATACAATTATGTCCTAAGTTGGGAATTACAGTAGAAAATAGGGTGTAAAAACGTTATGTTTAAATTACAATAGCTTCGGAACAGAAAAAGGTATGGCAGTGAATGATACATCGAACGAAAGCTTATGTTCTGTAGAATAGATTAGGGACAAAAATAAATGTCAGTGTTTTACAAGCTTTGAATAAAATGAAATAACATCCCGAAAAATAGCCTTCGTAGTTTGTCAGGACTTCTTGTTTCTCGGTTCACATCAACACTAATAAACTCCTTGGTTTTCATTAGTACTATATTTGATTCCAATCTCTGAGATAAATAAACTTTAAAAGTTATTATTGCTTAATGTTTTCATCGTATTGTTTCTTTTTTTCCCTGTTTTTCAAACAATATATACATATATTACTAACAACATTAGTTAATATACTACTTAAAACAAGGTGATAACAATGCAGCAGATGGTGCAAGTTGTGAAAAAGTGACTTTTACACCAGTAACTAGTACTAGACCAGATGGTACAATAGTACGAAGTGTACAAGGTGATACAATGATTAATGTACCAACAACAACTGGAACACAACTAACAGGTAGTCAACTTTATGGATTATTTATAAATGGATATAATAAAACTAGTACATCACCATCATCTATTAAACTCAATGCATTAGATGTTCAACGTAAGTAAAATCATTTAAGTTCTACCTTTTTATTATATTTCTGGTGATAGTAGTCTTTATCAGAAGAAGTTTTGTGGAGATTGTAGTAATTTCAATGGTTATGACCATGAGTCAGTTGAAACCAGACCACCATGGAAAACCTGGAAGCACTGGACGGCCATTTCGTCCTATTATGGGACTCCTCAGCAGTGCGCATGCACGACCTCGCCCCTGTGAGATTCGAATCCAGGACCTACTGGTTTCACGCGCGAGCACTTAACCACTAGACCACTGAGCCGGCCGGCATCCAAAGGTGTTAATGTCTAACTTCAACTAATCCACGAAATTGAGTGACACATCCACAATTGTCTTCAGTGGGTTACTATCTCACAACAAACCTGGTTGAACTGTACTGGTGACTACTTCTCACTAGAACTCCAGGATATACCTCTTGAAACCAGTAGGTCCTGGGTTCGAATCTCACAGGGGCGAGGTCGTGGATGCGCACTGCCGAGGATTCCCTTAATAGGACGAAACGGCCGTCCAGTGCTTCCAGGTTTTCCATAGTGGTCTAGCTTCAACTGACTAATGATCTTAACCATTGAAATAGTAGTCTTTATTTGTTATTGAAATTTAAAATCAATTCATTTACATATTACTCAATTAGTTAGTTAGTTAGTTGCTATGCCGAACCTAGTACATGTGTATATCAGTTCAGATTATTATTATAACCCATTAGTATATTGAGATGAAATTGTCAAGGCTAATCCCAGAGCATTAGAGAAAGTAGTAGCAGTATCAATGGTAATAGGAAAGATTAAACAATAAACATTCAATACAAAAGGAAAATATAAATTCATGAGATAATGATAGAAGTTTATGAGGAATAAAGAAACTTAGGATCCAAAGGAAGATGAATAAAACAGTAGAGTAAATGTATCTGAGCTGTTGTGGACAATTTTGAACTATGCCACCTAAAGTTTCAAACCATTGGTCACGAGAAACACGCAGATCCTAAACAGGGAATATATATCTACCAGCGAGACTCGAATTTATGAACGGCCTTTGAATGAATCTTAAGTGACCTTGAGAAATATTAGCTAATCAGAAAGCAGTAAGCATGGAGTAAAAACATATTATCCAAAACCAAAGAAATAAAGTGGATATACTTCTTATACATGGTTCAAAAAATTTATCAAGGTTAGGAAGACGTTCAGAGGTTCTGAAATCGTAATACATTCAGCAGAAAAAATCATCTACACGGCTACAGAATAGTCGGCCTTTGGAGCCATGATCAACTCTCAAAAACTCTTTCAGCCTCGACCACAAAGCCTCAATATCGTTTATATGCACTCTGGTTGTTGAGTGCACAAAATGCTACTTGTGGATAACGACACAATGCACATAACCAAGCTTATGTAGGAGTCTGTACGCTCTGTAAACATCCGTATATATTGTAGTACCTGACTGCAGCCAGTGTTACTGGTGCTTTTATTATCCAGTTCGCAATAATTGTCGTAATTTGCCTTAGTTAGGAATTATATATGGGGTTTTCATCACGAACTGACATCAGCTATAATGCCAGAAATCTATTTAGCCAAATGGATGAAAGACTTTCGCGTCAAAATCCGAGATCTGTTATCATATACCTGATTAATTCGTTCACAAATTATAGTCTTGCCGTTTTACTTGTTATAACCGCTCAATTATTACGTTTTGTACAAAATTTCCTGTGAACCGTTAGTACGTTAGCATTAAACACTGAAGTTGGCGCTGTGACCTTGAAATCTCTCAAACGCTCCTGATTGGCTCATTCATAAATTAGAATCTTACCCTTTATTGTAATTAGATTGCATTATATATTTATCTGTTCCCTAATAACTTCTAGCTAATCATGTTGCTGTTTGCTCACACCTCTACCGTTTATGGTATGGTTGTATTTATGATGTGGTTTCTTATTGAATGTACTGTGTGGTAAAGTATTTCACATATATTATGACATACGTTGAATAGAATATAATGAACAACTAATCAACTTACTATTATCGTTTGCGGATTGACTGCTAGATTATAAGAGACTCGACTACCAATATGCATTTAAGCCTTGATTATGGTTCATTAGTTGATGTGTTTATTCTTGGAACTAATAGGTTACTGGTTCGACTGAGTATATAGTATATAATATTGATTTGAATGTTCAGTTATAATAAATCAGCGTTCCTAAAAACATATCAGCTGTTTCTTTTCTTATCCAACTCTAATCAAACAGTCACGTTCAAATCAATCAACTAAGTTGAATTGTATAATTTACTTCACAAACTGTACTTAGTTAGACATTCAATGGAACACAAGAAATACCCTAGACTAGGAATCGTCATCCATATTAGATAAAAATAACCTCACCCTAGACCAAAACCAGGAATTGTAGGCCTGGTAGTAAGTGATTAACAACTTGATGGAGTTTTGTTCTCTGAGCTGGATGGCTTAGTTGTGGAGCTTTCATCGTTCTTCTGAACGACATCATTCGCATAAATTTCAGATGAAAGTGAAGTATCTTCCGTACAACCAAAACAAAGAAGTAAACAATGACAAATTAAAGGTCAATAAGAACCAATGAACATCGAGGTGTACAGGACAAGCTGTGAACTGTCAATGGAGAAATTTGAACACTTCACTTCTATCTGAAGTTTGTGCTGTGGATGATGTCGTTCAGAAGAATGATGAAAGCTCCACGATCAAACCATCCAACTCAGAGAATAAAACCATCAAAATCATCCACCTGAGCTACAAATCTTCTACACCATGTTTAACAACTAAACCACTGAGACAAAATCAAACTTTACATTTCTCATTTCGATCAATGTGCGATATTACACAACTAATTTTTAATATATTATCAGTGACTGATTGTATTATATTTGACCTGACCAAAATCTTCTTCTTACAGTTTCACATTAGAACACCAAGAAGTGATTCTTGAAATATACCACTGATGAATATATGAGTATGATTAGTAAAAGTGATTTTGTGGAAGTGTTGAATTCGTGATGTAAAGTATAAAACTTATAACTCTTCACAGACCCTTTATACTAGTAAGTTGAAATATGGAAATTAACTATCAGTTACTGAAATTGATGTGTAACCGAGGTAAATAATAGTTGGTTATTTTCTTAGTCAGATCAGCAGAGATAGTCCGCGATAGGTATTAGATGAGTTATATATCCTCTTATTCTTATTATTAGTGTGGTTGTTGTTAGGTTTTGATGTGGAGACATACTTACGTTTTAGTCAGTTTAGTCAAGTATTCTTGATTTGAGCTATGTTGATATACCATAGAATAGACACGGAAACGGTATCTAGTATAGATATTCGTCTATGGAAAATTAACGTTCCATTAGTGTAGACGAGGAAACTTATGCTTGTTACTCCTTGTAGAGGATCAAAGGCTGCCCACCAACACTCTTCATCCAATCCTGTCATGGACAATCCTTTCAGATCTGCTTCTATTTCCCGACGTAATGTGTTCTTTAGCCTTCCTCATTTCCGCTTCCCTTCAAGATTCCAAGTTAGGGCTTGCCTCGTCTTTTCCTAATTTCCTCTTCAGCTTGAAGTCGGTTATAGACTTTGTCAAGTATAACTATCAAACTGATATACTTTGTTTTTATTTGAGTTATAACATTTCTCAATATTGATTTTATCTTTTATTACCATAATAGGCACTTCAGGTACAGTTACATGTTCACAATTTACTAATCCATGTGGAGAACATGCTACATGTCGTGATTCTCCTCCAGGTATTACTTGTTTTTGTAATTCTATGTGGAAAGATATGAATCCAAGTGATCCTGGAAAACAATGTGTTTGTAAGTATGACAGATTTGATTATTCATATTATATATCCATGTGTTTTTGAATCAAAGTTAATTTTGTTAAGTTCATTGTTTTTCATTTAATAACACCAATTGTAAGTATAATATAAAAATATATATAATATTTGATTCACATTGATATGTGATCAATGAATATCTGGAAGCACTTAATGTCCGTTTCGTTCAAGTGTGGAACTCCTCGGCAATGTGTATCCACGATCCAAATACAAGAAATGTGGTCTAGCTTGCGAACGCTTAATTTCTAGACCACTGAGTCGGCATCCAACGGTGTTAATGTCATTGCGACATTGCCCGACCATTTTTGATTGTACTGAAGTAGATACCCGTCTCTACCTGACACAGATTAGCTCCGCTGATCAATTCTCAATGAAAGCATGATATTTAGCTTTTTTTTTCGACCATTTTTCCGTTCATTCAACATGACACTGTTATGTAAGGGAGCAATTTTTAACAGACACCTGATTTTCATCATCTAAAGTTAACTACATATTTTCTTCTATGTACAGTCTACTGTAGCGCATCCCAATCTGCCAGATTTAAAAAAATCAAATGAAGCAAAAGTTAGGGCATGAAATGAAGTCCTCAATGAAAACTATTCTTCTATAGGGTAACATTTACTCATTAAGTTAATGTATAAATGCTAGATCTTCCACGTTTTTTGAACATTTAGAAGCCGATACACCATCAATCCACAGATATGTGACCTGTAACACATTGTAAAGCTAAATAACACTCAATTTTTTCAGACATACATTGTCTTAATAACCTTGGATGGTGATTGAATGAACGCTCAAATAGTAAATGCAATGATGAATTCCTTGAGCTTTATAGATCTAATATTTCGAAAACCTCAATCTTTCACCTGGTATATACCTTATTATCTCATCAGTTAAAAGTATATGCTCAATATCATTAGGATTAACAACCAAAATCGGACAGAATAACTTGATTCCTGGAGTTGTATTCGATCGATATGTCGGTTGATATCAAGAATTCAGACAAAAGATTTTCCAATATTTTTCATCAGTTATCCATTCACAAGTATCTTTAACGAATCTTTCTTAGCTAAAATGTGAAGAGAGATAAAGAATAATCTCAATAACAAAGAAAGTATCCGGTGATAAGAATGTAAAGTTTAGACCCATAGCAATAGCTAAACCTTTTCTTAAAACAATCGGAAAATTATTGTAACTCCTTCTTTAATCTGAATCAAAAGAGTATATGGATTAGATGATGGTTGGAGGTAGTCGACAGGAAACCCTGGACCCGGGTTTCGTGCTACTTGGCACTCGTCAGCAAGGTGTATCTGTAATCTTTGAGGGAACTGGTGCTCCCTGGTATTCTACTACCTCCAACCACCATCAAATCTTACAATAGTGCCCGCAATGTCGAGTCACCTAGACTGGTGGCCACATTGCAACATGATCGATAGCATTCGATCTGCACTAATAATAAGGACTAGACACGCATGACATTGGTCACCCAGTGATCAATCAATTGTGAGTATATAAATTCATATCAGTTTGTATGCAAGTGTAAAAGAAGTACTTTACATCATGCCGTTGTTTGGCATCATAATATATTTTTCAACCTGGAAAAGTATAAGTAGTATGTTCGATGCTTGTTTCTTAACTATGATTCTCTCTTTGATACTATCCCAAAACCACTAGTACTTAATAAGTTCACTGTCGTCAACACTGACAGCTGAATATACCGACTCATTGTGTTCTTACCTGTCTGGAAAAGAACAATACATTGTACTTTGAGGAAGATGTTCAATATCTGTTCTAATTCAATTATGTGTACCATAAGGAGCATCGTTCAAAACTGATACTGATACATAGATATTCTATACGCAAGACCTATACGTTTACTGAATAAGAAGGTTAACAGACAAAGGAGAAACTCATTCAGCTAAACGAAATCATTAGCACACTTTATCAGTTACTTTATTTGTTCAAAATGAACTTCATATCAGTTAACTAATGATTGAAACTCACTGTTGGATTCCCTTCTTTCAATTGTCAAGGAAATGATGCTCAGATTTTAAACATGATATCATTTAAATGTTGTTGTTTATTTTTCTCTCATTTGTGATCACTTGATCTGTAAACTGTTGAGTCGACATCCAACTATATTAATGTTTAACTTCAACAAATTCAAGATATTGTATAACCTTCAGGCATGGCCTGAGAAGAATAACTAACTGACATACAAAACAGACTGAACTCATCTGGTTACGGCTTACATTATTTTATTTTATTTTAACACATAGATATTGGTACAAGAAGACATCAAATATATATGCGCCACACAGGTCTCATTTGACATGTGTGAAGGCTGTGATACTGACTGGGTGCCCAAACCAAAGCAGGTAGTTTTCTTAGGGGGCCACACCCCGAGTCTTCGACCTGTAGATATGATCCACAAGGCAGTGGAGCATCGTAAGAAGATACAATCCGATCGATTGGTTCATACGCCATTTGTTCCTTCAGGATACTGGAGTCAGCTCATGTGCACCATTGGTTTGGAGTCCGGTTAAACCGCCGGACATTCGCTTTTCGTCCTCTCAATTTCGTAAACAACACCGGTGCCACATGAAGGCAGTGAGTAGGACTTCCCTGGCAGAGGCTATATACGCGTGGCCATGTGAGAGCATTTGGAGAGGGAGAGCGGGACCACTTCAATCTTGGCCGTACCAAGGCATTTGGGGGCTACGGCTTACATATTGTTCAATATTAATAATTCACTAGTGACTTTGTATTCGGATAAAAAGCAATTTAAGATAATGATGTCAATTTGAGATTTCCAGTCATTAATTAACAATTCATTTTTGTATCAGATTCATCTTAGTTGGGTTATTATTAAAAACTAAAGAACACTAGGTATCTAATATGACTTGTTGGGTTCAGATAAATTAAAAGTGAAGCTGTTGTATTACCAATGGTATTGAATGACTGTCGAACACATCACAAATTGACTAAAGATGGATGTGTACAAATGGTTGAAGATTCACCACAAGACATAAGGATCCTTAGTTTAGTCCTTGAAAGCATCATAAATGCGTATTGTTCAGGAATCCTATAAAAATAAAAGAAATAAATATCCAGTACTTAGTAATTTGAAATTGAAGCCAGATATCAAAAGACTTAGAAACAACCAGAAAATAAAACACTAGGTTGAACATTCCTGGTAAGTGTACAAAACGTTAGAGGTTTAAATATGTACTTAAGTAAAACTTGACAATTTACAAGATTACTTCCAATTCAAATCAGTCTATGATAAATACAATCGATTGTATTGAATAGAACACCAGTAAGGAACATTCGAATGAATTTCCATCAATTGTCTTAAAATGATTCAAACTTAATTATTCTTACATTTTCATACAAATTGCAAACGGTCTTCATTCTGTACTATTCAATCTTCTTGTCTCTCTACTGCCAAACATTCTGTTCATGACTAACATTATATACTACTTATGTCTATATAAGTAATACACTCAACTATTATGTAATAATATAATCTAATTTATGTAATTAAAAAAATAAAAAAGGATTATTTATATTTTATCTTATATTTTTCTTTATAGTACATCCAGCTGCAATTGCATTAATCGTTTTAGCATCATTATTATTATTGGCTGCATTAATCTTATTACTTATTTGTTTATTACGTAGACGTCGTAGACGGAATAGTTCCATTTTAGCATCAACAGATTTAGTAACATTGAATAAATTAAAAGAAACTAAATCATGGAAAACAAAATTAAATAAAAATAAAATTCAATTTGATGGAGATCAGTAAGTGTTCTGTATAAATTATGAAATAGATGTATACATAGATATATATATGATTATTTCTCCTGGAGAGATTGAGTCACACCTGTTACTCCTCGTGGAGGAGCATAGGCCCCCAACTAGCATTAATTATTTTTTTTTTGGTTAGTGTTTTTTTTGACGAGTTAGTTTTCTATGGAAGGGAGTCGTTAACCCCATGTCTAAACCTCCACCTTTACCCGGTTTCTGGGGCTGGTAGTAACTCTAGAAGAGCTAAAGATGGAGTTGATTATTTTTTTTTAACTTACAGATAATAAATGTTGTGATATATGATATCTGACATTTGGATTATTCTAATTCAAACACAATTATATGAATGATGAATATTCTTTTCAATAATTTCTCATTAAAAGTCGAATCTATAAGTCAATTAAAACTAGACCATTATGGAAAATTTATAAGCACTGGACTCTCCAGTGATAGTGCTCATTCACAATCTCGCTGGCGAGATTCGGATACAGAGCCTATCGGTCTCGTAACCGAACATTTAACGTTTAGACCACTGAGCCGACCGGCATACAACAGTGTTAATGTGTAACTTCAATTAATCCACGAAATTGAGCAACACATTCATCATTGTCTTCATTGAGTTATTATCTCACAACAGACCTGATTGAATTCCATTGGTCAATGCTTCTCACTAGAACTCTAGGAAATACCTCTTTCTTATTAGGTTCTACAATTATATATCCAACTTAATAATCTATAAAATTGGCTAGATCCAAGGCAAAGTACATCATATAAAATTGTAACATGTGAATCAAGAATTGTTTTTCATCGTTAATGTTGGAATCACTAATATGAAGTGTTAGCTTGAATCAGTTGATAAGTAAGAATGAATAATCAGAATAAATATGGTCAATATAAGGTGAAAGCGAAAATTACTTAATATGTAGAATTTTATTTTATTTTATTTTAACACATAAGTATAGGTACAGGGAGGCACCAAATATATATGCGCCACACAAATCTCAATTGATTTGTGTGAGGGCTGTGATACTACTCGGGTGCCCAAACCGAAGCAGGTGGTTTTCTTAGGGGGCTAAACCCCGAGCCTTTGACCTGAACATCTGATCCACAAGGCAGTGGAGCATCGTAAGGAGATGCAGTCCCATGGTAGCCGGTGACCAACGATTGGTTCATACGCCATTTGTTCCCGCAGGATACTGGAGCCCATGTGCACCATTGGTTTGGGATCCGGTTAAAGCGCCGGACATTCGCTTTTCGTCCTCTCATTTTTGTAAACAACACCCCCGCCACGAGAAGGCAGTGAGTAGGACTTTCCTGGCAGAGGCTATATACACGTGGCCATGTGAGAGCATTTCGAGAGGGAGAGCGGACTCTCCCCACTCTCGGCCGTACCAGGGCATTTGGGGGCAATATGTAGAATAATATGGATTAGGTAAGAATTGATGTATGACAACTCGAACCTACTGTGGGAGAGAACAAACCAGATGAAATGAAAAAGAAACGCTGGATGTGGATAGGATACATATTGAAGAAAGCACCCAACTGTATCACAAGGCAATCCCTCACATGGAATCCTCAAGGCCAAAGAAGAAGAGGTAGACCAAAGAACACATTACGTCGAGAAATGGAAACAAACATGAGAAAAATGAACAACAATTGAGTAGAACTAGAAAGTAAAGCCCAGGACAGAGTGAGTTACAGAATGCTGGTCGGTGGCCTATACTCCATTGTGGGTAACAGGCGTAAGTAAGTAAGTAGGGCAAGAATTAGCAGATAGGAGTGAATGCTGAATAAATGTTTCAAAACGGTTAGCAAGTGTAATTATAATAAAGACAATGGTAAGATATGTGAATAAGATAAATTGAGGATATAAAAATAAACATCAATCAAATTACATCACCATATTATAAAATTTTTTATTAACTAGTTGGACCCGAAGTTGGCCAGGGTAAAAGGAGCGGTTGAATATATTTCTTTTGGATGCAAAACTCTGGGTTTATTTATCCGAATATCAATTGCTTCAGTCGTCTGCAGTATTCTCAGGCTGACGGAATTAGATAAACTGCTGTTAACACGATATGTTAAGCCGATAGGTACCTATATACCTAGGTTATACGTACTACTGAAGATACACAAACCGGATATCCCATTCAAACTAATTTTGGTCATGAATGATTCCCCTTATCATACTGTATTAAAGCGGTTAGTAACCGTTTTAAAACTACTCCACAAACATCTAATGAAGCATAGTATCATATATTAACTTTCTATACAGCCAAAATAAGGGATGCATTGAGGAATTTGACAATAATAATAATTACTTACATACTTACTTATTTACTTACGCCTGTTACCCACAATGGAGTATAGGCCACCGACCAGCATTCTGTAACTCACTCTGTCCTGGGCTTTACTTTCTAGTTCTACTCAACTGTTGTTCATTCTTCTCATGTTTGTCTCCATTTCACGATGTAATGTGTTCTCTGGTCTTTCACTTCTTCTTTTGGCCTTGAGGATTCCATGTGAGGGATTGCCTTGTGATTCAGTTGGGTGCTTTCTTCAATATGTATCCTATCCACATCCAGCGTTTCTTTCTCATTTCATCTGGTTTGTTCTCTCCCACAGTAGGTTGTTGCTAATAGTGTCTGGCCAACGGATCCGAAGTATTTTGCGTAGGCAACTGTTAATAAACATTTGTATCTTCTGGATGATGACTTTCATAGTTCTCCAAGTTTCCGCTCCATACAGCAGAACTGTGAATATAATGTGTCTAGGTTATCATGATAGATAACTCATGTGAACTGGGAAAGTTGACTGGGTAGATTAAAGAAGTGATAAGCACTAAAGGTGTTGCGAGGTGCGATACGACCTATTTAACTATCTCCACAGGAGCAGTTAAATTGATGTACACATATGGAGGACCTCATTATCAGTAACCAAACCTTAATTCGTTGTGTAAGTACTAGTTTGTTTGGGAAGATCATATGTAATTCAGTGGTATAAAGTATCATTTCACTAGATCGTTTGAGTCGACTTGTTAAAATATCACTTGCTATGTCCCCATTAAAATCAAGTTTTCTTGCTGATCGTGTTGGAGTTTGTTCTGTTTTTACCTTCTGACAGAAATTTCTTACATAATTATCTGGATAACCATTATTTCGTAATGCGTTCTTTACTTTATCTATTTTGCTGTCTACACTATCCTTAGGATATAATAGATTGATTCTGTGACCTTTTGGTTTACCAGTATGGGGTTGTGGAGATCGTTGAAATTAATTGAGATTGATGACCAGTCTAAGTTAAACAGAAACACTGGATAGCTGTTTCATTCAGGGATGGGACTGTTCACGGATCCACACCTGGAGACCAACTAGAAGAACCACGATTTCGCGAACGGACTCTTATCTTTGAGACTACAGAGCCACAATTTAATAGTGTACAGGTTTAACTTCAGTCGATTAATGATATTTAGTTACTTTGTCCAATTTTCTTCCATAAGTACCTTATTCATACCCAACACAGTCGAAATTCACTAGAACTTTTGAGATTTCCTCTCAAAGCTAGTCGCTAGTGGGCATATGATAATTATCACTACGGCACTGTGGAGATCGTTCAATGTGATTAAGATTACAAGCTGATCTAGTGAAATATATCTACTAGGACACATTTGCATGAGATTCTTACTTTATTGTGTTTTTATAGGTCCATTTCAATGCCTCGTGCTTCATTGATAGATAGCCCAATAGCGTTAACATCTATTCCAGCGTCGTGAGTTATAAGTTAATTTGAGTTTATGATTAATTGAAGTATTTATGTCGTTAACTAATGTAATTGGATTAATTTTGTTATACCAGCATAGGAAAATGATAAACAAACCAATATAGGTGGCTCGATATAGTGTGTACTATGCTGAGATATAAAGTGATAGTTTGAGGTAGTTGACAAAAACCCTGGACCTAAGCTTCATGCTACTTGTTACTCGTTACGATGGTGTACCTGTATCTGTCATAGCCCATTAATTGATCAATTATAGATACATCTCAGTCTTACAGAAAGTGAGTCCGTGTTTGGATAGTTTTGTGATAAAGTCTCTGACTGTGAAGTAAGGTGGTGTGGGTTCCAATCCATCGAATCTCTTCACTTTCCTTGATGTTACGTGTTCGTCTTGCTAATGAATGTCAAATAGCACGAAACCTAAATTCAGAGTTTGCTGTTGACTTCCTAAAACCACTAAATTATAAATCGTACTTTCCATACAATCGAACTACAGTATTTTAAAGACATGAAACAATAAGTGAACAATTAGTAAACACCAATTAAAAAAATAGAAAACGCCTGACAATAGTTATGCTATCTGATAGCCACTTAGTGTTTATAGAATATGAGTATATAATAATCTATTTTATTAGAAAACAGTCTGACGATAATATTAATAATAATCAGTAAAATGGTTAAGAGAATTCAATACTCAATCTGTTTAAATGTTTGGAATTTTTGTTGATTGGGATCATGAGTCGATTAACGTTAGACCACGATCGATAACCTGAAAGCACTGGACGACCGTTTCAACCCATTGTGGGACTCCTCAGAAGTGTGTATCCATGACCCCGCTTGTGGGATTCAGACCCAGGACCTACCGGTCTCGCGTGCGAACGCTCAACTTCCAGACCACTGAGACGGCATCCGATGGTATAAATGTCTAACTTCAAAATTATATTCATTTCGATTTCAATATCTGATGAATGTGTTTTGGTAATTGGTTGAAGATCACAAACGAAAAACTTTATTACATTATCGGATTATATGATATATTTGATTTCATGAACCGATCCAGGTTGGATCACCATTGAAAACCCATAAGCACTGAGTAGTTTTTTCAACGGCATTGTGCATCCATGACTCGGAACGTGTGAATCGAATTCAGAATCTTAGATCTCACACATGAACGATAAATTTCTAAACCACCGAGCCGGTATCCAATGGTGCTAATTTTTAAATTCAATCAATCACTGATGTAACACGACCATCTACTCTTGTCTTCGGTAGATGACTGTCTAACATGTGACACTGTCGAACTTTACTGGTCATGGATTCTCACTAGAACTCCGGGAGCTTCCTTTCGAAACTAGTCACCAATGAACACATGATTGTTGGATTTATATTTTTATGAATTTATGATTTATGTTTTTCAATAGGCCAGTTCCACTAACAGGTTTACCAATGCCACTTACTCCAGTAGGGAGTAACATGATTGACGGTCTTCCACAAAGAGTTGGAAGGTAAGTCACACAGTTTTTGTCAAAATGTTTCGTTACTATGGAAACATCAAATATTTCTTTGTTTCACCTTCTTTTTCTAATGAAGAATGATTCATGTTTATGGTATACATTCATCCATGGATTAACATAATGCATATGTAATATATACATATATATTCACTAAAGATGTACTTCAGAAGTACGTAAATCTTGTGAGGGCTCTTTACTTGAACACTACTAGTCGAGTCAGAGCTTATGGCGAACCATCATCAGCTTTTGCAACCTCAAGTGGTGTCTGTCAAAGCTGTCCACTTTCTCCATTTTTGTTTAACTGCATCATAGAAATACTGATGGAAATAACGTTTGGTGAAGGCACTGATAGAATGCAGGGTCTTTTCATAGCACTGAGCAATACCAGGATGTTTGGGATGCTCTTCTCCTACTCTAAACGCAAGTTTTTGCTTCAGAATTGGCCTGAGTCAACATCTGAACTAAGGATAGGGAGTGGAGTAGTGAAACGCGTCAACAACTACACATATCTTGGAAGTCCGATCAGACCTAATGGGTTGGTGTCAGCCTTTATGGCTGCGAGACGTGGTCATTAAGAGTAGAAGATATTTGTAAGCTACTAGTATTTCACCACAAATGTCTGAGAAATATTGCTCGCATCTGCTGGGATCATCGGGTAAGTAATAGTGAGGTTAGACGCAGGGTATTAGGGAATGATGGTAAATCAGTTGATGAGGTTGTGATTCTTCATCGACTGAGATGGTTGGACCACGTGCTGCGTATGCCTGAACACCGATTACCAAGACGCGCAATGCTAACTAGTGTAGGGGATGGTTGGAAGAAAGTTAGGGGCGGACAAACCGGAACGTTGCATCAACGCTTGAAGTAACTAACTTCTGGTTTGAACCATGTTGGTAGATGCAGACTACTTGTTGGGGTTCACGTGACTATCGTAACCAGTGGTTGGAGACTGTGTGTGACATGGATCAGAATCGATCACAATGGTGTCGGTGCATACACTCTTTGTCTTCCCTTAAACTATGAGATTAAAATCGCTTCATATCTTTCTACGTACTAATTCTTTCTTCCTGTATTATATCCTTATATACGATCTTTCTTTTAAGCATTACTACCACTGAAGTGACTACGTCTATGAATTTAGTGTTCATCTCTTTGAGCGAATGAAGTCTGCCAACTCGGACCGTTTCATGAATGTGTCTGGACCTAAGTTGTATCCGATTGACTGACTCACTAAAAAGCAATTTTCTAAGTTCCACTTTACATTTATTTACTCAGTCTTAACAAATATAAACGATTCTACTTTAACCACTAATTCCATGGATTGATTCGATTATCACATTTTTTGTTCGATGAGAAGATAATAGTTCATATTTATTATCTGTTTCATATATTTACCACTTTTCTTCAGTCCCTATTGTCTTGATATCCTGTGTTTTTCTTTGCAGTGCATTGCCTCTTACAGGATCTGCACCCCCCTTGTCTGCGTTTAGAGGTAGTATGCCAATTAACGGTATTCAACAAATTCCAGCATCGTAAGTTACAATTCATTGATATTTTTCTTTGATGTGTTGGACGTTTCGGCGAGACTATAATTTATGGACGAGCCAATCGGATTGAGGGTAACAGGTCTCAGATTTTGGCACAAACTTCATCCACCCCATTTATCTCAATAGAGTTTCGGCATTATAGGTGATATCAGTTCATGATGAAAACCTTAAATCTAATCCTCAACCCTAACTCTCAACTGTGAATATTATTCCTAATTCCTCACTCCGGTTTACAATCCTTATTTGGATTTAGTATGTTTGTGAACATTCTCTAGGTCTTTTTAGTATCGCTCAAAGGTCGTTCATAAATTATAGTCTCACTGTAGAATAAACACTTGTATCTTCTGGATGATGGCTTTCATAGTTCTCCAAGTTTTCGCCCCGTACAGTAGAAGTGTTTTGACATTTGTATTGAAAATTCTGACTTTGGTGTTGGTTGACAATTGTTTTGAGTTCCAGATGTACTTCAGTTGTAGATATGCTGCCCTCTCTTTGCCGATCCGCGCCTTCACATCTGCATCAGACCCACCATGTTCATCAATGATTCTGCTCAGAGATGTAATGGTTTTCACATTTTCCAAGTCTTCTCCGTCAAGTGTAATTCGATTGGTGCATTCTGTATTCTTTCGGAGAACCTTGGTTTTCGCTTTGTGTATGTTGAGACCTACAGCCACTGAGGCTGCCGCTACACTGGTCGTTTTCTCCTACATTTGTTGTTGCGTGTGCGATCCAGTCAGTTAGTGACAACGTAGAACTTCGTACGTACGTACATTAGTTTGAGTTGCCATACCACATTAGCACAGGAATGCAGTTGTCGATTCGAATCCCATGGTGGTAGAACTAGTAAAATCATAAGCAGTAATCGGAAAGATTAGGGTTTGAAGATGTTATTCAAAGAGTATAGTTTAGTGTGAAATAAATGTGAAAAGAGAAAATAAGGGGCACGAGGAGTCAAATGCCACCTTAAAGTCGAAGAAAACTACGATTGTGGGACATCTGAATGAACGTAGTGTGAATATCTGGTCTATACAACCACGTCCAAGTCGAAAACCAGCCTGATTTTCTCTAGTCTGCTCTCCCACGCTTCAGATTTCCTATAGCTTTTTCAACTTCGTAAAGAGTCGGAGGACCTACATTAACTTGCCATTCAGGTTGACTGGAGATCGTGGGAAACCGAAGTGTGGCTGAAGGCCAGTTGAACTGATCCCTAAAGTGTTCTGCCCATCGACCCAATCTCCTGGATTGAAAATGTATAATATGTCCATCTTTCTCTGCGATTGTTTCGCTAACAGTTGGGTTCCTAATACCGGTTACCTTAACAAGTCTAAACAGTTGTCTGCTGTTACCTATGGTTGCTGCCTTTTCCATCTCTCTTGCTTTCGCCACCCACCACTGTTTACGATCATTGAGCAGGCTTTTTGTCAGCCTGCGCTTAAGCTGATACCACCTTTCGTCATGTTCAGAGCCAGATTGGATGAGTTTTCGAGCAATAATCAATGCTATAGTTGCTTTTGAGATCCAGTGTTTGTCCCTAACCTTATGGTTTACCTTACTAGTAGATATCACTACTGTCTCCACAGCTTTTTTGATATCATTCCATGCTCCCTCGGGGTGGGCATCACTTACATGGCTGCCTAACTGTTTTTCTAGTTGTTCCTGAAATATACTCTTAGCTTGACTATCACTAAGTAGGACCCTAAGGGGTTTCCTTGCAGCAAGACGCAAGCGAATACGCGCTCGCACTAGAGCATGATTTGAATCTAAACATGTGCTCCAGAATGAGTGACAGTCTTCTATCGAACCCCTCCATCGGTGGCTGATAGCAATATGATCTATTTGGGTCCAACGTTGGGACGAATTAGGGGGTCGCCATGTCAAGAAATGTTTTTCCTTATGCTTAAAGTTAGTGTTGCAAGAAACAGGCGGTTATCTGAGCATAGCTGCAACAGACGGCCGCCATTATCTGTTCTTTGAGCCGCAACACCATAAGATCCACCCAGGTGTCTTTCCCTTACTCTTAGTTTACCTACTTGAGCATTTAAGTCACCAGCCACTATTGCTAAATCAGACCGCCTAGCTTTTCGGAGAAGGTCGGAAAGCTTTCTGTAAAACTCATCTTTTACATCATCTGAGCTTCAGTCAGTGGGAGAGTAGTCAGAGACGACGAATAGGCAACGACGAGTGTCCCTATCTTTCCAAATCCTTACTGTTCCGTTTAGTCGGACAGCGCACAAATGACTGTCTACTGGGATCCAGTCTAAGAGAGCTAGTTCTGTCCTAGGACTCAATGCTATACCTACACCAGCAAGGCCACGGGAAGCCGCATCGGGACTTCCAGATACACGAAGCGTAAACCGCGTTGCTTCTTTATTTTGACATAGTGAGATCAAATGAATGACGCTTCTCGGATTCTGTATGCGCGTTTCGGATGCGCAGCACACATTGATGGGGCGAGATTCTAAAGTCCTATCTAAAGAAGCCTGTTGTCCTATTTGGCACAGTGTTCGGACGTTGAAAGCTCCTACGTGTAGTTTGGAGCGTGGTTTCAGGAGACCAGGAATAACATTCCGTGTACTGGGATCGTTTGCATTAGCAGGGCGAGGTGATAAAGGGACGTGAGAAGAGTTGGTTGTGGAGATAAGAGAGTTATTAGGAGGTGTAGGAAGGATTTGAATGTGACCAACGTGGTCTCGTGTGCTGTTACGGGTATGAGGGCTGATGTCACTTCCTGGTTGCCCACACCGTGGAAGGGTATTTCTTGAGGAACCTGAAAAGGAAATCGGACCAGTGTAGGTCTTGAAGACCTGGGTGCGTGATCGCAGAGCCCAAGGGACAACTGCTTGAGGCCGGTCGTGCACGGTCTTTTTGTGGGAGGTTTTTAATGTGTTAGATCCGTTCTTCAAAGGGCCTTACCGCCGGAGACGGAAATCCGTGGGGTAAGGTGAGGTGTGACATTTTTAGGGTCAACCTCTTCTAACCCCTTCCTTCCTTGTGAGAAGGCAGCATCGCTGTAGATGCTGGTCGTCGGAGGGAAAAATCTTACTGCCGTCATGCCCCTCTACAGTCAGCAGTACGACGTTGCCCTCAAACCTTGAGTTGATGCTTTTAGTCTTACCGTTCTCCAATCGATCTGCCTAGCATGGTAGAACCTACAGGGAAATATGTTCCAGCCAATATAACTTGGTTGCGTCATCACGATAGGCAAGACCGACCACCACGTCTAAGTAGCAGCTACAGCCGGGGCGTGTACGATAAAAGAGCCAGATCATATGCAAAGTCTAGGTCGTCCAGATGCTTCCTAGTTGTTCACTGAATCATATGCTCCCCCCCCAGATGTCAACGTCTTTATGATCCAGTCGGTCTCCAGGAGAAAGAGAAAGGGTGAGAGTAATCAACCTTGCCTGACACCGGTCTTTACCTCGAACGAGTCTGTTAATTGTCCTCCATGAACGATTTTGCAGTTTAATCCATCATAAGAATTCTGTATGATATTGAATATCTTCTCAGGCACGCCGTAGTGCCGAAGAAGCCTCCATAGTGTTGTTCTGTCCACACTGTAAAATGCTTTCTCGTAGTTAATGAAGTTGATGTAGAGTTATAAACTCCATTCACTTGATTGTTTCACGATGATCCGTAGTGGTGCGATTTGGTTTCTACACGGTCGATCCTTACGGAGTTCAGCCTGTTGGTTTCGAAGTTGGGCGTCTACGGAGTCCATCATCTATTTGACAATACCCTGTTGAAGACTTTTGCAAGTATCTAGAAAAGAGATACCTCTGTAGTTATCACAGTTGCTGAGATCGCCTTTCTTTGCTATCTTGATCAGGTGTCCTTCTTTCCAGTCTGTTGATACTTGTTCTTCATCCTGAATCTTGCTGAAGAGAATGTGGAGTATCCTTGCAGTTACTGCTACATCTGTTTTCAGTGCCTCTGCTGGAATGTTGTCTGGTCCTGCTGCTTTAACACTGTTGATTTGTCTGACGGCCATGCTGATCTCTTCAATTGTTGGTGTGCCAACATCAATTAGGAGGTCTCTGAGTGCTGCTTCGATTCAAAAGTTCTTCGAAGTGTTCTACCCACCTGTTTCGTTGTTCTTCAATGTTGGTGATTACTTTGCTCTCCTTGCTTTTTCACTGGTCGTTCTGGTTTTACGGTGATTTCTAGCAAGTTTCTTTGTTGTGTCATACAATTGTCTTGTGTTTCCTTCTCTTTCAGCCTTTCCCGCAGTCATTACTAAATCTTTCACATATTCACGTTTGCCGGTTCTGATGCTCCTCTTCACTTGTTTGTTTACTTCTGTGTATTCAGCTTGTGCCTTGGCTTTTTCCGCTCTAGTTCAGATGGTATTGATTACTGCCTTCTTGTTCCTCCTTTCTTGAATATTATCCACTGTACCAACAGCGATCCATTCCTTGTGATGGTGCTTCTTGTGGCCCAGAACCTCATGACATGTTGAAGTTATTGCATCTTTTATCTTTTTCCAGTTGCTCTCCTTAGTAGTTCCCTCTCCATTGAGTAGCTCATGAAAGGCCTGGATTCTATTGCCGAGGACAATCTTGAATTTGTTGAGTTTGTCAGTATCCCGAAGAAGAGCCGTAATAAACTTTTGTGATGTTATCCGCCCTATTGCCCAGTGCTTCTTGAGTTTCAATTTCATCTTGGTAAACAGCAAGTGATGATCTGATGCTATATCAGATGTTCTTTTGATTCTCACATCAAACATCGTCTTTCTGATATTTTTGTTGATGTAGATATGGTCGGTTTGGTTCCGTGTAGTGTGATCCGGTGAAGTCCATGTGTTTTTGTGCATGCGTTTGTGTGAGAATATAGTCCCGCTTATAACCAATTTATCAAAGGCACATAGGTTTGCAAATCTCTCACTATTTTTGTTCCTTTCTACCAGTCCGTGTCGTCCCATGATCTCTTCATATCCGGTGTTGTCCATCCCAACCTTGGCATTTAGATCTCCTATCAGAATGGTTAAGTTCTTTGTTGAACACTTCTCGGCGATTGACTGCAGTCTATCATAGAATTAGTCTTTACCGTCTTCATTGTAGTCGTTGGTAGGCGCATAGCATTGGATGACGTTCATTGTGAAGTCCTCTTTCTTTGTTCTGAAGGAGGCTTTGTCATCCTTTTTCCATGAGATTTCCATTTTATAAGTGCATTTTATGCTTGTTTGGGAGGCATCAATGGAGCTCCTTGTGTATGCGAGGCATTTTCTTCTTCGAAGCTGAAGTATAACAGAAGCTCCTTTTAAGCTATTCGTTGTTGTCCAACTTGCGTCCAATATGTTTCACTGATCTCAAGCACCTCTAAATTGTATCTCCTCATTTCTGAAGCAATTTGGAAAACTCTCCCAGTCTCCCACATTGAGCAAGCATTCCATGTACCTTAATAAATGGTTGCTCTGATTGTCAGAAGGGGTATCGGCCTCGTGACTTCCGAAGAAACTCGGCTTTCACCATGAGGCGTTCATAAATTTTCTGAATGAAGACCTTCTGACACTGTCGAACTTTACTGGTCATGGATTCTCACTAGAACTCCGGGAGCTTCCTTTCGAAACTAGTCACCAATGAACACATGATTGTTGGATTTATATTTTTATGAATTTATGATTTATGTTTTTCAATAGGCCAGTTCCACTAACAGGTTTACCAATGCCACTTACTCCAGTAGGGAGTAACATGATTGACGGTCTTCCACAAAGAGTTGGAAGGTAAGTCACACAGTTTTTGTCAAAATGTTTCGTTACTATGGAAACATCAAATATTTCTTTGTTTCACCTTCTTTTTCTAATGAAGAATGATTCATGTTTATGGTATACATTCATCCATGGATTAACATAATGCATATGTAATATATACATATATATTCACTAAAGATGTACTTCAGAAGTACGTAAATCTTGTGAGGGCTCTTTACTTGAACACTACTAGTCGAGTCAGAGCTTATGGCGAACCATCATCAGCTTTTGCAACCTCAAGTGGTGTCTGTCAAAGCTGTCCACTTTCTCCATTTTTGTTTAACTGCATCATAGAAATACTGATGGAAATAACGTTTGGTGAAGGCACTGATAGAATGCAGGGTTCTTTCATAGCACTGAGCAATACCAGGATGTTTGGGATGCTCTTCTCCCACTCTAAACGCAAGTTTTTCCTTCAGAATTGGCTTGAGTCAACATCTGAACTAAGGATAGGGAGTGGAGTAGTGAAACGCGTCAACAATTACACATATCTTGGAAGTCCGATCAGACCTAATGGGTTGGTGTCAGCCTTTACGGCTGCGAGACGTGGTCATTAAGAGTAGAACATATTTGTAAGCTACTAGTATTTCACCACAAATGTCTTAGAAATATTGCTCGCATCTGCTGGGATCATCGGGTAAGTAATAGTGAGGTTAGACGCAGGGTATTAGGGAATGATGGTAAATCAGTTGATGAGGTTATGAATCTTCATCGACTGAGATGGTTGGACTACGTGCTGCGTATGCCTGAACACCGATTACCAAGACGCACAATGTTAACTAGTGTAGGGGATGGTTGGAAGAAAGTTAGGGGCGGACAAACCGGAACGTTGCATCAACGCTTGAAGTAACTAACTTCTGGTTTGAACCATGTTGGTAGATGCAGACTACTTGTTGGGGTTCACGTGACTATCGTAACCAGTGGTTGGAGACTGTGTGTGATATGGCTCAGAATCGATCACAATGGTGTCGGTGCATACACTCTTTGTCTTCGCTTAAACTATGAGATTAAAATCGCTTCATATCTTTCTACGTACTAATTCTTTCTTCCTGTATTATATCCTTATATACGATTTTTCTTTTAAGCATTGCTATCACTGAAGTGACTACTTCTATGAATTTAGTGTTCATCTCTTTGAGCGAATGAAGTCTGCCAACTCGGACCGTTTCATGAATGTGTCTGGGCCTAAGTTGTATCCGATTGACTGACTCACTGAAAAGCAATTTTCTAAGTTCCACTTTACATTTATTTACTCAGTCTTAACAAATATAAACGATTCTACTTTAACCACTAATTCCATGGATTGATTCGATTATCACATCTTTTGTTCGATGAGAAGATAATAGTCCATATTTAATATCTGTTTCATATATTTACCACTTTTCTTCAGTCCCTATTGTCTTGATATCCTGTGTTTTTCTTTGCAGTGCATTGCCTCTTACAGGATCTGCACCCCCCTTGTCTGCGTTTAGAGGTAGTATGCCAATTAACGGTATTCAACAAATTCCAGCATCGTAAGTTACAATTCATTGATTTTTTTCTTTGATGTGTTGGACGTTTCGGCGAGACTATAATTTATGGACGAGCCAATCGGATTGAGGGTAACAGGTCTCATATTTTGGCACAAACTTCATCCACCCCATTTATCTAAATGGAGTTTCGGCATTATAGCTGATATCAGTTCATGATGAAAACCTTAAATCTAATTCCTAACCCTAATCATCAACTTTACACCATAATGTTTAAACTTATCACAGGTTTGTAGCCCTCATTTAGCTATAGCAAGTAGATGGACCTTCTCAAAGTCACATCGTAGTTGCTCGAAGGTCCTCCACAAATCATTGTCCCACCGACATTTCATAAACATGTTTCTTTTTATCGGATGAGTTTTTATAAACTGTGAATAGATTTGTACAGAATGACTGATTTATAACACTTAATAGTTATGTCCACTATGATTCAACGTATATACGTTATATGTAAACAGTACAGTAAATTTTGTTATTAACTTCATCATATCACATGCCTTATCAGTTTAAGCAAAGATGGATAGTGGCTAGCAGTAAAATCCAAGACAAGCGTTTCATCCAGTTTATGACTCGTCAGCTAGATGTACCTGCACCTCAGAGTTGATGTTTATTCTGGGACTTGAACCCAGTACCGTTCTTTTCAGACGCCAGAGCGTTAGCTACTTAGCTTGTGAATTAAGACAATATCGAATCAATACGTACAGTATGCATATATACCAATAAAAGACTGATCAATTGCAGTCGTAAACATCAATAAAAAGATTTAATTAATAATATAGAGTTGTAGTCTGTATGAATCTATACATAAAACATATTAAATTTCAATAGTTGAGATCATGAGTCAATTGAAGCTAGACCATCGTGAAAAACCTGGAAGTACTGAACGGCCATTTCGTTCTATCGTGCGACTCCTCAGTGACAGGGCACACCCACGATTCCACTTCGCGAGATCTGAACCCAGGACTTATCGATCTCGTCTGCGAATGCTTAACCTCTAAACCACTGATTAAATGCCGTTTTAAATAATTTTCCCATATCTAAATCACAAATTATAATGATCAACACAATGGTGGTCGATCAAAAACTTACAATAATACACTGATATTTATCAGTAATCAAATGTACGACAACTGAATAAATTACCATATCCATCAGTTGTTAATCAAAATAAAAGTAGAATTATATCAGAACTAATGAGTAAAGTAGACATTTAAATTATAATTAGTCTTCAGTTCATGGTTATCAACAGGAATCCCTGGAGAAAGTTTTATGCTATTTAGTACTTTGTAACAGATATACCTGTAATCATAAGGAATCTGGCGTAACTAGATGAATTCAAATTTGTGTTACCTACATTCAAAGAATGAGGCATTACCATTAAGATGTTCGGGTAAGGAGTGACCTACGAACTACTGAAAGATCAAGGTTTTATGTTGACTGCCTTCAATCCCTTAACATCTCATTACAGTAGATGTAATGTTGAGCTAATTAGATCATTACTTATATTGTAACTGTAACTGTTACAGAATCCTATCTTCAGTGAAGAATTAAATGAATAAGACATTGTTCGCTACTAAATCTTTAATCATTCATAAATTATAGTTCTCTTTGTTATTTGTTTGTTGTTACGGACGATATAAAAATCATGAATGATGGTATCCCCCAAACGCCCTGGTACGGCCGAGAGTGGGGAGAGTCCACTCTCCCTATCCAAATGCTCTCACATGGCCACGTGTATACAGCCCCTGCCAGGGAAGTCCTACTCACTGCTTTGTCGTTGCAATAATGTTGTTCACGAAAATGAGAGGACGAAAAGCGAATGTCCGGCGCTTTAACCGGACCGCAAACCAATGGTGCACATGGGCTAACTCCAGTATCCTGAATGAACAAATGGCGTATGAACCAATCGTTGGTCACCGGCTACCATGGGACTGCATCTCCTCACGATACTCCACTGCCATGTGGATCAGACCTTCAGGTCGAAGGCTCGGGGTGTGGCCCCCTAAGAAAACCACCTGTTTCGGTTTGGGCACCCGGGCAGTATCACAGCCCTCACACATATCAAATGAGATCTGTGTGGCGCATATGTATTTGGTGCCTTCTTGTACCGATATCTATGTGTTAAAATAAATAAATAAAAAGCCCACTTATAGATTTATTGAATGAGAAATCTTAAGTAATTAACCTGTTATAATAAACTGACCAGTTTAATAGAGATTAATCTCACAAGGGAGGATATTGTGAGTCAAGTAGAATTAAACAGTTGTTTCGTCCTGATATAGCACTCTTCCGCGACGGGCACCATCAAATTCAGTTAGAATCTTGACCAAAATATTCGATTCTCAATCTGTAACGAATGTAACCAACAAATTAAATAAATCTCTAAAAAAACTCCAAATAAATTGTAGCAGTCAACTCACTAGAGACTTATTTCAATATCGCTTTGAAGCTCTAACAAGACATTATATCTAGTGGAGTTCAAACATGTCGGGAATTAAACAATTGTCAGCAGTGGGGTTAGATGATCATCACCATACATCTCGAAATGATTAGAGACAAAACTGCACTATTCAATGATGACACAGTGATATCAATGGTTTGAAGTTCTAGTAAAAACCTGATGATTATATATCCAATCCATGGAATGATAGAAAGTACTCGACATCAAGTGGTTTCATATATGATAAAATAGCTTTTTATTGCTCCTTAGTTTTCAATAGTGGCACAATATTGATCCGTTTGTAACAAATAAAGACTACAAATTTAGAAAAAACAATTAAAAACCCATATCACCTATATGGATAATACATCTTAGCTGAATATTACTGTGAGGACGGTCCACGGGTGAACTTGAGGAAGCTCTAAGAAGCTCAAAAAGAGCCGAAGATATTCCATCCAATCAGCTTTTGGAAGAATATTCCAGAATCACTACGTGTAGCTTCTCTATTGGACAAATGCTAATAATCCCCCTGTGTATGGATTGGATAACTAAAATGATGATTTTGTTTTTTACTAAAAAGTGTAAATACCTGACAGTTTTCTACCGTCACTAACACTGTTTAGAACAACATTCCTTTCAATTGTGTTCTGTCTTCTTGTTTGCGACTAACGAGGGTTCTAGCGTTCGAGTGCTCAATTTATACGCGGCATATCAAGAATATATATATATATATCGCGGCGGGATCGTGAATGCGCACTGATGAGGATTCCCACAGTAGGGCGAAACGACCGTCCAGTGCTTCCAGGTTTTTTATGGTGGTCTAGCTTCAATTCACTCATGATCTCAACTATGAATACTACTATAAGATTCCCAAAATTTCTTCTGATATTAATAAAATAATTAATTATATTATCATATTGTACAATTTACATTTTTCAACAGGCCAATTCAACGAACAGGTTTACCAATGCCACTTACCCCGATAGGGAGTAACATGATTGATGGTCGTCCACAAATAGTTGGGTCGTAAGTTATATAACCTTTAGTTAATAGATTTTTCTCTACTATTGCCATCATACTTTCTTGTTACCAGATCATTATGACATCTAGTCATTACAACCAATATCAAGATAATAATAATACTGTTAAGTTATACTCTGGAAAACGCTGATACGTTTATATATAATTGAATTCATGAGTCAGTTGTAGCTAGATCACCATGAAAAATCTGGAAGCACTGGACGGCCGCTTCATCCTAGTATGGGACTCCTCACCGGTGCCCACCCATGATCCAGCAGTGCGATATATATAAGATGAAGAAGTGGAATTTGATCAGTCGTTTGAATTTTAAATACCGACAAGTCGAGATTATAGTAATGCTTCAGTATATATAATTTGTAGGCGGATAATCAGACATTTGGTTAACTATTTAAAATTGATTGATCACTGGGTGGTAATCAATGTCATGTTTGTCAGGATCTTCTTAATGCAGATCGAATTCAATCGACCAAGCTGCAATGTGGCCATCAGTCTAAGTGACTCGACATTGATTGCATCATCTTATCTCAACATAGTTAACTAGTGGCAGAATTCACCATTTTGCAATAAGATGATAATGATAATGTTGTAGTGAAAAGAACACTAGTGAGGACAAACGATTACAGATTACAGAACTTGTTTACAAAATCTAACAACCATAAATTAAAAGCTCAATTTCCAAAATGTCCAGCGATTGTCCCAAAATGACACCGATATCCTTTGTTCTTGCATTTTCATACAAACTGCATTCTGTTTTCACGCTTTACTGTTCGATCTTGTTATCAATTTCCTGCAAGACATTCAGTTCCCGAAAAACATCAAGTAAAATACTTATGTCTACAAAAGTAGCACACACCATGATTTAAGCAAATGAGTGGGTGTCGATTTCAACATAACAAATTACCAGTTCAAAGTTTACATACATATTAACAATTGCACTATGATTATATCCATGTCAATTCACCAAGTCAAGTTGGCACCAACACACACTCATACATACATACATACATACACACACACATACATACATACATACACACATACATACATAAGCGCCTACACTCACACATGCACGCACAGCAAATTCCATATGGTGACAATGTGTGACAATAATAACTATTAACTCGCATTCACTCATTGTTCGAGTAATAAGATGCATTTTGTGTTTGTTGGTGTGGAATCAGTGTATTTATGTGAGACTGGTTATTTGGACTTCCGTTTGTAGGCCAGCTGGATTGGTAGGGTCAACACTGCCTCTCACCTCAATGGATAAGATGATGCCTAGTGATATGTCAAGATTGGCAACAGCAATTCCTGCATCGTGAGTCATGCTCCCTGTTTTTGCCGCCTTATACATGTAACACTCACATGGCTATTTTCTAAAACACTTTGATTTTTTCTGAGAATCTCACGCTTTACTGAACACGGATCGCAATGTGTGGCTGTAATAATAAACATGATTACTGTTGTGAAAAGTAAGATTGTCTAATCGAATCTAAAGATGAATAAGAGATGTTTGTAAGAGTTGAGTAATTTGGCGTTGAATTTGACTGTACTGTTGGGCGGTTCCGAATATTGTGGGTCAGTGGTCAGTTACTTTTTCCACTGATCTGGAAATCGGTGTATGAATGAAAGCTCGGTATATAATTGAATAATTGGTGACGATGATGATGCTGGTGATGTTGTTGATGTTAGTGGTTGTTTGTTTGTTTGTGTGTGTGTGTGTGTTTGGAAGTGAGGATCCGGATGAATGGAAACACGAATGCATATATGCATGTTGATTGACATCAGTTGACGAGTGGATTGGTTGAGGCTGATGAGACTGTAAGTGACCTCGGAAACCGTGGTACCTGTGTTGCGATGTTATCGGATCCACAATTCACAACGGGTTGGATCGGTCGTTTGACGAGGCATTGAAGATGACAGTATGGAGAGATGAAATGATCACATGCGAATACCTGACAGCAGTATCAACACAAACGTATTAGTATTGGGTGGGTGACAATTTCAACATAACAAATTACCAGTTCACAGTTTACATACATATTAACAATTGCACTATGATTATATCCATGTCAATTCACCAAGTCAAGTTGGCACCAACACACACTCATACATACATACATACATACACACACACATACATACATACATACACACATACATACATAAGCGCCTACACTCACACATGCACGCACAGCAAATTCCATATGGTGACAATGTGTGACAATAATAACTATTAACTCGCATTCACTCATTGTTCGAGTAATAAGATGCATTTTGTGTTTGTTGGTGTGGAATCAGTGTATTTATGTGAGACTGGTTATTTGGACTTCCGTTTGTAGGCCAGCTGGATTGGTAGGGTCAACACTGCCTCTCACCTCAATGGATAAGATGATGCCTAGTGATATGTCAAGATTGGCAACAGCAATTCCTGCATCGTGAGTCATGCTCCCTGTTTTTGCCGCCTTATACATGTAACACTCACATGGCTATTTTCTAAAACACTTTGATTTTTTCTGAGAATCTCACGCTTTACTGAACACGGATCGCAATGTGTGGCTGTAATAATAAACATGATTACTGTTGTGAAAAGTAAGATTGTCTAATCGAATCTAAAGATGAATAAGAGATGTTTGTAAGAGTTGAGTAATTTGGCGTTGAATTTGACTGTACTGTTGGGCGGTTCCGAATATTGTGGGTCAGTGGTCAGTTACTTTTTCCACTGATCTGGAAATCGGTGTATGAATGAAAGCTCGGTATATAATTGAATAATTGGTGACGATGATGATGCTGGTGATGTTGTTGATGTTAGTGGTTGTTTGTTTGTTTGTGTGTGTGTGTGTGTTTGGAAGTGAGGATCCGGATGAATGGAAACACGAATGCATATATGCATGTTGATTGACATCAGTTGACGAGTGGATTGGTTGAGGCTGATGAGACTGTAAGTGACCTCGGAAACCGTGGTACCTGTGTTGCGATGTTATCGGATCCACAATTCACAACGGGTTGGATCGGTCGTTTGACGAGGCATTGAAGATGACAGTATGGAGAGATGAAATGATCACATGCGAATACCTGACAGCAGTATCAACACAAACGTATTAGTATTGGGTGGGTGACAATTTCAACATAACAAATTACCAGTTCACAGTTTACATACATATTAACAATTGCACTATGATTATATCCATGTCAATTCACCAAGTCAAGTTGGCACCAACACACACTCATACATACATGCATACATACATACATACATACATACACACACACATACATACATACACACACACATACATACATACATACACACATACATACATAAGCGCCTACACTCACACATGCACGCACAGCAAATTCCATATGGTGACAATGTGTGACAATAATAACTATTAACTCGCATTCACTCATTGTTCGAGTAATAAGATGCATTTTGTGTTTGTTGGTGTGGAATCAGTGTATTTATGTGAGACTGGTTATTTGGACTTCCGTTTGTAGGCCAGCTGGATTGGTAGGGTCAACACTGCCTCTCACCTCAATGGATAAGATGATGCCTAGTGATATGTCAAGATTGGCAACAGCAATTCCTGCATCGTGAGTCATGCTCCCTGTTTTTGCCGCCTTATACATGTAACACTCACATGGCTATTTTCTAAAACACTTTGATTTTTTCTGAGAATCTCACGCTTTACTGAACACGGATCGCAATGTGTGGCTGTAATAATAAACATGATTACTGTTGTGAAAAGTAAGATTGTCTAATCGAATCTAAAGATGAATAAGAGATGTTTGTAAGAGTTGAGTAATTTGGCGTTGAATTTGACTGTACTGTTGGGCGGTTCCGAATATTGTGGGTCAGTGGTCAGTTACTTTTTCCACTGATCTGGAAATCGGTGTATGAATGAAAGCTCGGTATATAATTGAATAATTGGTGACGATGATGATGCTGGTGATGTTGTTGATGTTAGTGGTTGTTTGTTTGTTTGTGTGTGTGTGTGTGTTTGGAAGTGAGGATCCGGATGAATGGAAACACGAATGCATATATGCATGTGGTATTCCTTGACTTAAAAGCAGCGTTAGACTCTGTTGACCGAGAGGTTCTGTAGCAGTGTCTGTCATTGAAATGCGTACCTCAGAACTACATAAACCTTGTGAATGCTCTTTACTCGAACACTACTAGTCGGGTCAGAGCCTATGGCGAACTGTCATCTGCTTTTGCAACCTCAAGTCGCGTCCGTCAAGGCTGTCCACTTTCTCCTTTTTTGTTTAACTTTATCATAGACATCCTGATGGAAATAACGCTCTCATCGACTGACTTCTCGGGTATTGATCTCCTACCAGGAGGTCCACTTATTGACTTAGAATACGCAGATGACATAGTCCTGTTTGGTGAAGACGCTGATGAAATGCAGAGTCTTTTGGTAGCACTGAGCAACAATGCTAGGATGTTTGGAATGCGTTTCTCTCCCTGTAAATGCAAGTTGTTGCTTCAGGACTGGTCTGCATCAACACCTGAACTAAGGATAGGGGGTGAAGTAGTCGAACGCGTTGACAACTTCACTTATCTTGGAAGTCTGATCAGCCCTAATATGTTGGTGTATGACGAAATCTCAGCACGGATTCGAAAAGCTCGCTTGGCCTTTGCCAACTTACGTCATCTATGGCGAAGGCGAGATATCCGTCTATCAATTAAGGGACGAGTATACTGCGCGGCAGTTCGTTCCGTTCTACTATACGGCTGCGAAACATGGCCTTTAAGAGTGGAAGATATTCGTAAGTTACTAGTATTTGACCACAGGTGCCTAAGAAATATTGCGGGTATCTGCTGGGATCGCCGGGTAAGTAATAGTGAGGTTAGACGCAGGGTATTAGGGAATGATGGTAAATCAGTTGATGAGGTTATGAATCTTCATCGACTGAGATGGTTGGGCCACGTGTTGCGTATGCCTGAACACCGATTACCAAGACGCGCAATGCTGACTAGTGCAGGGGATAATTGGAAGAAAGTTAGGGGCGGCCAAACCAAAACGTGCCATCAGTGCTTGAAGTCACTAACTTCTGGTTTGAGCCATGTTGGGAGATTCAGACTGCCTGGTTGGGGTCCGCGTGACTATCGTAACCAATGGTTGGAGACTCTTGGTGACATGGCTCAGAATCGATCACAATGGCGTCGGTGTATACACTCTCTGTCTTCCTTAAATTAAGAGATTAAAATCGCTTCATATCTGTCTACGAACCAATTCTTTCTTCCTTTACTATCTCTTTATACACAATCTTTCTTCTATATATTACCACCACTGAATTAACTACTCCTATTAATCCGGTGTTCATCTTGTTGTGCTAATGCGGTATGGCAACATGGACCGATGCATATACGTGCCTGGTCCTACGTTGCAGCTGACTGACTGACTGATATGCATGTTGATTGACATCAGTTGACGAGTGGATTGGTTGAGGCTGATGAGACTGTAAGTGACCTCGGAAACCGTGGTACCTGTGTTGCGATGTTATCGGATCCACAATTCACAACGGGTTGGATCGGTCGTTTGACGAGGCATTGAAGATGACAGTATGGAGAGATGAAATGATCACATGCGAATACCTGACAGCAGTATCAACACAAACGTATTAGTATTGGGTGGGTGACAATTTCAACATAACAAATTACCAGTTCACAGTTTACATACATATTAACAATTGCACTATGATTATATCCATGTCAATTCACCAAGTCAAGTTGGCACCAACACACACTCATACATACATGCATACATACATACATACACACATACATACATACATACATACATACACACACACATACATACATACACACACACATACATACATACATACACACATACATACATAAGCGCCTACACTCACACATGCACGCACAGCAAATTCCATATGGTGACAATGTGTGACAATAATAACTATTAACTCGCATTCACTCATTGTTCGAGTAATAAGATGCATTTTGTGTTTGTTGGTGTGGAATCAGTGTATTTATGTGAGACTGGTTATTTGGACTTCCGTTTGTAGGCCAGCTGGATTGGTAGGGTCAACACTGCCTCTCACCTCAATGGATAAGATGATGCCTAGTGATATGTCAAGATTGGCAACAGCAATTCCTGCATCGTAAGTTATATTCTTTTTTGTATTTTTGGATTTGTCTTTCTCATAGACGAATTAGCTATACATTGCTTTGGTGAATCGACGTGCTTGTTTGTAATCGATCATTTAAGCAACGATGTGAATATTTTAAAAAATGCAGGTCCATTGAATGTACTTGTTAGCCCACACTCAATTGCAGATATACAAATAATATCATACTTCTATTTTTAGAACTCAGAGTTTGTGAATATTTTACAGTCCTAACAATATTTTCTAGACCACCGCTGAGAACTAGTTGCCTCTGGACCGAGTTCGCTTTCTAGTGTATACCTCCTCGGAAATACGCATCCACAACAACAATTCAGGGTCTACTGGGAATAAACATACGTTACATGTTTTCTATTTTTAATGGTTGTCTAGCTAAGTTCAGTAGGTGATTTAAACTATGCCTATACTTCATTCCTAACCAAATATCTAATTTAATATCAATCATGTGCTCATTTGTTTGAAGATACAATTCCTAGAGCTCTAGTAATAATCTCTAATCAATGGAGTTCAACGATTTCGGGTATGGGACAGTTATCTAAGATAGTCGATGAAAAACGTTCACGTAATATCATGATCTGATTAGATTCCTACTTAGCGCTTCTGTAATTAAGCGCTGGAGAACAGGACTTATGGTCCTGACTCAGCCTCGGGGACTTCATAGATGCGCAGTATTATTGAGTCTTGTATGAACAAGCGATAACTGTATGTTGTTTCTTAGTTTCATAGTGGTGATTTGTAAACTATGCAAATCCAATTAGGCTGACTCACCAGATTATTAGGTCTATATAAATCACGGAATACTAGACAAGTGTTTCGACGTAATTTGAGACTCTTCAATAAAGCATACGATAGATCCAATGTTTCAACGAGTATAGATTTTATGAGTATAATTGATGGTTGTTAAATGAGCATAAAGAACCATCTCGTCGTTTACTTTTATAATACGTCAAGAAGATTTACTTGATTGTTGCATTTGTTCCCACATCGAAAGTGATTACTGAGTGTATACTGTTCAACTGCTTTAACACTTTAATAATATATTGATCCATATTGATAAATGTGTTGTTGATGCAACTCAGCGGAAATTTAGATCATTGAAAACCTTTTTGAGGGATCCATTTCCTGATCTCACTTAAAAGAAATCAACTAACATTGAAGTTGATGGTAAACCATATTACTATTCTATCGACTTGTTTAGAATAGATATTATGCAAGACAAAATGATCATTCACTATTTACCTTAACAGTAACTGTTTAAGATTGGTTTCTTTGTGGCTAATGCTGAGATTTCTTTTATTGCTATTTATTTGAATATAAACTCAACTGTTCAGACTAATGATAAATTCATGAATAATGAGAAGATATCTAGAGAAATCCAATCTTTTCAAACATCGTTCGTCTTTTAAGTGCTCAAAGAGAATTGATCAGTTGTTTCTTTACTCCTTTATTGATGCATTTATTATCAATACTTACTTAAATTAATTGTTGCTCTAGTTGTCATAAAAAGCATCAAGTTTGTGACTTCCAAAAGAACTCGGCTTTCACCATGAAGCTTCATAACTCTTATAAATGAAGACTTTCTAACTCCCAGGGCAGAGTTTGAATGATTTGAATTATTTTTTCTGATTAGCATTTTTAGCGAGTTAGTTTTCTACGGGATAAGGTCGTTAACCCCATGCCCAACCTTCCTCCTTTATCCGAGCTTGTGACCAGTAGTAGCCCCAGAAGGGCTCCAGAGGGAGTTATTATCAATAAGTGTTCATTTTATCAATGTATTCCATTTTATTCAATACACTTCAACATTCCCCCTATCTAACTTACTTATAATCGTGGTATTTTCTTTTGTAAGATTTATTAGAATGTTCAAATGCCTCTTGATTAGTTATGCATATATAAAGCACTTTTGTGTAGCTGACAGCTATCAGTCAGGATGATCTTAAACCTACCTAATTCCTTTCATAACTAAAATCCAACTGCAGTGCGTGTTACTGATGTCGACAGCTATAAGTAGTATGTGACATCAATCGAAAGTGAAATACCTGATGACAGAACGTTAAGAAGATTGAAGAAAAGAGAACGAGCATATAGAATGATTGATGTGGAACGCTCAATTTAGAGACGATTGATTGACATTTCGCAAATGAAGTATTCACTGTATGATTCTCAGATTTTACTAAGAGATTTTGCAATTACGTGTCCAAGTACATTCGATTGTCCCCACTTATATTCTCATTCACTACGCATTTTGCTAATTTATGTAGTAAATTTTAATATATTCCATTCAAATATGTGTATACAATAAGGTACTTCGGGTACTCTTAAGACAATTCAAACATCTCACAGTTTCTAATGATTTTGCCTAGTTCAACAGAAACTATTTAATTGTTGATGAGAATCAAACAATTGCTAATACCAATAGTTGAGATCATGATTGAATTGAAGCTAGACCACCATGGAAAACCTGGAAGCAATGGACGGCCGTTTCGTCCTATTGTCGGACTCTTCAGCGGTGCGCATCCACGACCCCGCGTGGCAGGATTCGAACCCAGGACCTATCATTACTATCACTGTTAATATCATTCTCACTGAAATATAATTTACTTCTACATGAAGTAGACGATTAAGATAATGTCCAAAAAATTACAATGAATATTCAACAAATCAACTACTTAGCTCAGATAATTCAACACTACCAAAACTATATGTTATGTTATTTAATAAAATACCAACATAAGTGTACAAAGATATGATTAAATAAGCATCTTAAATCACTAATCAATAATTTCGTAGGATACTTACTTACTTACGCCTGTTACCCGTCCCCCTGGAGGAGTATAGGCCACTCACAAGCATTCTACAACCAACTCCGTCCTGGACAATCCTTTCCTGTTCTTTCCATTTGCTAGACATCCTTTTCATATCTGCTTCCGATTGTCGGCACATTGTGTTCTTCGGCTTTCCTCTTTTCCGTTTCCTTTCAGAATTCCATATTAGTGTTACATCATGAAGCAGTTTGATGATTTCCTCAATGTATGCTTTATCCGCATCCAAGGTCTTTTCTTATTTCTTTTTGAGCTGGAAGTTAGTTTATTTTCTTCCACAATAGGCTGTTGCTGATGGTATCCGGTCAACGGATATTGAGTATCATACGTAGACGATTGTTTATATATACTTGTACCTTTTTGATGGTAATAGTCAGTAAAATTAGATGATAATATAATACCTTTTGTTATATAATTTCAGTCAAATGTTATCAACAAACATGCAAATTCCTAAATCTCCAGTTATAACTAACATGTTAACCAATGCATCAGGAAGTTTACCACAGAATTCTATGATGTAAGTTATAATTTAATGGTTATCCTTGCATTTAAACTTAAATAACATTGTTGACTATTTTGTTGAAGTGTTATTTCTACTCATTCTCAGCGTTTAGCTAACTTACTTACGCCTGTTACCCACAATGGAGTATAGGCCGTCGACCACCATTCTACGACCCACTCTGTCTTCAGCCTTCTTTTCTAATTCTATCCAATTGTTGTTCATTTTTCTCATGTTTGTTTCCATTTCTCGACGTAATGTGTTCTTTGGTCTACCTCTTCTTCTTTGGCCTTGAGGGATTCCATGTGAGGGATTGCCTTGTGATTCAGTTGGGTGCTTTCCTCAATATGTGTCCTATCCACATTCAGCGTTTCTTTCTCATTTCATCTGGTTTGTTCTCTCCCAAAGTAGGTTGTTGCTGATAGTGTCTGGCCAACGGATCCGAAGTGTTTTGCGTAGACGGCTGTTAATGTTAATACTTTCTCGTAGTCAATGAAGTTGATGTAGAATGATGAATTCCATTCAATTGATTGTTCCACAACGATCCGTAGTGTTGCGATTTAGTCGGTACATGATCGATCATAACGGCCATCCAGTGCTTCTAGACTTTACAAGGTGGCCGAGTTTTAATCGACTCGTGAATTCAGTTAATTGAATTATTTGGTTTGTTCCTGTCCATGAGAAAACTTTACACTACGAATAGATATCATAAGTCGTAAATCTAGTAATAATAGGAGTTATCTTAATCTCTTATATTCTAATTAATTTCAAGCAGAAAGTATATAATAACTATATAGCATATAAATCTAAATATCAGATAATCAACCAATTTTTTAAGCAAATATAGATAGTGGCTAGCATTAAAATCCAAGACGTGCATTTTTTCCTGTTTAGAACTCGTCAGCTAGACGTATCTTCATATCAGAGTTGATGATCACTCTGGGACTCGCTTCAAATGCCATCGCGTAATCCATTTAGCTACTGAGTCCTGATAAACTAATATAGCCTATATATATATATATATATATATATATATATATATATATATATATATATATATATATATATATATATATATATATAAGCCGCTCATCAGCATTATTTATCCAACCCTGTCCGAAGCAATTCTTTCAAGCTCTTTCCAGTTCTTATTCATCCTTTTTTTATCTGATTCTATTTCCTGACGTAATGTGTTCTTTGGCCTTCCTCATTTGCGCTTCCCTTCAGGATTCCAAGTTAGGGCTTGCCTCGTGATGCGGTTTGATGATTTGAGTAATGTATGTCCTTTCCATTCCCATCGTCTTTTCTTAATTTCCTCTTCAACTGGAAGCTGGTTGGTTCTCTCCCACAAAAGGCTGTTGCTGATGGTATCCGACCAATGGATGTTGAGTATCTTGCGTAGACAGCTATTGATAAATACTTGTACCTTCTTGATAGTGGTTGTTGTAGTTCTCGATGTCTCAGCTCCGTACAATAGAACTGCCTCGATGTTCGTATTGAAGATTCTGACCTTTATATTGGTTGAAAGTTGTTTTGAGTTCCATTTGTTCTTCAAATGAAGGTATGTGACCCTTACTTTGCCAACCCTCCCCTTGACGTCTGCATCTGAACCTCCTTGTTCATCGATGATGCTTCCCAAGTATATGAAGGATTCCACATCTTCCAGAGTTTCGCCATCAATAGTGATTGGATTGCTGTTCTCCGTGTTGTATTTGAAAACCTTGGTTTTCCCCTTATGTATGTTGAGGCCTACGGATGCACAAACTGCTACTACGCTGGCTATATCTTTATCTGCATTTCTTCGTGTGTATGCGATAGACGGTCTAGGTCATCTGCAAAGTCCAAATCGTCTAATTGGTTCTATTTGAACTGTCTATTGTATACCATATTTTCCCTCAGATGTCAAGATCTTCATAATCCAGTCAACCACCAGAAGAATGAAGAAGAGAAATAGTAAAACAAACTTGTCTGAATCCGATTCTTACTTGAAATGTATCTATCAGCTGTCCTCCTACTATAATTATTAAACTATTTCTAATGAAATTGTTATACTTTTTTATAGAAAACAAACCTTCTTTTTTTGATATGTTTTCTTTATTTTAGTCCATCAATAATTCCACAGAATAACATAGCAACTAATTCGAATATATTCAATTTTGACAATTTAGATAAAAGTTAAAATGATAATGTAATAGAATATACATCTGATTATTGATTCTATAACCGTAAACATAAACACAGATATGATTACAAGTTTATTTTTATATATACATATACATATACATATACATTTCTATATAATATTACATTTCATTAAAAGCATAAGTATACATGTGTATAACTATCAGTGTACTTGTGCGTGTGTGTGTGTGTGCGTGTGTGTGCGTGCATGATTACCAATTTATTGTTACACATTTGTTTTATGTTATCTATGATCATAAAAACTAATAATAATAATAATAATGATAATTACTAATGCATCTTGTCATTTGTATGTAGATTGTAGAAAGTGATGATACTTGGAATAAGTTTCAAGTTTTATGATAAGTTCAGTATACAATAATATGGAATATATGTTCGTCATCACAATTGATTGATCACTGGGTGGTGACCAATGTCATGCGTGTCTAGTCCTTATTATTAGTGCAGATTGAATGTTATGGACTATGTTTCAATGTGGTCATCAGTCTAAGTGGCTCGACATTGCGTGCACTATGTTGAGATTAAATGGTGGTTGGAGATAGTCGACAAGAAACCCTGGACCCGGGTTTCATGCTACTTGGCACTCGTCAACAAGGCGTACCTGTAATCTTGAGGGAACTGGTGCTCCCTGGCATTCGATCTGCACTAATAAGGACTAGACACGCATGACATTGATCACCACTCAGTGATCAATCAATTGTGATTATATCTCAGTCCTACAAGAGGTCGGTCGCAGCCCGGATAGCTCAGTGGTAACGTCTCTGACTGTGAAGCTGGGTGACACGGGATAGAATCTGTCAGGGAGCACCAGTTCCTTCAAGATTGCAGGTACACCTTGCTGATGAGTGCCAAGTAGCACGAAATCCGGGTCCAGGGTCTCCTGTTGACTACCTCTAATCATTATCTAATATGTTCGTCATACAACCCACTTGATTTGTATGTAGGCTGTGATACTACCCGGGTTCCCAAACAGAAACAGTTAGTTTTCTTAAGGAGTCACACCCAGAGTCTTCGACCTAAAGGTCTAATCCACAAAGCAATGGAGCACCGAAAGCAGATGCAGTCTTATGATAGACGGTGATCAAGGATTGGTTTATACGTCATTTGTTCCTTCAGGATCGTGGAGCCCATGTGTGCCATTTGGTTTGGAATCAAGGTTTTTCAACTCCTCTAAGTGTGCTCTCTGTGTCTACCAACCCGGTTAAATCGTCCGACATTCGCTTTTTGTTCTCTCAATTTCCTAAATAACACCCTAACCGAACGAAATTTAAAAGTTATTCATGGGATAAACAAGAATCTGGTACATTAATCTTGATTTATTAAAAGGCAAAGTTAGAATTGATTTAATTTATAAAATAAGTAGGTTCGTTAATTTATGTGATATTTTGGACAATTGAAATGTTTATTGGTCTATCTATCCTTAAATATCGTTCAAAAATTGATTGTACTCAGTGGGAACACGAATCAAGTAATATTGAAGTATGTTGTTGAGATAAAATGACACTCTTCGACGAACATGATGATTTTTATGAATGATAAAAATACAAAAGAAAAAAATTACTTATTTTGATGTTGTGGTTTATGATGGATCCGAACAAAAGAGCTTATTGAAGATATTACTTACCTACGCCTGTTACTCACAATGGAGAATATGCAATCGACCACCATTCTACAACCCACTCTGTCCTCAGCCTTCTTTTCTAGTTCTATCCAATTGTTGTTCATTTTTCTCATGTTTGTTTCCATTTCTCGACGTAATGTGTTCTTTGGTCTTCCTCTTCTTCTTTGGCCTTGAGGGATTCCATGTGAGGGATTGCCTTGTGATGCGGTTGGGGGCTTTCCTCAATATGTGTCCTATTCACTTACAATTACAATATAAATGGTATATTAAATAACAAAATGATAACAGTTATTATGAAATGAATGTTACTTGTAAGATGTTCTCTGAAACAACAACCATAAATGAATTCACTAGATTAACTGTTAAGTAATCCACATATTTTCTCGCAAAAGACAAGCAAGGATCAGGAAACACTAAGAAGCATTTCATTCAATCAGCGTTCACTTGAAGTTTTAGCCAAAAACATCAAGGAAGTGAAACGTCTCATGTAAAGGTTCTGATTGGCTGATTACTATACTGATACTATGTTTAGTAGCATTCCAGAATCTTCGTGCAACCCAAAGGACATTTAAAATATTATAAAAACCTTATATTTTCTGTATTAAAATGAACCTTTGGAGTAAAGTACTTTCGCATACTTTGCGCCTTCTAGTTGGTGTTCAGGTCACTGTATAGTTCTAGCTTGGGAATTACAAGAATAGCTTATGAACCAAGTATAGCGTTAAAATTACAAGACTTATCATTAACAAAGTTTCCTCTGTATTTGATGGCACTAACAGTGTAATGAGAAAGATTAAATCCGTTAGTATTATTTAATAATGATCTGGGTTAAAACTCCAGTATAGTATGGGAAGGCCTAAAAAGATTACAATCTTCAATCACAGGTCTTGACCAGTAAAACAGAAGAATAAACGGTGGAGATAACGTTGGATAGTTTGTCTAATACAAATAATTTCGCTTTCAATTTAATGATCTTAACGACGACAACAACAACAACAACAGAACAAACAATGAATTCAGTGATCACCTAAATAAATAAGACAAAGTCAATGGTTTCAATATGAAATTAGTTTTATCTACTCCATGATATCTGATTGGTCAGTTGATGAGAATTGTACGATTGGATTAGTCTAATGATGACCAAAGTTCCTATATAACAGCTAAAACTTTAGTCAGTAGAATATTTTTGGAGTGAGATGAGAATATGAAGCTGATCTACTTTTCAGTCAGAAATTAAACAAAAACAAGTCAATGTTAGTGAATAGATTCACAGTTATATAATATACCCTTGTGGGCCAGGGTAATTTTACATCAGTTTTCAGGAGAACCAGACACCGTCCAGACTTTCACGTGACAACCCAAACAGTACAGCCCAAGCCCGTTTAACAGGAGAGCCGGACACCGTATAGGCTATAACGTTACAATCTGAATAGTGCAGCTCAATCCTGTGGCGCAACCACACATGTACCAAGCACCCTGGTGGACCATTCGCACCATTCATATACACATTCATATCACATGTGTAATTATTCCGATCAATGATCGCGAGAATCAATTATGCACGGCACGAACAGGCCAAAGTTGACCCATTCCGCTTACACGACAGTCAAACTCATTAATGTTAGCAATAACGACATGCCTGACAATGTCCCAATGACAATGGCCCTCGAGAACACTGAAAAGCAGCCACCAGTATGAATGAAATAAGTTAACCAGCAAACCAATTTTGTTCGTGAACAGTCAGCAAAACTTGCCAAAGCATTGCTAAACCATCCACAATAGCAATGGCGAGCCTCCAGCCTCATATGAGACCTTCAGCTCTACACAGCCATATAGATTACATTTAATTAATCAGTGTTAATCGATAATTATTAAGATGAATAGAATTATAAGATGGATAACGATCTGTATTCCTCATCTACATGAATGGGACGAATATCTTTACTAGATACCATTCCATTGTCTACTCTACAGGACTTCAACACAATTCAAATCAAGAACACTTGATTAGTCGAACTAGAACATAAGTATATTTTAACACCAAAAAACCGACAACAATCACAATAATAATAATAATAAGGGTAGGGAAATATCTAATTCAACTAATAAATATAAAACTATCTCTACTGGTCTGATTAAGTAAACAATCCATTTTGTTATCTAATGACAAATTGTTTCAAAGATTATTTTAAATAATTTCATTAGTTGAGATCAATTGAATCAATTGAAGTTAGACCATTATAGAAAAACTGGAAGCATTGGACGGCCGTTTCATCCCAGTATAGGATTCCTCAGCAGTACGCACCCACGACCCCGCCACGCACATATATGCGTTGGTCCACGTTGCCATATCGCATTAGCACAACAAGATAAATACCAAATTCATAAAAGTGATCGCTTTAATGGTGGTAATATATAAAAAAAGATTACAGGGAGAAAGAATTAATTCGTACAAAGAAAGATTAAAAACAATTTTAATCTCACGGTTTAAGGGTAGACAGTGAGTGTATACACCTAACGTCATTGTGATCGATTCTGAGCCATGTCACACACAGTTTCCAATCACAAGTTACGATAGTCACGCTGACCCCAACCAAGTAGTCTGCATCTACCAGGAAGGGCCAAACTAGAAGTTAGTGACTTCAAGCACTGATGCCACGTTTTTGTTTGGCCGCCCCTAAATTTCTTACAACCATCCCCAATACTAGTCAGCATTAAGCGTCGTGGTAATCGGTGTTCAGGCATATGCAGCACGTAGTCCAACCATCTCAGTCAATGAAGATTCATAACCTCATCAACTGATTTACCATCATTCCCTAATACCCTGCGTCTAACCTCACTATTACTTACCCGGTGATCCCAGCAGATGCGAGCAATATTTCTAAGACATCTGTGGTCAAATATTACTAGCTTACGAGTATCTTCTACTATTAATGGTCACGTTTCGCACTCGTAAAATAGAAAAAAACGAACTGCCGCGCAGTATACAAGTCCCTTAATTGATAGACGCATTTCTCGCCTTTGCCACACGTCACGTAAGTTAGCAAAAGCCAAACGAGCTTTCTGAATCCGTGCTGAGATTTCTTCAGACACCAACATATTAGGGCTGATCAGACTTCCAAGATAAGTTGTCAACGCGTTCGACTACTTTACTCCCTATCTTTAGTTCAGCTGTTGACACAGGCCAGTCCTGAAGCAACAACTTGCATTTACAGGGGGAGAAACGCATTCCAAACATCCTAGCATTGTTGTCCAGGGCTGCAAAAAGATTCTGCATTTTATCGGCGTCTTCACCGAACAGTACTATATCATCTGCCTATTCTAATTGGATAAGTGGACCTTCTCGAAGGAGATCCATGCCCGGAAATTCAGTCGACGATAATGTTACTTCAATCAGTAGGTCTGTGACGAAGTTATACAAAAATGGAGAAAGTGGAAAACCTTGACGGACACCAATTGTGGTTGCAAAAGCAGATGACAGTTCGTCATAAGCTCGAACTCAACTAGTTGTGTTCGAGTAAAGAGTCCTCACAAAGTTTACGTACTTCTGAGGTACACCTTCTAATGACAGACACTGTCACAGAATCTCACGTCTACAGAGTTAAATGCTACTTTTAAGTCAAAAAGACCACCACTGTCAGACGCCGATAAGCATGCCTGTGTTCTAGAACCTGACGAATGGTGAATATGTGGTCGATGCAATCATAACCAGATCTGAAGCCGGCCTGATTTTCTCGTGTTTGCAGTTCACGAGTCTTAGTTAGGCGTCTGATAATTATTGAGGCTAGTATTTTAGATGCGATGTAAGTCAAACTAATCCCTCTATGGTTATCACAGGATGATTTTGACCCTTTCTTACATATCGGACAAATTAGTGATTACGACCAGTCAGATGAGATTACTTCCAACTCCCAGATTTTAGCTAAAATATTAGTCAACCTAATCGCTAAAGCTAAACCAACATTCGTAGGCACATCTAAACCAGCTGCTCTCCCTCGTTTCAGATTAGCTATAGCTTTCTGAACTTCAGCTAGCGTCGGGGGACCTACTTCAAGGTTCCATTCACGCTGTCCGGGAATGGTAGGTAGTTGTAGAATAGCTGAAGGCCAACTGAACTGCTCCTTAAAATATTCCACCCATCGTTCTAAACTTCTGTACTAAGAACAGATGAGTGTCGTCTTTTTTCCGAAATAGTCTCACACCTGACTTCTTATTTCCAGTTTATTTTATCAGTCTGTAGAGCTGTCTTGCGTTACCTACAGCCGCCGCCTTTTCCATCTCTTTTGCTTTCGATGCCCACCACTGCTCACGATCATTCCTTAGAATTTTGCTTTACCTAGATTTGATTTGCTTTCGTTCATCATCGTGTTCAGAGCCTGATAGGATGAGTTTACGCGAATCTATCAGTGCAATAGACCTTGAAGAAATCCATTGGTTCTTTGTAACCCTTTGGTTTAAATCACTAATAGATGTCAGTGCTGTTTCCACAGATGGTTGTATATGTTTCCAAGCAACATCTGGGTCAGTCTCATTTTCAGAAATACCTAAGTATGACTTCAGATGTTCCTGGAACCTACCTTTGGTTTTCTCATTACTCAATTCAATTCCAATGGATCTTTTTAGTGTGGCATTTCTGAGTCCAGTGAGGCGCAAGCAGATGGGTGCCCCGAAAAGAACATGGTCGGAGTTCAAGTACGTATTCCAGAGCGAGCGACAGTTTACTACTAAGCCTTTCCAACGATGACTGATGGCAATATGGTCTATTTGAGTCCATCTTGCGTTTGATGCAGGGGATCACCATGTTAGAAGATGTCTCTCCTTATGCTTAAAATGTGTGTTTGCTAAATACAAACTATTGTCTGAGCACAGTTGCAGCAGACGATCACCATTATCTGTTCGCTGTGCCGGAATATCAAAACGACCACTTAAATGTCTTTCTGTTTCGTTTAAGCTACCTACCTGGGCATTAAAGTCACCTCCAACGAGTACTATGTCTGAACGTTTAGCATTTTGGAAAGCTTCAGAAAGCTTTCTGTAAAATTCATCTTTCACTTCATCCGAGCTGCAGTCAGTGGAAGCGTAGGCAGGAACGACGAAAAGGCAACGACGTGTGTCCCTATCTTTCCGGGTTCTTACGGAGCCATTTAGCCAAGCTGCGCATAGACGACTGTTAACGGGGATCCACTCTAATAGCGCCCTCATGCTTAGTGCTTTGCCTACACCTGCCAGTCCACAAGAACTATCCATCAGGTCACCAGATAGGGGGCGTACGTTGAAGACTTGAATGTGTAATTTGGAGCGAGGTTTCAGTAGACCTGGGAAAGCGTTTTGAGTACTAGAATCGTTGGCTATGGTGACACTTGAGGAAGAAGCCGAAAGAGGAAGTTAATAGTTGAAAGTCAATGTAGGAGGAATAATAAGAACTAAAGAAAGAAGTTGATTATGATTACAGTGGTATTGAGTGCCGTTGGAATTATGAGGGCGGTTATCGCCTGAAAAAGAAATTGGAAGAAAAGTGGTCTTAGTGACCTGAGAGCGTGACTGCAATGCCCAAGGGACAACTGCTTGATGTCGGCCACACACGACCTTTTGTGGGTAATTTTTGTGTTAGCTCCATACTTGTTGAAACCTTACCGCCGGAGACGGATATCCGTAGGATAAGACGAGGTGTGCATTTTTAGGGTCGACCTTTTTCAACCCACCCCCTCTTGTGGGAAGACAGCATCGCTGCAGATGCTGGTTGTCTGAAGGAAAAATCTTACTGCTGTCATAATTCCGTACGGTCAGCAGTACGACTTCGCCCTCAGACCTTGAGTTTGTTGCTTTTAGTTTTACCGCTCTTCAACCGACCTGTCTGGCATGGTGAGACCTTGAGGAACGGTTGTTCCAGCCAGTATAGCTCGATTGGTTCATCACGATAGGCAAGACCGACCACCACATAAAGATAGCAACAACGGTTACATAACTAAAAAGTCACGTTCTAATTTACTCAAGATATGTCGATTAGCGACAAGAACTAGATGAACACCATTCTGTTTTACTTCGTAGCTCAGTTTTACAAATTAAATGCTTTTTTTAATAAAAGAAAAGTACAAACGACAAAATATCACACATTTGAACATTGAACTCATCAAAAAGGAAATAATGTTAAAAGAAAATTATAATTAGCAAAAACAAGAAAAGCATATGCTTAAATGCAGAGATAAAGAGAACAAATAAGTAAATTATTGCACGACAACGATGGCAACAATGACGACAACAACAACAACAACGGAGATGATAACGGTCGAAGATATATCAACATCAATAATAATAATAATAATAAAAGAAAGACACAAAGAGATTTTTCATTGAAATTGTGCTCTTTTATCACAAATATTAAATTGTTTTATCAAATTGATTTATCATTGGCAATTGGTGTTTAAGTCAAATCAGTATTAATCTGATTAGTAATAGACAAAATGATAGGAAATAATCTATGCACAACTGATTAATATACTTTAGATAATGTAAATTTGTAAATACTCAATGTTAAAATGCTTTATTTGAAAGTATTGAGAAGATTTACTATCATATCATGATAGTAAATAGAATTAGAATGAACGGAAAAAGTATTTGTATCAATTATATTCTTGACAAAGGAAATTATTCCACAAAATACGTTAAACTACTATTTATACTTTCTAAGTAGTATAAAGCTGAAAGATAAAGAAAGTTTCTTGATTAAGATAAATTGAGAACAATAATAATGATCATGATGATTATTTAGATAATTTAATGGGATAAATCGGTTAGTCTCCAAACAATAGCATGAGCACCTGAACCCATTTGACGTGAACGATTAACATGAATTCTCATGCTAGAAGCTGTATAAATATAGAAAATAAATAAAAGATGATGTTTGGTCAATAAGATAGGTTGGTTAGAAACAAAAATATAAAACTATAAACTATCAGTCTGATCATATATAGTTACGAAATAATTCACAGTTACACATTATCCTTTACTGACTCATGTGGAATGATAGTTTATGACGTGAAAAGAAATGTTTCTCAATAAGCCACTTGTATACCTACCTACCTAACTGTACAAGAACGAGAGAACATGTGTATATTGATTAATCAAAGTAACGTGTTCTCTCCAAAGGATGGGCGACATGCAGAAGATAGTTTAAAATGTCTATAGAGGTGTTACTCACAGTGTGGTTATCTAGCGGCTTCAGTTCTTATGAGTTTGTCGAAGTCATCACAGCTGCATTTAAGTTTATGTAGTATATTATTCAGTATATTCGTGACGTTGATACCCTTTCCTTCAGTAAACCATTAAGGATAGTCAGTATCCATGAAATCAACTGTAATATACAGAAGTTGCTGTTCTATTTTGTTTCCCGTGAATATTTATGTGATTCGTCGAATGAGCAGATTTGTAGTGCAGTAATAACTTTGGGGAGTATATACCACCCAAAACTCTGATAATAATTATGGTGAGTCGAAATTTCAATGAGTTAGATTTACCTGAAGTGTCATTATATTCAGCGTGTGCCCAAAAGTGTAATGGAAGCCAACCGTTTCGTCCTGTCTGTGACTTATCAGTGAAATGTAACGAATTTCAGGGTTGATATTCACATTCAAATACATACCCAGTGCATTCCGTTTCAAACACCCTCATACTCATTGAGCACATAAGTGACTATCTGGACTTAATAGCTCTGTGGATAATGTGTTGAGACTTTGAAGCAAAGGGCGATGGTTTCGAGTCGCAATGTGAACATTAAAGTTGGGATCCAGGTACATCCAACAGAAAAGTTTCAAATAGCATAAAAAAGCTTGCGAAGGATGCGCATAGATCATCAAAGATGGTTCACGATGGGTTTATTGTATCCCGAACCACTGGACATATTTTCGCTGATTTGGTGGACGAATGTTACACAATAAAATGTAATTTCGATGACAGACTTCATTTCAAGTAATGAATTTCACTGTTTGTTTTTTTTGTTTGTTTCATAATACATATTGGCTTAAGATACACTAACTTATTCATAATAGACAACTAAGAGTAAATTCAGACACTTGAAATCAAACTTCTAATGAAACGTTCACAGAAATGCTATATTCACTCATAATATGAACAAATCGGCAGAAAATCTTGGGTACAGAAAAGTACAAATATTGAATACTGAAAAATGCAGCCACCCAGATAGCTGCATAGGTGCTGGTGGTGGCGGGAGTGATGAGATCAATGCACGCATAGTGAAAGCAAGAGCGGCTTATGCCAATCTGGGCCATCTTTGGCGCCTTCGTGATGTTAGTCTGCCTGTAAAAGGTCGGATCTAAAACGCGTCGGTGAGAGCAGTTTTGCTCTATGCTTGTGAAACCTGGCCTCTTCGAGTCGAGGATGTTAGACGACTCTCTGTGTTCGATCATCGTTGTCTCCGAAGGATTGCTGGCATCCAGTGGCAACACCATGTCAGTAATGCAGAGGTTCGGCATCGTGTGTTCGGGCACAGAGACGATAATGCAATTGATGTCACCATCTTGAAACACAGACTTCGGTGGCTTGGACATGTTCTACGAATGTCGTCCCAGAGAATTCCACGTCGTGCATTATTTGCCAACTCTAGGACTGGTTGGAAAAAGCGAAGAGGTGGTCAGTATATAACATAGTGTCATGGTATGAAAGAAAGCTGCAAAGGGCTGACTTCTGTTGGTCCATCACGACTCCCTGGCTGAGGTCCGAGAGATGGTGTAACACAGTGGTTAGAAATGTTATCAGATATGGCTTAGAATAGAAGCCAGTGGCGATCGTGCTGTAACCTTCTTTTACTTTCTTCATAAAAAGCGGTTGCTTCTTCCATAACTGAAAGATTTCTTCTGATTGTACCTTCTCATTTCCCCTATTATTACTACTATTACACTACCTTACATTGATGTAGTCGTTATTGTTCTCTCTTTTTTTTTATTCCCTACGCTCTTTACCTTTTTTTTTCTTCTCTTCTCTTCCCATTCTCATTGTTTTATGTGGTGCATATATATTTGGTGCCCCCTTGTACTAAATATACTATGTGTTTCCATAAAATAATAATAAAATAAGCCAGGAAATTAAAAGTACATTAAAATACAACGTTATAAAATTGAAAAAAAGAATTACATTGATCCATTGAAAGATCAGTTTGATCATCATCTTTTTGTTTAGATTGTTCATGAAATTGTCTTAAATCTACATAATCATGTCCAACTGATACAATTAAATAATTCAAATCTTCATTGTTATTTGTTTTTTGACAAACTTGAAAATGATTTGAAAAGTAAAAAACAAAACAAGAAAATACTCAAATAGTTAAGAAGATACTCTCTATTGAAGTTTATCCAATTCTAAAGGGTTGTTAAAAGGTTTCTTTATATACCTAATATGTTCTTTGGCTCTATTTAGTCAAGATCTTGCGAGATTTCCTCTCCAATATAGAAGGCATCATAATCGATATAATCTAATATGTAGAAGCAATTCTGTGTGAACATGAAATGGATTTTTCTTTTCTTTTAAGCAACAATAACAGTTCATGCTATTTTCAACAACTAACAAATTGATTTCAAAAATATCAAAATATTGCAAAAAAAGCTTTTCCAATTACAAAGTAAGGAGAGTAGTTGAAGTGTTCCATATAATGCTTAATCCTACTTCTCTCAATAGAAAAGAAGGTCTTACCATACATCTTACTTGGATTATCTATCCTAGCCATTTAGTCTGATCTTATTTACAATTCACATTATCATCGTACAAATTAAACTCTATTGTTTTTTCTCACGATAAATGTCACACAACAATTTTTCATGCTTAAACAGTACACACAAATTTACATATATATATCACTTATGAATCACCTTGATCGAAATGACATGACATTAACTTGTTCAGACCTGTTTTTGATTGATCACATATTATTCTTGCATTGTTTCGTTGTACTAGTTAAACTTGAATTAATTTTAATTTGGTTATTTATTCTCTGAAGAAGTGACTTACATTAAGTCACGAAACGTTAGAAAATCTAATTTTCCTACTCGTTGGGATATCTACAAATATACTTATTTATTTATTTAAGAAGATACTCTCTATTGTTTAACCTAATCTTTCAATCAATAGGTTTTTATTAACCTCACTATATTGAATTGAGTAGCCAACTAGAGCTACTCAATATTACATACACAAATAGTGGGCCTCATAGTTAAATAAATAAACTTGCAACTAGTCAATTAATTGTACTGCAACGATTTAATATCTCGCTCTTTTAACATAAGTAAATCTATCTAGTGGCACAAGAAGAACAATAGTATCACAAAACGTTACTAGGTTTCATAAACAAGGGAATTGCAAGTTGTATTAGAGGTGTGTGGACGGTTGTTACGTCCGAATTACTCACATCATAAAAGAGTAGTTAACCTTTAAATGACTGAGAATGAAAGTGGGCTAAGAATGTTTTAACATGAGAAGGGCCAGTTACACACATCCACTTTGTCACTTTGGATATATGTCTTTTATACTTCCAAGTTATTGTTGACAGATACGAAAATAAATAAGATGAAGTGAGGTGTGTTAAGTCAAGCCACGAACTTTTCTAACTATCTGTATCCTTTATGAATACTTGTCTCAGAGAAACAAATTATTGCTGTTACAGTTCTGTACAACTGAGCGTTTAGATTCTACATTTATTGCTTTTAGTCCTTCCCTCTTCTAACCGATCTACCTATCACGGAAGGACCTAAAACAACGAGTATCCCGGTCAATATAACTCGATTAGGTCATCAAGACAAGCTTTAACCCGACGTGAAACGTCTAGACAGTAGTTATGATCAAATTTCAAAGGATCAATATTTGTTGTTTTAATAAAAATCAAAATAATATTGATCATTATTTGCTTTAAATAATGTGAATAGAACGTACTTTGATGAATTAATAGTAAATTGCATACAGGACGTCGATAACCATGACAACTGATTGTTATTGAAGAAGTTTTGGACAATTCAACCTCATTTGATGAATGCTTATACTCTACATAATAGAAAATTATGAAAGAAAATTTATCAGTTTATACTTAAATATCATATTCATGATGTTAATTATTTAAATTTCAATAGTTGAAATCATGAGTCAATTGAAGCTAGACCATTATGGAAAACATGGAAGCACTGGACGGTCGTTTCGTCCTATCGTGGGACTCCTCAAGTAGTGTGCATCCATTATGTGAAAAGAGTTAACCATAGTAACTGACTATTCAAAATAACTGAATCATCAATATCCAAGAGACAAATTTCTAAACTTTTAAAGGTAAAACAATTGACTCGAACTAATCATACAATAGGCATCAATACAGTCTGTTTGTTTTAATTTCATCAAATGTACTGATATAACCCTTGCGAAATAAATGAAATGCTAACTTCTACATGAAGTAATAAAATGAAGTTGGCAAGACTGATCAGTAAAGTTGTGCAAATAAACAGATGTTTACCACAGATTTAAAACCATATAGTACAAAAAATAACTAGATTTCAATTCTTTGTAAAGTTACATTGTAGTATCGGTTACTATGTTAAGCCTAGATACCTTATTCTAGCTTCTGGACAGGCCAATTTATCCATTCTTCCACAGTCACGCTCTGACTTTGTTAATTATTCACTTATCAACCTTGAATGTTTTTCTATGAGCGCATATATGAGTACACTTCTTATTCTATTCATCACATGTCTGTAGCTTATTTTTATCTGGCCATAAATATTGATGAATGAATTGATTAAATGAAGTTGGTTGACACGCCTTTACCGCGCGTCATTTCGCTTCGTTCCTCTGATTGTCTGTCCAGATCAATGATTATACAAAATATATGTATTCGAAATCCATTCTCGTATTTGATTTATTTAATTCTGTTATCCACTAACGCGGTTTAAGTCGATGAAATATACGAGGAATAATGATCAATCCTACAAACTATTTGGAGTCAGATCCCCGGCCACTAAAATATCACTGGAACCTATTCTCGCTTTAAAACGTAATGTCTGTCAAAAAATAAACATTGGACAATAAATAGTTGTAGAACAAAAATCAGATCAATACAAAATTTTGACATTCGTTCATTTATTCATATAAAGTTGAGAATTATAACGTGCACCTTGACACACTTAGAAAAGACATTTCTGAAATTCTGGTGAAAATTTGTGACTAGTAGAGTTGAGCCAAATTGAGTGTGACAAAAATACTCGCTGAAGATAATGGAAAGTAGTCGTGTAATATTCCACATAGATTGAACTCAGACTTGTGCACCAATGGATCCCCGGTCAGAGTTCTACAGGTTAAGCGCCAAAGCATAGAAAGGTGGCCTTGATTTAGTTCCTGATTGTTGGTTATAGGTGCGTATTACTAAGACGCAACGAGCATTTAGTTCTCCTAGTTTTCTAATGGCTCTATAACTTAGATACGTTTGTGGTCGTAATAAAATTTGAAGTTTTATTTTGTTATAAAATCCTTATGAGATCAAACATACTATCATTAGTTCGCTAATGCAACTTGGTATATCGAGTGTATTAAAGTAAACATCTAAGTTGCAATATGACGAAGACTAGGAAAGTATGACCTTGGTCACTACACAGCCAATTGTAAATATCCCAGTCCTACAGAAGTCCAGAATAATTTAATGATACAGTCTCAGGTTGTGAAGCTAGTCAACTCATGTGTTATTCATAAAAACAGCACCAGTTCCTTTAAGGTAGCAGATATACTTTGTTGATGAGAGCTACCAAAACCAAGTCCATACAGGGTTTCCTGCCAAACACCACTAATCACTTAATAGACGATTAACTACTTATAGAACAGGCATGAATAGATGTATTTTTGCTCGCTTAATAAGTCCAATAATTATTCAATACCATTAGAATCGATACATAAAAAGTCAATAAATGATTACTGGAGTAATCCAAACGTAAACGAGCAATAAGACCAGAACGAGTAGCAAACCATATTTCATGATCACTAGTCAGTGGTATAATAAGTAGACGACATATAGTTAAATCAATCGGATCTGTAACATTTTCCATATCTATAAAGAATTAAGAAAGAAAAGCATTATAAACAGATAGTATTGAGAATTCAAATAATACTACTTATAAGTAACTAGTGTTTCATAGAACATTTTGTTATGAACATTTCATTGTTAGATTCTTAAACTAACAACTGATTGATGCATAAACTTTATCTCCATTGTCTGTACTGAGTGTTGATTGCTGTTGTCAGTTTGAATATGAATTATTTTTGCCTTGAGTCAACTGTTATTTACTTTAGCAATACATTTACATTAATACAGAAAACAACTATCTGACTTTCAATAGCCTAAAATGCAATCATTCACATAGATCTCAATAATAAGTGAATTACTTTACACTCATCGATGATGTTAATCAATAAACGTTTCCAGCTTCCCATCATTAACGGTTGAAAGCTCTAATCCTGACCCGTCTAAAAACCAATCGAGTCATTCAGGTACAGTACTATCTACTTTTAAGTAAATAAAGTAGGTTGCTGATGTTCGACAACATAAATTTGTACTTTATTATTGAATTGCAATATAACAATAAAAGAAATGTATGATTGAACCACTTGATCAACTGTTGCACATAATAAGAACGACTAAATATTTAGAATATGATAGAAAATAGCACAATGGGAACGGATGTATGAAAGAATACAGAAATTCAAGATTGAGCGGAAGATAAAAAGTTAATCTATCTGCATCATCCTGAACAAATCTAAGCCACAGTATCCAACATCACCAATAGTCAATGATTATGATTATCAGTTTGATTACAACCAGATATGTCTTGCATCTATAAAACATGGCTTAAATCTACAATTCAATGATAATGAAACTATGTACAGAGCAAGAATTAATAATTTATCCGAAACTTACCTAACATTGAAGATAATGAATTGGTTAAATCAATTTGACGTAGAATACACTTTTGTTTAGGACAACATCCTAATAGACGTGCCATTCCAACACTTACTCCACTATTTACATTATGTTGACACTTTTTCTGATTAACGATAACATTATCATCATCAATATCTTTATTATCAATATTAGTACGATTACTATCAGTTGTACATGTTGAAATTTTCTCACATGATGTACAAATTGTAGGATTGCCAGATACAGCTAACCAAACAATGTCAGTCATTCCTGTTGTAGACGGTTTAATGCATATTGCATGTAGACATGGTGTTTCATTTGGTAATGCTAAACTGTACATGTTAAACATATTTATGAAATGATAATAATAATAATAATAATACACATGTTTCTATAAATTACGAGTAAAATAAGGAAAAGTGTAAAATATCTCCAATAAAATAGAACTCTGAACTGGTTACTTCAATTTAAAGTGGGTATCTTTTCTCCACACGACAAATTATATGAAGAGTAAGATGGAAAAGTATAATACAGTGAGTAAAAGGATTATTCACTGAATCAGTCAGTCAGTCAGCTACAACGTAGAACGAAGCACATATGTACATCGGTCTAAGTTGCAACGACTCATTAGAACAACAAGATCAACAACAAATTCATAGAATTAGTTACTTCAATAGTAGTGATATATAAGAGAAAGATTGTGTATAGGGATAATACAGGAAGAAAGAATTAGAAAGGTATAAATTTGTTTTAATCTCACAGTTAAAACAAAGACAAAAAGTGCATATACCCACGCTATTGTGATCGATTTTGAGTCATGTCACACACAGTCTCCAACCACTGGTTATGATAATCACGAGGACCACAACAAATTAGTATCCATCTACTAACATGGGTCAAACTAGAAGTTAGTGACTTCAAGCACCAAGACCATGTTTTGGTTTGGCCGCCCCTAGCTTTCTTCCAAACATTCCCTACATTAAACAGAATTGCGCGTCGTTGTAATCGGTGTTCAGGCATACGCGACACGTGGCCCAACAATCTCAGTCGATGAAGATTCACTACCTCATCAACTGAGTTACCATCATTCCCTAATACTCCGAGTCCAACGTCATTATTACTTACCCGGTGATCCCAGTACTGGTAGCTTAATCTGTTAGTATAATTATTCGACACTAATACTTTCTAAGATATAATACATTCTACATTGATATATTTCTACTAATCAAATGGAATAATAACTTAATCAGACTGAAGTTTTTGACATCTTCATCTTCTAGTTGTAATCTATTTAAAAGAAGTTAAGTAAAGAGTTCAAATAAACAATTGATGTAGAAACTTTTCATATAAAAGTTTAAATGAATAATTTCACTGAAAGGATCAATCAACAAAGTTAATAATAATAATAATAATAATCCTTATTTGTACTATATTCAGTAAGTTGAAACTGAATCAACTTTTATATAATTGAATGAGTATATTCTATAAATGAAATTAAATGATAACACATTCTTAATAGGCTAATAAAGATCAATATATTTTAGCTTATTTATCAATCACTTTAATGATTATAAATTGTATAATTAAGAATATCATTAGTTTTATTAAAAAGGTAATTATTTTATTTTATTTTATTTGGACACATAAATATTGGTACAAGAGGGCACCAAATACATATACGCCGCACAAAATTTTATTTGTGTCTGGGCTGAGATACTGACCGCGTGCCCAGATCGAAGCAGGTGGTTTTCTTAGTAGGGCCACACCCCGAGCCTTTGACCTAAAGGTCTGACTCACAAGGCAGTGAAACATCGTAAGGAGATGCAATCTCATGGTAGCCGGTGACCAACGATTGGTTCATACACTATTTGTTCATTCAGGATACTGGGGCCCATGTGCACCATTGGTTTGGGATCCGGTTATAGCGCCGGACATTCGCATTTCGTCCTCTCATTTTCGTAGACAACACCCCCGCCACGAGAAGGCATTGAGTAGGACTTCCCTGGCAGAGGCTGTATACGCGTGGCCGTTTAAGAGCATTTCGAGAGGGAGGGCGGGCCCACTCCACTCTCGGGCATACCAGGGCATTTGTGGGGCAAAATGGTAATAATTAGTATATTTGTTTTTTTTTCGATGAATGACATTTGAGTGACGCCGGACTGGCCTTGATAGTGTTCAACCTAATAACTAGGACCGAATGAAGCTTATAAACTCCTGTATGAGAACTTTGAATTGTGATTTACAATTGACGGTTAAGGTTATGAATTCTATTTAAGATTTTCATCACAAACTGATGGATGAATTTTGTGCCAAAATTCAAGACCTGTTAACATATACCTGATTGGTTCGTCTATAAATTATAGTCTCAACGTTTTTTCTTCTGAAAAATTGATAATAAAACATAAATACTTCTAGATTGATCAATCAACTCTTCTCTAAATTATGTATGTGATTAATGTACAACATGCAAGCTCTATCATATCAAACATTGTGACGGACACAGATAACAATTTTCTGGAATATATTGGATCTGGTAGCATTTCAATCATTTATAGCGTTAAAAACCATTATCATAAATTATGGAAGGGCAACGTATTGTCAATATCTTATCAGGATGATTAATTCATATGTTTACATACATGTAACGATTATTACTAGATCAAACTAGATGTTAAAATAGCTCAGTTTTCTATTAATGATATGTATAGTATTTCTCTTGTCACAATATTCAACGACTTCAGTCCAATTAAATCAATTTATACTACGAAGATGAACAAATATTTACAGGCAACAAAATGTTTATTCATTATCATATGAGCACACACTTTCAAAAGCAGGTTAACTAATTATTTATCTGAAATCATGAGTCAATTAAAGCTAGACCACCATGGAAAACCTGGGAGTACTGGATGGCCGTATCGTCCTATTGCGGGACTCCTCAGCAGTGGGCACCCATGATCCCGCCCCTCACGAGGTTCAAACCCAGGACCTATCAGTCTCGCACGCGATCGCTTAACCAATAAACCACTAAGACGGCATCCAACTGTGTTAATGTCTAACTTCAACCAATTCACGAAATTTCTACAATTTCCACAAAACCCCTTCTGATAATAATCACTTAGTTCTCAATTTTTTCAACCATAGCGAAAAAATTTTTATCACCAAGGAGTCAGAAAACCCAATAACCGTGCAATGATTGCCACACTATAATTACTTACAGTAAAATTATAAAATATAAAATATGAGTTGGAAAGCAGGAGGTAAACCAATAGAGATCTACACTGATAGTAAACTTGAAGAATTCTTTCATTTAGCGTATACCACAAGTAAAAAGAATACGGAAAGGCAAAATTATAATGTAACTTTGGAGTGAAATTCAGTCATCCATATGACTAAATTACACTTGAGCATTATAGCTGGTATCAATTCCAGACGAAAAGCTCAAATACTAATTCTTAACCGCAACTGACAACGTTAAGTTCTAGTCTCAATTCAATACACTAATTTGTAAACTTAATAAGTGATTGAATATTCTCGAAAGTTCGTCCATAAATTATAGTCTCACAGATAGAGAGGATATAAAAAAAAACACAACAAATGCACATACATAACTAACCTTGTTATAAAATCACCAGATTGAACAGCTAAACAATAACAATAACCACCACCAGCTGTACCAAGCCATATATAATCATTTATTGAAGAAATATTATTCTCATTCACAATAGAACAAGGATTAGATGTAGACAAAGTGAAGGATGAAAACGAAGATGCCATAATTAACGGACCAGTTGATAAAGATTCATATGGTAAATTAATGAGTTTATGTTTTGTTTGTATTTTGTTGAAAGTAGAATTAATCATTGAAGAGGATGTATTTACGGTATGATTATATTGATTTTGCATAAATCTTAATGGCCACTGAAAGCAAACAATATGAGTTGTACCAAGTGAATTGAATAGACCAATACATACATAATTATCACGTGAACTATAAAAGAATAATGTGAATGTACAAAATGAATAAACGTGAATGAGTAAGAAATGAATAGATGGGATAAAGATGAAAGATGGTTACAAAACAATTCAATCGATGATGATAAGAATAATAGTAAACAAGAATCGATCAGAAGTGAAGAAATACAAATATTTTAGCATAATGAATGAAGCCTTATATACAAACCTGACTTATATTAAAAATATTTTAACATTCATGAACGGATTAAATATCCCAATTATGTAGAAAAAAGCCTTCGTTAAGGTTAAACAATTGATTCATCTGAAAATGTTTACTTATTTATTTTAACACAAACAGTGGCACAATGGAGCACCAAAATATATATGGTACTTTTATTTATTTATTTATTTGAACACATAAATATTGGTACAAGGAAACACCAGATACATATGCGCCACACGAATCTCAATTGATTTGTGTGAGGGCTGTGATACACCTCGGGTGTCCAAGCCGAAGCAGGTGATTTTCCTAGGGCCCACACCCTGAGCCTTCGACCTGAACGTCTGATCCACAAGGCAATGGGACATCGTAAGGAGATACAGTCACATGGTAGCCGGTAACCAACGATTGGTTCATACGCCATTTGTTCATTCAGGATACTGGAGTTAGCCCATGTGCACCATTGGTTTGGGATCCGCTTAAAGCACCGGATATTCGCTTTTCGTCCTCTCTTTTTCGTAAACAACACCCGTGGTGCGAGAAGGCAGTGAGTAGGACTTCCCTGGCAGAGGCTATTTACGCGTGACCATGTGAAAGCATTTCGAGAGGGAGAGCGGACTCTCCCCACTCTCAGCCGTACCAGGGCATTTGGGGGCAAATATATATGAGCTGCACAACATCAATGAGGTTGTGAAGTAACAGAAAAGGTGAAATGCATAATATAAAAAGAACAACAACAAACATAAATTAGTGTACGAGAGTGAAATGAAAAATAATGAGAAAAAAACAGTTCAGTTAACAAAGAATCTTCTCAGTTAAAAAAAGTTACTGATTGAGATTATGAATCGATAAATTTTAGACCACCATTGAAAACCTAGAAGCAATAAACGGACATTTCGTCCTAGTATGGGACTCCTAAGCAGTGCTCATCCACGATCCTGCAAGCGGGATTCGAACCCAGGAACTTTAGTATCGCGCTGGCACGGTGGTATAGAAATAAGTGTCCCTGTGGTGATTGGAGTTTTGCAACTCATATCCTGAATATATAAACTTTAGAGGAGATCTTAAACAAATTGAATCAACATGGACATCTACTCCATGTATTAGCATCGGTTAAAGAGTAGATACAAACCTTTAACTTTCGTTTATCTTCATGGCACGAAGAAATTGGATCGAGAGTTTTCTAGTTTATGTTACTTATTTATTTAAACACATAAACACTGGTACAAAGTGGCACCAAATTTAAATGCGCCACACTTCATCATTCGATTTGTGTGAAGGCTGGGATACTGTCTGGACGCCTAAACAGAAGCAGGTGGTTTTCTTAGGGTGCCATACACCTAAAGGTATAATCAACAAGACAGTGGAGCGACGTAAGGACATATAGTCTCGTGGAAGCCGGTAACCAACAATAGGTTCATACTTCATTTATTGTCTCAGGATTCTGGAGCCAATATGCAAAATTGGTTTGGAATTAGGGTTTTTCAACTCGTCTAGATGGCTCCTCCATACTCACCAAGCCGGTTAAAGTGTCGGACATTCGCTTTTCGTCCTCTTAATTTCGTAAACAACACCTCCATTATAAGAAGGTAATGAGTAGGAGTTCCCTGGCAGTGGCTGTGTATGCGTGACCGTGGGAAAGTATTTCGAGAGAGAGAGAGAACGGTCTCTTCTCATTCTCTGCCATATCAGGGCATTTGAGGATTTAGTATAAGTTCGTTTAATCAATATTTTACGTTGAATACACACATATCGAAATTTATTGTTGCGTTGATATTTCGATTTATATACATAGAACGTGTCATCAGAAAGCCAGAGTGAAGTTACCTTATCAATATTACTAGTTTAGATTATGGTATATGATTCTTACTAGTTTCAGTCAAATGGTTGTATTTTTTTTAATATCCTTGATCAGTGTTGAACTAACATATAAATGTATGAAGGAATAAAAATTTAACTTATTTTGTAAGTTAAATGAAGTTATACTGTATTCATTTTGTATTAAATTGGCGTATGGAAGTAAAAAGATAGATAGGTTGAGGACTTTTTGATCATACATAACTTTGACGCATGGCTCGTTTTTCGTGGAACAACTGAGTGAGTAATATTGAGGTCAAGTATAATGTACTAGGCAAAGGTAGAAAGTCGATTGATGAAGTTTATTACTTCCATCAACTTATGCGGATAGGATATGGTGTTATGTTTTCCAGAACACAATATACGTCAAAGAGTGTAGTTGACTGAAGTAAAAGCAGGTTGAAAGAAAGTTGTAGGGTAGCCGAAACTAAACATACCTTCAGTCTATAAAGCCAATGAATGTTGATGCGGGCTATTCCGGTAGATGCAGAATACCTGGTTAGGATCAGCGCGATAACCGCGATTAGTAATTGAAGATTTCGGGAGAAAATGCACAAAATCGTTTACAATGGAGTAGATGTATTCACCATTTATCTAGCTTCTGATCTAGAATTTCAGTGTGTCTTCATAGATTGTTATTCACTATGTCTTTTAAAAACATATTCTCAATATCTAGTCTCTTTTATCAACATTGCAACTTTGATCTCTTTTATTCCTTACCTTGTTATTTTCATCTCATCATTCTAATTTAACATTGACAAATTATATGAAGAGTAAGATGGAAAAGTATAATACAGTGAGTAAAAGGATTATTCACTGAATCAGTCAGTCAGTCAGCTACAATATAGAACCCGACACATATGTACATCGGGTCTAAGTTGCCACACCTCATTAGCACAAGAAGATCAACAACAAATTCATAGAAGTAGTCACTTCAATGGTGGTAATATATAAAAGATTGCATATAAGAAGACAAAGAGTGCATACACCTACACCATTGTCATCGATTTTGAGTCATGTCACACACAGTCTCCAACCATTGGTTACGATAGTCATGTGGACCCTAACAAAGTAGTCTGCATCTACTAACATGGCTCAGACCAGAAGTTAGTGATTTCAATGACTGATGCCACGTTTTGGTTTGCCCTCCCCTAACTTTCTTCCAATCATCCCCTACACTAGTCAGCATTGCGCGTCGTGTTAATCGGTGTTCAGGCATACGCAACACATGGTCTAACGTCCATTGATAACAGGCATGACGCTGAAGAAGACTGTAATCGTATTTTAATCTTCTTAGTTGTAATCTTAATTATTAATTAAAAACAAAACAAGTAACTCATCATCAAATCAACATAACTTACATCATCCCATTAGCCACTAAACCTTGACTATTTGTTTTAAATCGATAAATTAATTGTGGTAAGCCAACAACATTGAAATGATTTGAAACTATTTGTTCACTATAATTACTATTATTATCGTCATTATTTCTGGCTACTTCAGACGAACTGGTTGACTTCATACTACTATAACATAATCTATAAACTAGAAATCGTCCATCATTTGACGCTAAAATTACGCAACCATCTGAAAAAAGAAATAGTTTTTAAAAATGTAGAAAAGGATAGAAAGAACTTCTTCAATGAGGGCAAAGAATTATAGGAACATGGGAAAAAACAACGTCAAACTAACAAAGATTTAATGTGACTGAAAAGGTTTTTGTGTATATCGTTTTAGTTTAAAGAATGTATTCATCAGAGAGTCATTTCAATTGAGGTCCCATTAAAAGTCAGAAGGCACTAGACAACTGCTTCATCCTAGTATGAAAACTCTCTACCTTAGTCGCATACACACAGGACCCTGCCCAATATCGAAAGTAAGATTCATCAATCTTATTCATTATTATTCTAATTGTTTCTTGCCATCAAATCCTATTATCATTTAAAATGATGTTTATTTATCTACTACTCCAGGTAAAAATCAAAATCTAATCTTTCATACTGTAATTGTGCCTTTAATTATCATTATAGAGATTTGTGAAGATTATTAAATGTTATTAATAACACGGACCAACCTACGTTAAGCATTCATTCAAACCTTGAAGGAACTGTACAGCTGTTTAATTCTAGTAAGAGAGTACTTGGTAATTTTTGGAGTTTTGTTCTCTGAGCTCAGAGAACGAAATTTCGAACTATCAAAATCATCTACTTGAGCTACAAATATTCTCCACCATTACTTGGTAGTGCATACACATGACCCCACCAAAGGGGGTCGAACCGAGGATTTTTAGTCTCGTGCACGTACGCCCAACCTCCAGACCACTGAGCCAGAGTTCGATAGTGTATATGTCCAACGTCTATCAATTCACAATATTAAGCGACTATCTCCGTTGTTTACACTCCTTAATTTTTTCATGTTCCAGTTAGTCTACTTTCTTCTCTTCACTACCGTAAACTACACACTCCAAGGAATTCCGTCCAGTATACACAAACAAACAATAGAATCACTTATTCGATTGATTGAAATGAAGCTACTGTCATAGGCGAAACATTTTCATCCTAGAAATATTCATTTTGTTTTTCTTTCGAAAGTCTAAATTTATCGACATCTTTTTTGCTTTTGCCAATAATTCTTAGTTCTGATGAATGATTTAATCAATCAAAACACTTATTGAAATGTTGAGGAAATTATCACTGAACCGATGTTACTATATAGTTGTAGTTGTTAGTGGACGTGAAAAATAAGAGCTAAATTGCAACCTAATCATGAATTATCTACAAGCGTGAATAATTAGATTTGAAAATAGGGATAATTAATTGGTATCAGAAGGGGTTTTGTGGAGATCGTAGCAATTTCAATAGTTGAGATCATGAGTCAATTGAAGCTAGGTCACCACGGAAAACCTGGAAGCACTGGACGTTCTTTTTGTTCTAGTATGAGACTCCTCAGCAGTGCGCATCCATGACCCCATCTCGCGAGATTCGAACCCAGGACCTGATAAATATTTAAAAAACTATACAACTACTAACTAGTTAAAATAAATGATTAGCCGAAATTACTCAAGAAAGAATATTGACATACCATTATTCTTATTACAAATTGTTTCATTCATACCACTACTAGTATTATCATCATAAGATTCATTGATATCCCATGTAAATTCAACGTACTCATGATTTGAGGTTAATTCAGGTGAGGATGGAGTAGTTGACGCTACTGTAAAAAAAAATTATTTTTATAAATAAATAAACGGAATTATGAAGAGGACTTGCTAAGAACAGACGTTAAATGTTAAAATGTTGAGAGTAAGAGAATAATAGTTGAATAGCCAGTTTATAACATTGTTGAAGTTGATCGGTACGGTCTAGTCAACTATAAACTATAAGATAACCGTTAAGGGACCTTGAACAATCACAAGTGAATCAATTATTCAAAAACTAAAGATGTATCAATGGATAGTTAGCAATGGTTGACACAATTGGTCCCAATTTTGAAACCTGTTTAAATTATTTTAGTATGTGTAGCTGGGTAGCAGAAGGCGAACGTGTCAATTCCGCTTCTCATCACCGCTCAATGTCAGCACCCATTAGTGGAGGTATGAAATTTACTTCTCCAAAACAGTATTAGCAGTTCGACTTTTGGTATATCACTCTAAACATAAATAAAATATACATGAGCTCCACGTGGTTTATGTGGATCATACAGGTTTTTTGACACCAATAAATTATTCTATCAAGAATTAAGGATTGTGACTTTTATCAGCATAGTAGGATCATTGTTTATGGGTTGGTGCCGCCGAGGATTAACTAGTAAATCGAAGTTCTGCAAGAAATCGATACCGACTATAGGTACTGGCATGTCTGTACAATAAATTCGCGGAGAAATAAGGTTTAACACTAGTTCGCGATCTCCATGCGTCTTTACATCGAACGCATTTGCTGTTTGTAACACTGTAAAGAATAGTCAACCTGTGTTGGAAATGTTAAAATCTCTTTAGGAACGATGACTATCCGCACAATTTCTGACTATTCGGTTTTCTTCATGACCCTTGCCCTTTGATTGATTGTGATCGCTGCGTGCTTGAAGGTCATACTCTGCTACGACAGTAACAACTTTTGTACCAGTTCCGGTTGTGTTATTTGTCCTATTACAAATATCAAGTTATCAGCAGTTTCGTCTTCTTCCTATGTTAGCCGTCAAGGTTTGATGTATTGTGTGTAAATGGCTGTTGTCGATTGCAAAAATAAAAGGCTGCATTAGGGTAGTTCAATCACTTTTGTTCCCAAATCCGTAACATCGTAGGTGTATTGAACCATAAAAACAAGACACAACAACTGCCAGTAGTATATCAGTGCCTCGTCTCTCTTCACCTAGGGGTGGCAGAATACTTGTTCGCGCTCTGGTGTTTATTAGAAACCTAATAAATAATAAAACCTAACGAACTCGCATTACGAGTGTCTAACCTTCAGACTGTTGAGTAAGCATTTTATGTACCCATTTCTAAAGATTTCAGTACTAAGATTCTTCTTGGCTTTCAATGGTTTTCTAGTTAAAATCAGTCTGTGATGTAACGATGAAACTAATAAATTACAATAATAGTAGTAAACATAATAATAATAGCACAAAATACCTTCATTGTATTTTACATAAACAGCTGCTGTCGGCAAGAAACCATTATCTAAATCAAAACTATTAATAGGTTGAGTGAATTTTGTTGGTTCAAATATGTGCACTTGTCCAAGATAACCACGATTTACTGATAATGAAGAATCATTCGAATTTGGATAATCTCCTGAACCACCACGACCAATCAGCCATAAATGATACTACATATTTATTTCAAAAAGAGAAAAGAACTATCATACTAACGACAACATGAAATTGTCAAGAATGAATTTGTGAGATAGAAAAAGTTAAAAATAATTTTGAAAGCGAAGATTTATAAGGAGATAAACGGTGAATGCATCTTCATCCGAACCTTTGACCTAAAGGTTTGATCAACAAGACAGTGGAGTAACGTAAAGAGATGCAGTCCTATGGTCGCCGGTGACCAACAATAGGTTCATACGCCACATGTTCTTTCAGAATCCTGGAGTCCATGTGCTCCATTGGTTTGGAATCAGGGTTTTCCACTCCCCTAGGTGAACTCTCTGTGTCCACCAACCCGGTTAAAGCGCCGGACATTCACTTTTCATCCTCTCAATTTCATGAAAAGCACCCCTGTCGCATGAAGGCAGTGAGTAGGATGTTTTGGCAATGGTTTTATGCATGTGTCCATGTGAAAGCACTTGAAGATGGAAAGCGAACTCTCTTCACTCTCGGCCGTACCAGGGCATTTGGGCGACAGGGCGAAACAGCTACCGAATAGTGTGAATACGATACAATAGTAAGATTCAGAACATCTTATTGAAGTCAAACGCATAAGTGTTGGTTTGTAAAATAACCATAATGTAAACAGATGAGAACACTTCACAGTCTAAATTTATCAAAATTCCTAAAAGGGTGATAGATACTGTAGTAATTGCAACGTCAATGCATATATTAAACAAAAGATTAATTAACCTTAATAAATAATTCATAGTCAAATGATGTTCTCACTATCATTCTACATATTAAGCTCGTTAACATTAATTATCATGCAATTTCCACTAACATAAGAATGATTGTAAACAAACGAAAATGTTACGCTATACACTGAATGAGAATTAATCAAATCCGAGGTGGTATCTGTCTTAATTGTATTAAAAAGAATTTAAAGTGACTAGATAGATCAGATGATAATTTACAGGCAAACAAACAACAACAAAAAAAAACAACGCAACCACGATCAATAAGAGAATAAAAGATGGATCTTTTATACAACAGATCAATCAAATAGAGGAAAACACTAATGTGTATATGTGTGTGCATTAACTATTTAATTGTTTTGAAAAAAAAGGTATGTCATTAGATGGTGGTTGAAGGTAGTCAACAGGAAACCCTGATCGATAACATTCGTTCTGCACTAAGAAGGACTTGACACACATGACATTGATCACCACCCAGTGATTAATCAATTGTGAAAGGTATGGCATTTACTTAATGCATATTACAAATTATAATAATATTATTGAAATTAGTGTTTTATAGTTAACTGTCATAAACAGAAATCCACACCTGTACTTCAAGGTAAGTAGTAGTAGTAGTAGTAGTAGTAGTAGTAGTAGTAGTAGTAGTAGTAGTAGTAGTAGTAGTAGTAGTAGTAGTAGTAGTAGTAGTAGTAGTAGTAGTAGTAGTAGTAGTAGTAATAGTAGTAGTAGTGACATGTTATTAGTAAGTAATGGGTGAGGTAATAACTTACTTTAGGTTTGGAATTACAATCCAAGGATGCAATTGGAACAGTAAGTGCTGTACATATCTGTGTAAATAATAATTTAGAAAAAAAATTGAAAAAATGGTGTTAGGAATATTCAATGTTCAATATAAAATTATATTCGCCATTGAACAAATAAACAAACGAGTAGTTACATGTTCAAGATTTATGTTGATGAATGGTACCTTTTGTGATAACCATAAAAGAAATTAGTTTGACTTGTAGATAGAGTGTTTAAGATTTCGAATTCAATGAACATTTTATACCATCTAACTGGAGCTCGTGAAACAAAAAAAAACAGCGAGGGAAGAGGGAGGATTGAAAACAAACACACATCCACTAAACATCTTGCATTGCCTTGTTGTTTAATGTAGACAGAAAACTGTTTTGATTAGCTCAGTCGATGATAAACAACATCGTATCTGGTAAACATATATGCACTGGTTCAAGTTATCGTACCATATAGACATAGTAAGATGAAATTATCCAAACATATGATGAAGTTGTAGATGTAGCAACAGTATCCGTGATACTCATGGAAAAGATGAGTATACTGAATGATGTTGTTTACAATATATGTTTAAGGACATTGATCATATATAATCTACACATATCAAAAGACAAACAGAAATAACTCCCCGATAATATATACACTTTTCTATGTTGCTAACATGTTAACACCTTTGAAATGCTATCATTCAGTTGTTATTTAAAACAAAAGTCCGTGACATAATGACTGTTAAACAATTGAACTTACCTCTAAGTTTTTTTTATGCAAACCACCAATTGTTCTACATTGAATGGGGACTGGTATATTAGAATGTGCATTATCATCAACAGAATCATTGTTACTTTGAATAACACGTTCATTATTATTATTATTAAAACTGAATTTACGGTCCGATTGTTTTCCAGTTGCCCAACCGTAAATTGGGGAATTGGCACATGTTGCTGACAATGTAATCCATGATAAAGAATTATCTGTGCTGTGTTTTTATGACATCATTTCAATAAATCGAAGCGAAACAAACATATAAGTACTTGGTAATTAAGTGTTTAGAAATAATAAAACAATAGTATTTATGCTATGTTATCTAAGTAAATCACACAATTTTCCGAAAGTGTATTTTATTGTTTAAATTATAAAATATATAGGCTATATTCGTCACAGACTGGTTTCAGTTGTGGTATCAAGAAAAACTGCAGTGCATTAGACAGCAGTTTTATTTAGGTATGAGTCTTGTCAGACGTGTACATAAACACAATGTGTTAACTGATCAATCCAAGATTTAGCTTGCGAATATTTGTTTTTGCTATCCATCGTTTTTAGCGATTCCCACCTAACTTTTATAGCTATTTTACTAACTATAAAATGTTCTTTAGGTCATTATTATTACGTTCTAGATCTGTCCACCCACTAATATGCAAAGGATAACTTGTCTCAATTTAGATTAAAACCTTGACATGATAAAGCTGACTGGTTTCACCTTGAGGCTAGTATGCGTGATTTCGAAGAGCGACTAACTGCTTGGAGTAGAAAGAAGAAAACTATTCTATTACTTGATTGGCTGACAAGCGCACGACAGAGGTAAGACAAGTTAACTAGAACAATACTCCATTTATTCCCAATTCCGATTCGAAATCTGATCTATATCCATTTTTTTTATGTCTGCTTCCAAATATCAAAATCAAATAGGTTTCAACCTGTGACTTCACACAGATTAAATTTTTAAAAAAAAAATGAAATTACCCATGAATCGACAGCTCATTTCCAACATTGTGAATTAATTCATTTGAATTTTCAGAACGTTGACCAGAAGTAAATGAAGAGAAGCTTTTAAAAATTAAAAATAGTGCAAAAATGTATACTAGTTACACATCATAAATAAAACACAGCCTTCAAACTTTTAATTAAAGTATTACACTACTTAAAAGAATATAAGTAGCAAAAAAGAGGTGCCCAAAAATATATATATTCAAATAGATGTTAGGTTTTTAAAAATAAAAGTTTATTTCATCACAAATACTAATAAATCCTTATTCATTTACTCTTTTTTAACTGTACGTCTACATAAGATTTTGAAAATAAAATAATAACAGAAGTTATTCGTGAGTTAATGGACTACCAGTTGTGTCCCCCCATATACACACACCAAACACACATAACCAGTGATAACATTCAACTGATTAAAATTTTATTTAAGTGCTTACCATTAGTAAGTTAACTGAATTGGAAAATACAAAGTATACGATTCCATAAATAACCCATAAGGAATATACTCATAAAACTATGAATGATTACAGATTCAAACTTCAAAATAGAAAATTTTAACAAATTGTCATGTAAGAGGAGTTTCTAGTTGTTTCATTACGTTATTAAGTCGAATACAACTGAGGTTAACATTTAACAGAATATGTCTGATAAAAAAAAATCTGTCAGGTATTAATATTATATCTTCCTGACCGTTGTTGCTACCTTGACGTGGTGGTCGGGCTTGCCTATCGTGATGAAGCAACTGAGCTATACTGGCTGGAACAACCGTTCCTCAAGGTCCTACCATGCCAGACAGGTCGGTTGAAGAGCGGCAAGACTAAAAGCAACAAAACCTAGGTCCGAAGGCGAAGTCGTACTGCTGACTGTACAGAGGTGTGACAGCAGTAAGGTGTTTCCTTCAGACAACCAGCATAACAGCGATGCTGCCTTCCCAAAAGAAGGGGAGGTACCTCCAGCAGAACCCTTCCACGGTGTGGGCAACCGGGAAGTGATAACCGACCTCATACCTCTAACAGCACTCAAGACTGACTGACTAAATATTATATCTTTGTTAGTGTAAAATATATTGAGTATCAAAACACAAACAAACAAAAATACAAAATTTGTTGAGATGCAACTCATAATCTAAGAACAGAAATATAAAAAAAAATACACATATATTACAGTATTATTCAGTTGAGTGACAACACAATAACAATTCCTTGTCAATTTGAAATAATCTGACTTGAATATACAATGTCTATATTAGGTATGCTTCCAGAAATGACAATGAAAATCATTTAAAAACAGACAAACCATAGTGTAAGATAGCTTATTGACTACCGACCCCATCATAGGTTCACCTTAAGAAAAATCTGTTTGTATGACTTGAAATTATCCTCATTTTAAAATAAAATTTATTGTTAGTTTTTCCGTAATTTATGTTGTAACAACACATCAAGTGAAAATATTAACCAAGGGAATCAACTGAATGCGTCTTCATAAAACCAGCGTAAGCAAATCAACTCATATAGAGATCGAGTTATTTTTTTCATATCAAGAAATCTCCAATAATTTTTTTAACTATTGTGCGCGACAAAGAAAATAAACGTTACATGCATACTGATAACACACAGGTTTTATCCCATGCATTACATAGCGGACAGATAAGTATATTCATCCACCTAGGAGGGTAGATGTCCACCATTAAATTGGAAGCGCACTTGCTACACCAGACTATCCCTTACGCATTACGTGCATATAATTAGGCCCACGGCTACCACAGTACTCCCTGACATACATATAAGTATAATCACTCTCTCAACAGAGGTTGCTGGTTGCCTCTTCCTAGTATTTTCTACCATATCTTTTTACTGTCTTCGATCTAATAGATTAGGCCGCTGATTTCATTAGACATAAGGTATGCATTGTCTTCGTACAACGCCACACGCACACCCTTTTCATGTACCTACATACATGAAGTAAATATGCCCGAAGACTTTTGCAATCCTTATACGTAAGCATACACATCAGGTGACCCGGTGCGCCTAAGCGAAACTCGAGTTGGGATTCGGGTTGATCAATGATACAACAGAGTGGATGATCAGTCCGATCACTGTCGTCCGCGTAAGTTGGCTAGCAAGCTTATTCCTACAATCCAGCAGCGCTGCAAGGAAGCCGGATGTCGAACTTCGCTGAAACAAGTTTCTATACAATTAAGCTATATTTTTAAAAAACACGTGATTTCAACAATATACTGAAATTTACTCTATTATGAGGAGATATATATAAAAAAATCGATTGAGAAGACCGGATCACACAAATTGTAGGTCCAAACTTCCTGAATCCAATCTAATTTAGTCATGCCGTAAAAAATATTATTGTTAGTCCTCTTACACACAAGTAATATGCCTGCAAGCCGTTAACATAAGCTTTTATATTTATCACAATTATGTTAAGTATCACCACATAATAAACGATTAACTTTTTGAAAAAAATTAATATCACTGGTCAGAATTACAGAAATGATAACAATAATTTATCTTGCTAAAATGAGAAAATATGCAATTCATTGTCGATTAAGACAAGAAAAAAATTATGTAGATGCCAACCACAATAACGAAGAGTGAATGCTAATAAAACAAGGATCAAAGTTGTCAATATTAGTAAGTATTAGCAAGAGCAATCTGAAAATACACCTATCGTAAAAAAAACAAAAAACAAGACGATTGTGATTCAGTTAGTAGGACCAAAAGAAAAGAAAATACAAAACGAAAGTAGTACACATATCAAAAACAATTTAAAAACCTGAAAAATGTGACATTTCTACCACGTTTGTTTTGATCATGTAGAAAAAAAAACCAAAAAACTATGTGGTCTGACTAAAAGTACCCCAACACTTTTTTCTATGAAAATAATAATAGTCAAAACTCTTGAAACATCAATACATAACAAAAATGCTATTTAAAAATAAATACACTTGGTTCAACAGTGTATATATATTCAATGTGCATTGTAGGCACTGAATTAACCGCGTAATAAAAATGCACCTGTTAAGTACATAAAAAAAAAACGAAAAAACTTTCGAAAACAATTCATATACCAAATTTACACTACTCACTCAATTATTAAGTAGTATGAAAATAAAACTATCAATAATGAAGATGCCCAAGAGTAATATAATGCTTTAAAAACGTAAGCATAATTCGAAAGAGGAAATTATCATAAAAACAGCATACTAATATTAATAATAATGATACTTTTGCTTTATTATTTATGGTTAGATGGATAAGTTAATTAGCAAAACGTCAGTCAATTATGTGCATGTATGAGAAATATTCTTTTAGTGCAAAGTTTACAATAAACATCAAACTATAAATACGAAGTCAAATAAACAAGTGAAACACAAAATAGCATTAAAAATAAATAAACGAAAATAATAATAATAATAAACCAGTTAAATAAAAGTACAGAAGATTAAAAAAAAAATTATGATCTCAAAAATTCAATCAATCAATCAATCAATCAATAAATGCAATGTTACAGATCCGAAATAGGTGTCATCTTCAAATGAAGACGTTTTTCTTGAAGTTTTTTGCAACTATATAAAAATAAGATTTAAAAATATTAAAGAGAAAAGAAAAGATATAATAATAAATAGAAATAGTGAGAGAATGGCATAATGATTGTGTTTTTCTTTTTTTCAAGTAATAAAAAAAGAAACAAAAACACTTATATCACAAGGGGTTTTGGGGATATTATAGTAATTTCAGTGCTTCCAGATTTTCCATGGCGGTCTAGCTTCGATTGACACATGATCTTAATTATTGAAATTACTATAATATCCACAAAACCCTTTCTGATATTAATCAACATATGCTCACTAGTGACTGAATTCAAGAGGTATTCTAGTGAGAATCAGTGACCAGTGGAGTTCAACCAGGTCTGTTGTGAGGTAGTAACTCACTTAATACATTGGTGGACGGTGGCTCAATTTCGTGAATTAGTTGAATTTAGACATTAACACCGTTGGATGCCAGCCGGCTCAGTGGTCTAGTGGTTAAGCGCTCGCGTGTGAGACTGATAAGTCTTGGGTTCGAGTCACGCGGGGGACTGGATCGTGGGTTTGCCCTGCTGAGGAGTCCCACAATAGGACGAAACGGCCGTCCAGTGCTTCCAGGCTTTCCATGGTGATCTAGCTTCAACTGACTCATGATCTCAACCATTGAAAAAACATTTATAACAAGAAACTTATATCCATTCTCTTCTTCGTATATGAAAAACTACAGTACTTTTGAAGTGTTTAAAGTTTGGATCAAGTGAAAACATACTACGTCAGTTTTATTTCAAAATATTTATGTCCAACTGAGTGGTCAGCTATTCTGGCTAGAGTCTTTTTAGCAAATTTGTTTTCTATGGAATGGGGTTTGCTGACTTCATGCCTAACGTAACCCATTTTTTACCGGGGCTTGGGACTGGCAGTAACCCTACAAGAGCTACAGGTGGAAAACAAGAAGACTAAAGAACACACTACATTGAGAAGTGAAAGCAGATATCAAAAGAATGTGTAAAAACTGGGAAGGATTGTCCAGAACACAGTTTGATGGAGAATGTTGGTAGGCGGTAACAGGAGTAATAATTAAGAGTCTTCAATTAAACTTTTAACATATAACATGAACATATTGTTGAAAATTTGGCTCCAAACTCAGTTCAACATAATAAGTATCTTTATAATTGATACGTGAATGACATGTAGTCATTTGTGACAAATCTAAAGAAGCAAACAGTCTTCTATAAAATATTAACGTATATTAAAAGTACATTAAACTTTCATATGAAGAAGAGATGAATAAATAATAAATGAATTACAATCGTTTTCATTGTTACACATTTAGTTGAGACAGTTCATATCTTACTGATTATACTTTAAAACAGGAACTCTATCAATTACCACAACGCCAAATCAGTACACAAAAGGCTGGTGTAATGAATATTTATTGACTTTTCAAGAACACATCCTTAAATAATTAAGAGTGAAACTCGTTTATCCAAAGGGTTTTACAGAGTTCCTCACCTTACTCCCTAACACCAATTCCGAAACCTATTTTGAACTAGAGAGATAGTTTGGATTTCGCAAGATTATTACACAACCGCCTAAGATCGTTCCCATACTTTGGTTTTACTTCAACTTTCTTAAAATTTGTCTAAATAAAGTTATTTTTCCAAGTTATCACGAAACTATGATTATTTCAGGTCTTTTTCTATTGATCTTATCAATTTCATCTCACCATTTTAGAGTCAGTAATGAAAACCTGACCTAACGTACATTTATGCCAGATGGTGTCGATTACCACGAACTGATTGGATGCTGGACGAATTCCCTTGAAACCAATATTAACATATATCAAATAACTGACAGGAATACAATTTAATCATTCCCTTTCATCCCTTTTGATATTATGATATCAACTGTTGTCTAGTTATTCGAAAGGAAGAATTACGATGGGCATCACAGTAACAATTGAGATCGACATTCAATTAATGTAAAAGAAAAAAAATAGAAAGTATGATGTGGAGATTGTTGAGTTTTAAATGAGATCATAAACCAGTCAGTATTTGACCATCATTGAAAACATGGAAGCACTAAACGGCCATGTCATCCCAGTATGGGAGTCCTCAGCAGTGCGCATCCACGTGCGGGACTCGAGCCCAAAACCCCCTGTCTGGAGCGTGAAAGCTTAATCTCTAGATCACTGAGCTGGCACCCAACAGTGTTAATGTCTAACTTCAATCAATCCACGATATTGTGCGACCATCTTTCATTGTCTTTGATGAGTAACTGTCTCACATCCGACACGGATCAACTTCACTGGTCACGGCTTCTCATTAAAACTCTGAGAATCACCTCTTGAAGCTAGTCACTAGTGAGTACATGATAATTATCAGTATAGAGTTTTTAATAGTGGTTTAACATTGATCAGTTCATGATCTCAATTAAAAAATAGAAAGACTATTCCTAGAACGTTGATTATTCACATTCATTTGATAAGTGAAGACAAATTTGTTAAAGAACAAGAATATCAATGCATCAATAATCTGTTAAGTTCAATGCTTTCTATAATTTTGTCCTAGATTCAACATTACAACGGTAGGAGTTATAAATTCAAAATAACAATATCATTTAAATAGAATATTTTGGTAACTCATTTATGAAAATTGAAATAGATAGGAAATTTATCATTATTTTTTTTAATTAAGAACTTACAACTTTTGCAAACTTTGTAATGGACCACTAACTGGACTATTTGAATCAAATTTATATTGTTGTATTGTTGGTGTTTTATTCATAAATAGTTCACGATGTCCTTTTTGACTGACACGTAAAGTCTCTGTAAAACGTACAGCATCTTGTAATTCTAATAAACGTTCTTTATAATGATTACGTTCAGCTAGAATACGTGCCATTTCAGATCGTGTGAAACGTTTAACTTGAGCGGAATTAGTTGACTCCTATAATAAATTATAACCAAAAAGTTAGTTTTATTTTTCTATTCGATTACAAAAAGTAAAATAATTCACATGAACAATAAATCTGTGTTATTTCCAGTCTTTTTTTTTTAAAACTCATCTCGATTAATGTTGCTATGTTCAAGGAATTAAGATATCACCTAGACCAAGTGAACGGAACAGAAGTCAGCGACATAGCAACAGAACAATCTAAGCTATTCCTCTGAGCCTCAGCTATGCTAACTAGAGGGAGAAGACCAGATTTAGATGGGAAAAGATATATGTATTCCACAAGCAACCCGGAAGAGCAAATGAACAAGCACAGAACTCATGCATATATATACAACACAAAAACGTCACAAAATAGCGCACTGTAAAGGAAAACGAACCGATGACATTTATCGTCCTTCCAGGTGATAAAAATGGGATATTTGGAGCGGCATTGTGAGATACAAATTTCTATAATTAACCTATAAAAATGGGTTTACGAAGTGATTTCTAGGGATATAGCATCCCCATACAAATGTACGTACACTTGGTATTGCAAATCGAATACACATTGCTTTACCAATACTATAAGGAGAAATTCAATTTCTTTTAAGCGAATGAATACATCTTGACCCTGGTACGGCCGAGAGTGGGTAGAGTCCACTCTCCCTCTCGAAATGCTCTCATATGGTCACGGGTATACAGCCTCTGCCACGGAAGTCCTACTCACTGCCTTCTCGCACCACGGGTGTTGTTTATGAAAATGAGAGGACGAAATGCGAATGTCCGGCGCTATAACCGGATCGCAAATCAATGGTGCACATGGGCTAACTCCAGTATCCTGCGGGAACAAATGGCGTATGAACCAATCGTTGGTCACCGGCTACCATGGGACTGCATCTCCTCACGATGCTCCACTGCCTTGTGGATCAGATCTTCAGGTCAAAGGCTCGGGGTGTGGCCCCTAAGAAAACCACCTGCTTCGGTTTGGGCACCCGGGCAGTATCACAGCCCTTACACATATCAAATGAGATCTGTGTGGCGCATATATATTTGGTGCCTTCTTGTACCAATATCTATGTGCTAAAACAAAATAAATAAATAAAATGACAGGTAGATCTTTCTCATTTAACTGCTTTCTAGTACAAGATTATTCTTAAAAATGGGCATCATATAATGTAAATCTATCGGAACGATATTATATCAATGATTCCAAACGAGTTGGCTACTGTTTAAAGGTATATTTACGATGTATATGAAATCAGGTCAAAAATTAGTTTTATTAGCCCATAAAGTTAAATGTTTTTTCGACGCAGTAAAAGAACAGAACAATGATCCAAGAGATTAATTTTGACAATGGAGAAAATAGCGAAATAAAAAAATATTGATTTCTTTCATGATTAAAAAGGATTTCAATTATTCTATTTTTGATCATCTTGACTAAATTTTGATCAATATTTGATAGCACATATACATTATGAGCTAATTGTCTCGATATAACCAATTAGCCACAAATTTTACACTGAATAGATGAATTTATGGCTAGGAGTGACATCCATGAAACGCATTTCATTCTATTCAGGACTCTATAAATGGATGTATCTGTATTCTAGTGCTGATCTGTATAATAGGACGCAGACGTATTCAGCTGAAGAGTATCAAGTAGAGAGAAACGTGCGTTTTCAATTACACTTGTAGCCACAAATCTATCTATTCCAAAGAAGCTCAACATCAGTATCTTATTTTTAATCTTTTCAACTAGTAGTAGGTAGACAGATCAAGGTCCGAATTACATACATGCAATACTAACAACCAATTCATTGAAGTCGATGAAAAACAGGGTTCGAACATCCACTACCCTAATCCAATAAAGTGATTAAAAGTAGCATGAAATACACTCACTTCACTTGATCTTTAATTTAGTGGCATTCAAATTTCAACCACTAGATCCTAACTTCAAACCTCACCTCAACTACTTTGGTTTAGGTGACAAGACATTAAGTATCACTAGCTTTCATTGAGGCTCCCAAATGCCTTGGTACAACCGAGGATGAGGAGATTCCGCTCTCCATCTCCAAATGCTCTCAACATGATCACGCGTATACAGTCACTTCCATAGAAGTCTTACTCAGTACCTTCTCAAGGCGGGGGAGTTCTTTACGACATTGAGAGGACGGAAAGTGAATGTCAGGCGCTTTATTCTGGTTGGTGGATATGGAGGATCCATCTTGAGGATTTGAAAAACCGATGGTGCACATGGACTCCAGGATCCTTAAGGAACAAATGATGTATGAATCAATTATTGGTCACCGGATACCATGAGACTGTATCTCCTGACGTTACGCCATTGCCTTAGGGATCAGACCTCTAGGTCGAAGACTCTGGGTGTGGTTCCCTAAGAAAACCACTTGGTTCAGTTTGGGCACCCGAACAGTATCATAGCCCACACATAAATCAAGTAACTTGTTTGGCGCATTTGTATTCAGTGCACTTTTGTAATAATATTTCTATGTTCAAATAAATAAATAATAAATAGCTTTCATAGGTGAAACTATAATTTATGGACCAATCAATCAAGTATAAAATAACAGGTCTCGGATTCATTCATCTATTTATCTAAATAACATTTTGGCATTATAGCTGATATAAATTCATGATAAAAACCGTAAATCTAATTCTAAACCTTAACCATCAATTGCAAAGCATTATTCGAATTCCTTACACTAAATTCATAACCCTCATTTAGTCTTATTTATTTTATTTATTTATTTTAACACATAGATATTGATACAAGGAGGCACCAAATATATATGCGCCACACAAATCTCATTTGATATGTGTAAGGGCTGTGATACTGCCCAGGTGCCCAAACTGAAGCAGGTGGTTTTCTTAGGGGACCACACCCAGAGCCTTCGACCTGAATGACTGACCCACAAGGCAGTGGAGCATCGTTAGGAGATGCAGTCCAATGGGTGCCGGTGACCAACGATTGGTTCATACGCCATTTGTTCATTCAGGATACTGGAGTTGGCCCATGTGCACCATTGATTTGCGATCCGGTTATAGCGCCGGACATTCGCATTTCATCCTCTCTTTTTCGTAAACAACACCCGTGGTGCGAGAAGGCAGTGAGTAGGACTTCCGTGGTAGAGGCTATATACGCGTGACCATGTGAGAGCATTTCGAGAGGGAGAGTGAACTTTCCCCACTCTCGGCCGTACCAGGGCATTTGGGGGCCATTTAGTCTTAGTTATTGTTAGTGGGACATAGATTGGAATTAAGCATGCTCAATGCACGATTGCTTTGGCGCACGCTGATTGGCTGATTCTTATCCAATCAGCGCTAGTCGATACATGGAGAAGCTTCTAGATTCTTCTTATGTAAAAAGCTATAAATATACTAACGGTTTTCCTATTTTGCTTCTTGCTTCCACCTAACCTTGTTATTTGGAATATAATCTCCTTCCTGCTCAATCGTGTTCTGATTTGGGGGCTTGTCGAGTGAATCTGTGTCCGTGAATACTAAGCAATAGGAATAGCTGGGTTATAACCGTAAGAGCGAAAATATTACAGTTATTAAATGGACATTCTCAAGTTCAGTTTAATATTGCTCAAAGGTCATTCATAAATTATAGTCTCACCATTAGTAGCCCCGGAATAAATTGACCTATTCATTAGTTAGAATAAGGTATATATCAATTGACACTAGATACTAAACAATATAAACATAAAAATAAAACTTACTAGATTTGTTTTATCATGATATAATGATAATTTTTCATTTAATTGATTAATTTCTGAACGTGCATCATTTAATAATTGATCTGTATTAGTTAATTCACTTTGTAAACGAATACGTGAATCAGTTAACATATCTACTGATTCACGTAATGATATATTTTCACTAATAATAATAATAATAATAATAATAATAATAATAATAATAATAATCAAATATTTAATAAATAATTAACATTATTGTAATTAATTACTATTATTATTATTATCATTACAACTATCATTACCATTACTATCATTACTATTACTATTACTATTATTACCGTTACTATAATTATTATCACCATTACTATAATAATTATTACTACCGTTACTATTGTTACTATTACTATTACTACCATTACTATTATTACTATCACCATTACTATTATCATTATTACTATTACTATTATTATTATAAATCAATATAGAATAATAAAATACAGAAATAATTGAGTTATTTAAATCATTACTATAAAAAAGAATTTGATTAGATAGAAATCATTATCAGAAGGGGTTTTTGTGGAGCTTGTAGTAATTTCATGAGTTGAGATCATGAGTCAGTTGAAGCCAGACCACCATGGAAAACCTGGAAGCACTTATTTATTTATTTATTTATTTGAACACATAAATATTGGTACAGTGGGGCACCAAATATATATGCGCCACACTAGGCGGTCGTTTCGTCCTATTGTGGGACTCCTCAGCAGTGCGCATCCACGATCCCGCTAACGGAATCCACGTTTTCAATTGTATGTGACACATAACTTTGGTATTTTTTTATTTGAAATAATTATGCAATGTGTGTATAATCATTGTAAAATCAATGAATTTCATTCTACTAACAATTGATCACATTTCATTCTGATCATAAGAAATACATTCATTTCATATGTATTTGTATAAAGACTTACTGATTTCGTTTTATTTACGTATTAGCCATTATGCAAATTAGGCATGTATATATACATATAGTTATTATACAGAAGCTCAGTATGATATTTTTTTAAGGAATAGATTGTACTTCCTCCATGCAATTTTTCGTTGAAAAATATCTAACGAAACTTCAATAATGCATACTTGTTTATTTTGTTTTAACTGTGATAGCTCAGATTAGCTGTGAATGAGTTCATATCCTGGTGTTACATTTTGATTTGACCAGCCTTAGAATTCTTTAGACTTACTCTTACACTGACGAAGACTACACGTCTAGGTAGACTGTAGTTAGGAATACTGCAACACATTTGTTAACCACTTCATTTGTGGAATATTTATTACCAAATCAATTGATTTGTTATCTTTTCCAGTATTCTATGCATAGGTATTCAAACCCAGGGCCTTCAGTCTCGCGCGCGAACCCTTAACCTACTGGACCACTGAGCTGACCATCCAACGGTGTTAATGTCTAACCTATTGATGTAGGGAATTAATAATTGGCTATGGTATTGTTTCGAAAAGCATTGATAGTGTTTGATGGAAAAGTTAAACACATAATCCTAAAGTTAAGCGTAAGGTAGTTTTGTGTTAAAAGATGATGAGTCTATTGAATATTCACCAACTACTGAATTGAGTGTATTAAGTATATATCCAACCACTTCCAACATCGATACACAGCGTGATTATTGATATAAGAATAGATTGAAAAAAATGTACGAACTCCCAAAGTAGGAATCGATATCAACCCATGAAAACATTGACTTTTGAACAAGTCAGATTGATTTTAATCAGGCAACTACTGAAGACCAAGTCATTGATTTGATGATTGAAATCATTAAAGCGTACTTTTGAGGAGTTCCATGCTAAATCAAAATAGCTGTCTGGTGTTTTCCTGAGGGGACAAATGATGTATGAACCTATTGTTAGTTATCGGGTACCATCGGGTACCTTTTACATCTAGAAAGGGATTAGCATCAGTCATTTATTCCAAATATCGTTATTGTTGTAAGGCAATACAGTTTCATACAGCAGAGACAAGAATATGTCCAGTTACTCAATTAACAAAACTCAACATCAATAATAACAAAAATAGTAGAACAATAATCACAAATACTATTTAGATTAAAAATAAGACCGAAAAAACCATTAAACTTACGATGTTAAATGGTCGATTTTGGCTAGTAGGTCGTCTTTCACAACATTGAGAGCATTTCTTTACACATAGACACACACACAAACGCGAGCATCATAGAAAGTTTAATATGATGAAAACAAAAGAAGAAACGACAAAGAATATGAAATGTTATCTCTGAAAAAGTTATTTACAAATTTATAATTCTCATTGTATTTAAATGGTAATCTTGAGAACATGATCTTTATTTCAAGATAAGTTAGAAAAGACTATAAAATTAATCGATCAATGGATTCGTCCACATGTGATGGATTTGTGTACTCTCATACAAATCAAATTTAGTGGGGGGAAAAACACCGTAGTAAGTTAGAGTAGACTGGTCATCGACCCAATAGTTTAACTTTCAGTCAATGAATACAAAACATTTAATATTAAGGATGCTTAAAATTTAAAAGATAGATTCCCGAAACTTGTGCTGTCATTATAATCGATTTTGACATATTCAACATAAATTTAACTAGAAACCTGATACTTGCTTAAATGATTCATATTTTGCACAGAATGACTTGATGTACCAGTCTAACTATCATAAGACTTCTGAATTCCCATTTTTATTTAGACTATATAGGTTTATGTAAATGTAACAAACCATCTAACTATCATAAGTGATAGAACATTGTAAATTTACTATATAATTTGTCAATTTACCAGGTACTTGAAATATGTACTCTTCAACAGATGGTTTTACTACAGGCAAGCGATATATTAAGATGGAATATATATACAACCCAAAACCTGTAGAGTATTGATACCTATATTCCATTTTTAAAGACTGCATGCATACCAGATGATAATATGTAGTCCGTCTAATGAATACGCGGATTCAAGTCGAAAATTTTAATTTACAAAATTTATAGTAAACTAAACTTATCGTCTTCAAAGTATTATTTTTTGTGGCAGTAAGCTCATCCTTTCTGCGTATTCCCTGTTTGAAATATAAATGAAAGCTCTTAAAAGTCGGACTTTACAACTACTTCGTTATTTTTCAAACACGGACGTTTAGCAAGGATAGTTTAACACAGACAATTTTCTTTAAATCGGAGACACATGACGTGGACGGTTGCCCAAAACTCATATCATCCTTCCAGTTTTTATCACGATTTTCATTAAAGACTTGATATAATTTATAAAGAGTTGTTTTCTCAAATGCGTTATCGCCATTAACAGTCCTTAGTATTTCATGAAGTCATTTGAAGGTTCTTCGAGGTTTCATTAAAGCATCGATGTGAGGTGTTCACGTATTGATAGGATAGACAACTTACTAATTATCTTTCTAAATCATATCAAACAATTGTGTATTTGAGTCTTAAACAGAAATGAGCAATAAGTTAGGGGTAGTTACATTAAAAGGTAGTATCAGTCCATGAGGTCAGTGAGTATTAGAATGAGTCATGATGATAGATGCAGACGAAATGGTGAGGTTCTCACAAAAACTGCGATTAGCGGTTGTTGACATTGGATGACATAGCTTTGCATCGATTATAACGGCATAGATTCATTTACTGTTTATATTCTTCTAGACCTTAAGTCCGAATGCTATTTCCTATAAACCTTTTAAAATATGATTATATCAAATGTGTCTATTGTGAGATGACTATCATGAAGAGAAGACATGCAAATCACCAGTTATTATCGAGTTAAGTGTGTTTCTTATTATTATTGATAATGTGGGAAAAAAAAGAAGTCCGCATAAAGTTTTATTTATGAAAATTACTCGACTTAGTTTACACATGCTTATTCATGGATTTATGAATGTTTTCGTAATATACACCTCAATATTCAGTCTCTCACTGAACAACTTTGCGTTACACATTATTAAGGTGGTAAACAAAAGTATGAGAACTACCTGGAAACCTTGCATACACATATTAAGTTATAAGAACAAATTGAAATTAGTTACAACGAGTTATATCTTCACATTCTAATATTGACTGACTTTAGTTAGACAACCGTAGGAAATCAGAGAATACTTGAAAGCAGTCAATAATTCCAACAATATGCCATGTGGACAATTATTATGTTCTTACCAGTGACTAACTTCGAAGTGTAATCCTTGAAGTTCTAGTTAGCAGCATTCATCAATGTAAGTCTAACCATGTCAGACGTGAGATAAATATAAATAACGACAATTGATTATTAATTGTATAATATTAGAAACGAAATTTAAGTATATCAACCCGATGATCCAAAGATTAGGCGGTGATTTCGAGCACTGAAAAACTTGGGTTTGATCCTAGTAGGAAGATTCATGAATGTACACAACTGATGAATCGAACGCTATCTAGCGCTTCCCATGTTTAATTGATAGTCAGAATTAAATCAGTTGGTGATATAAAGTTATAAACAATAAAATTGTTGAACAAATACTGATCACAAGTACTAACAAATTAGACTCCGCCTGGAGTTCCTCTGGGGCTACTGCCTTTGACAAGCCCGGATAAAGGAGGAGGGTTGAGCATGGAGTTAGCGACCCCATCCAGTAGAAAACTAACTCGCTAAAAAAACGCTAGACAGAAAATATAATTCAAACCATTTAAACTCTGCCCTGGGAGTCAGAAGGTCTTCATTTAGAAGAGTTGTGATGAAAGCCGAGTTCCTTCAGAAGCCACGAAGCCGATACCCCATCTGACGACCAGAGCAATAATTTATTTAGGTACATGGAATGCTCGTATAATTATCACGACGATTATCAGAAATATTATTTCATTCATTAATTCGACAAAAATAATTTAAATAATGGTGTGGTGTATGCTACTTATGTCTGTCGACATAAGAAGTAGGTAACACTAATCAGAAGTGGAAACCCTGGCAGCAGAAGGTTAAAAAGATAGAACTGAAGAGAACAGAAAAAAATTGCGAATAAGAAGAATCATACAGAATGTGAGGAAGAAATGATGGAAATTTGTAAATAAAGTATTCAGTGTATGATTCTTATATTTTACCAAGGTACCCTGTAATTGTGTACTAAAACACATTGGTTATCCTAACTTGTATTCTCGTTTACTGATATGATGGGTTGTCGTCATCCTCTTTGTGTTTTGGGGTTCAATAAATCTTCACTGATACCAGTTTTTGTGTTTTTATTTTTGCGTCGTGGGAATGACAGAGGTCCTTCGTTTCCAGTATAAGTGATAAGAGTTTCCAACATAACAATCAGCGACGACCAAATATAACAAAAAGCATTCAATTAACAAATTATAACATTTACAACAATAGTAAACGAATCAACTTACTTCATTTCAACAAGTTCCATATTCTCTTTGATCAATACATCAATCTCTTTACGCATACCAGCTAAATGAATGAACAAGAAAGAGTAATCGAAGTTTAAATAGTACAACGGAACAATTTGGTTATTTATTCTCTGAAGAGGTGGCTTACACTAAGTCACGAAACGTCAGAAAATCTAATTTTTCTACTCATTGAAAACATTTCATTTCAACGTGTAAAAATCAAATATTAAATTAATTCTATGATTGATTACTAATTGACTGAATCAACAATAAAAACAAATCAACTATATCATAAATGATAAACTAATAATTATTTAACAGTGAATTAAAATTTCTTTTCAACAATATCATCTTTCCTATAGTTACATAAATGTATTTAACATTCATGGTAATTGTAGGTTGTATCTATCGTAGATTGATTACAGTTCATGTGTCATTTAATAAAAAAAGTTAGCACCGGACAACTATTTCATTTTAATATGGGACACTTTGATATTGGACACCAATAACTTCATCAGGAATCAAACACAAGACTTTCGCGGCACACATAGAACATTTCAACATTTAAATTTACTAAGTTGATATTCTATGGTTTACATTTTGAACTTCAATCAATTTTTTAGTAAATAAGGGATTGAATCATAAATGGTATGGAAACACTGAATATTGAATGATGATTATGTAACGATTTTAAAGGTTAAGGGAAAAAAATGAAATGACGGAAATAATTTTGTAGATGAGAGAGAGGAGGAGGGAGAGAGAGAGATAACTGTTCACATTTGATGAATATGCAATGAGCGAAGAAAGAAAGAACAATTAAATGTTACAATAACAATAGTTACGAAAAAAGATTAATAGCAAAGAATAATAAAAACAGTTGACTATTATTAATAATAATAGTATTATCAGAAGGGGCTTTTGTGGAGATCTTAGTAATTTCAATTGTTAAGATCATGAATCAATTGAAGCTAGACCAGCACAAAACCCTCTTCTGATAATAATTAACATCAATGCATGCCGCGGTAACCAACGGTCGGGCATGTGTAATACGAGGCTCAACAACGTATTATACTATTTAACCATCGTAAGATAGAGTTTACACGACAAATGACAGTTAAAGTACAAATAGTAACAGTATTAGTTGTAGTAAAACTAACTAGGGATAAATAATATTATTTGAGAATAAATGAATTTGTGGAATAAAAAAAAGTATAATGTTAATGTTTCTCCATCACTATAATCGATAACGAACCATATTGTTCAACATATATTCAAGCAACGGTTACTATACCATACTTCCGGTTATCCCAAAGAGTCTAATAGTCAGTGATTTTATGGGCTAATGTTATCGGTCAGTTTGACTATCTCTAACTTTGTTCTAACACACTTCTATACCATCCAACATTGCTCGTATATATATATATATATATATTTCTGATTATTGTTAACAAAACAGAACAAAAAGAAGTGTTATAGTGTATGTTTATTTATATGTGTATGTATGTGGGGGGAGGGGGATTATATGGATATACAATAAGTACATAGAAAGTGTAACATAATAAGTACACAAACAGTGAACTAAATCACACATGCATATCGTGTAACTATTTTTTTCTGTTGTCGGTAAGACAGAATGTGAATGAAGTGTTTCACACATTTATTATACACTTAAACACTAAACTAAGATAAAAGAAGAAAAGTGCTAAACGCTTTTTTTTGTGCATAAAGTGAATGAATGTGAGACAATAAAAGAAGAAAAAAAACCCAGATAGAATACATTCATTATCCATTGACTAGAATTAATTTTACAACAGTAGAAATATCACCTACCAAATTCAATGATTTCAAATTCTGGACTAATTGTAATAGGATAATTGTCTAAATAGGAAGTCATTAATTTAACAGGGAGGGGACGAATGAGATCGATGTGTACAAAAGAAAATAAAAACATATATATATATATATATATATATATATATATATATATATGTATATATATATATATATATATCATATGGGTTTTGTGGATATTATAGTAATTTCAATGGTTAAGATCATCAGTCAGTTGAAGCTAGACCACCATGGAAAACCTGGAAGAACTGGACGGCCGTTTCGTTCTATTGTGGGACTCCGCAGCAGTGCGCATCCACGACCTCGCCCCCTACGAAATTCGAACCCAGAACATACTGGCTTTGTATCGTGTGTATGTGCAAGAGAAGGGCTATTCAATATCTATTCATCATAATGATCCGCACAACAGAAATCAATTAAGAATAGTTTACAATGTATGTTAACATGATTTAAAAGTTGTATGGGCAATCGAAGAAAATAGTGGAATATTTTCTTTTCATTTATATTCTAAGATATTAACAAGTACAATTGTTTATCAGTATTGTATATTATTCATTGTTCTTAGGATCTTTAGATTATATATTACTGACACAGTTTATTGCAAGTTTAAACAATAGTTTCATAAATACTGTTTTTATCTTAAACAATATGAATGTGATGTCAGATGAAAACTCCTTATTCATCAATGTAGATAGGATGAAATTCGAACATAAGACACAGTAACTAACCATCAAATCTCTAAGGTACTGATCTCTTTATTGTTAAATTCATTCTATCTTACTATCAACCATTACAACAGTTCCTAAGACTAGTAGAGTATAATTAATATCACATTTGCAACATATCAAAAGATGAAACGAGTGTCCTAGATTCCGCTGATAGCTACATTTCATCTATACTATATTAACATTTTTACTGGTTATCTTCTACATCTATGTAATAGAAAAGTAAAACATTACCTTATCCTATCTTCATTCATTCATTCACTAGACAGACAACAAGATATTTTGAAAACAATACTCCTTAGTATAAATCAATCAAATCTACAAACTATAAAATCTTTTCTTAGATGAGAACAAAACGATACTATAATCAGTTCATTCAATACAACGAATAGATTAACAGATAAATCAATAAAAGATATCTTAATGTTATATGATGTTTACACTTTTAATTACTAAATAACATATGTGTTCTGGAATCTGAAGATTTACTTAATCAGAACCAACTGTTAGAATTTAACTGACAATGTTTTACATAGTTTACATCATAGACTGAGTTAAGTAAGATAAACACTGAAAACCAAGAAGCATTGAATAAAAGTTTCATCCTAGTATGAAACTTTTCGACAGAGTAAATCCATGACTATATGGGTTAATCGAACCGATTACTTCTAAGTATAGCGAGTATTTAACAACCTTATTGATAAGTTGATATTCAACAGTTTAATATTAACAATTTCAATCAATTCGGAATAATGTCCAACCAACTTCTAATGCCAATGATTAGGTACCTCACACGGGAAATAGTTGAACTCCACCGGTTACAGTTACTCACTAGAACTTAGACAATATCCTCTTGAAATTATTCACTAGTGAGCGTATGATTATTATCAGTATAACACAAATGACATACACTCATTGGCTACTCCTGATAGATGATACACAATACATTTCATACCTCAAGCATAGTGTAGATATAATACAACTATTTGATCGTAATTTTATTCAACACTACACTACATTACTCATTATATATATATATATATATATATATATATATATATATATATATATATATATATATATACTAAAAACAATGCATAATTATAAAGGCGTGGCAGCTAATATAATTTGGATTAAACTTGTGATTGTCACATCACAAGCTGAATACATATTGATATAAGTAAGAATGAGAAAAAGTAACATGATGAAAGCTTAAGGACGAAAAAGAAAAGTACACAAATATGTAGTGAAATAAATGTGTGTTGTTACGGTTAAACCCTCTACTTGATTACGGTAAATACGGTATACAACTATCGGCACTGTAACACGTAGAACTCCACAGTCGCAAATAAAATGACCGAAAAAACAGGGGAAGCAATCATTAGGTAAGAATCAAAAATATACAGAAAAAGAAGGGTATTTATAGTTTTTAGTATAGGCTATAACGTGATTATCATACAGGTGATCCGTAATTAGGAAGTTATACGATTGTCCAACCATTGAATGTCATGTTGATATTCTAGAAGGTTCTACCATACTCAAATAGAATGGAATCTCTTCGGCTCCTATAGAACCTCCATAGGCTCCGCCGTGCTTTATTGAAAACCATATCCACAGTTTCCAAGAGATATTAAGTTATCCATTGTATGGTAGAGTAGTATTAGAAAGTGCAATTTAAACATAACGTATCGACTAGAAGTGTATTTCGGTTGAAATTGAGCAACACAAAATAAAGTTTATGAACTGTTATTCAATTTTATTTATTTAAAAACAAAAATATTGCAACAAAGGGGCATCAATATTGAAACCAGTAGTACTTAGAAAGAGAGATATTAGGTGGACGTAATCTCATCGGCTAACTAGTTTCGACCCGCTGACCATCCCAATTTATAGGAAAGGACCAAAATCATCTTCCGATAACCACAGAAAAATCAGTGACTTAGATACTAGCCTTATAAACGTCTGATGCTTAACTATGGCTCGTGAATAACAAACCGGGGAAAATCAAGCTGGTTTCAGATCTGGATGCGGATGTGTTGATCAAATATTCACGCTTCAATATGTTCTGGAATACAGATATACCTACCGTTGCTCAACCCTAGCTGCATTTCTTGACCTTAAGGCAGCACTCGGCTTGGTTGACCGAGAAATCCAGTAGTAGTACTTGTCATTAGGAAGGAAACGATGAAATAAGTAAACCTTGTGAAGAGTCCCTACTCAAGTACTATGGGTTAATTCATATCTTATAGAGAATCGTCATCAGAGTAGTAAACTTCAAGTGTTATTCGTTATGGGTACTCCCTAACTCCCTTCCTATTTAATTACGTCGCAGATGTTCTTCTAGACATCACACTTCATCTAAATTTTTAAGGAATGAATTCTCACTAAAAGATTAGTCAAGAAAATTGAAATAGGTAGATAATAAAATCGAATTTGATGATGATAAAAGGATCCAGGCTTTAGGACGCATTTCTCTACATATAAATGTAAAATTTTTTTTGTATGTCTAATCTGAATAATCTTCTGGACTGGTCACAGTGAATAGAGTAATTGAGTGACTTGACTAATGGTGGAGTATACTAGGCAATTGTTCGTTTTGCTATACGAATGTGAAGGATGGTTTATTTAACCGGCTTACGATAGTGTGAGTCTTCAAAACAATGTTGAAGTATCGCAAAATGACTGAGTTAGTTATATTAATACCCATACATAAAGTACTGGAAAAAGATAACAAATCAATTGATGTGGTAATAAATATTCCACAAATGAAGTGGTTAACAAATGTGTTGCAGTATTCCCAACTACAATCTACCTAGACATACAGTCTTCGTCAGTGTAAGAGTAAGTCTAAAGAATTCTAAGGCTGGTCAAATCAAAATGTAACACCAGGATATGAACTCATTCACAGCTAATCTGAGCTATCACAGTTAAAACAAAATAAACAAGTATGCATTATTGAAGTTTCGTTAGATATTTTTCAACGAAAAATTGCATGGAGGAAGTACAATCTATTCCTTAAAAAAATATCATATTGAGCTTCTGTATAATAACTATATGTATATATACATGCCTAATTTGCATAATGGCTAATACGTAAATAAAACGAAATCAGTAAGTCTTTATACAAATACATATGAAATGAATGTATTTCTTATGATCAGAATGAAATGTGATCAATTGTTAGTAGAATGAAATTCATTGATTTTACAATGATTATACACACATTGCATAATTATTCCAAATAAAAAAATACCAAAGTTACGTGTAACATACAATTGAAAACCTGGATTCCGTTCGCGGGATCGTGGATGCGCACTGCTGAGGAGTCCCACAATAGGACGAAACGGCCGTCCAATGCTTCCAGGTTTTCAATGATGATCTAACATTAATCGGTTCATGATCTTATTCAATAAATTAATAATCTCCACAGCCCTATACTGACATTTTCCAAGTGTTGAAATCTGTTTATAGAAGTGCAATTTCGAATAGAACATTTTTTGAGAGAGATCAAGCATTTCAGTGACAACCGGTAAAAACTGAAAGGATTATACAAAATCATAATGACTGTAGATCTCGCGTTTCAATGAAAACATCAAAAGTGTACAGTATATTGTCTATTCCAATCACTGATCAACTAATTGAATGTTTTATAAATTTGGGAAATTCATCCGTGGACAACATTAAAGCAATACAATTTATATTACAATGGTTTGACTTTCTCTTACAGTGAAATGTCATAACTGTTATATCCTAGCGAAGATCAAATGATGGGTAACCTCTGAGAACTGTTTATGAACTAATATTATGTATATTCTTATTGCATAACTATTTAGTAACTATATTATGTATACTAATATTCCTCTTATTATAAGCTTTATTTTGACTAGTATCAGAAGGGGTTTTGTGGAGATTGTAGTAATTTCAATAGTTGAGATCATGAGTCAATTGAAGCTAGACCATCATGGAAAACCTGGAAGCACTGGACGGCCGTTTTGTTTTATAATGGGACTCCTCAACAGTGCGCATCCACGACAACGCCTAGAGGGATTCGAACCCAGGACCTATCAGTCTCATGCACGAGCGCTTAACCACTAGACCTATGGATCATTATGATACAATTTACTATTCTCAAGTTATACACAGTTTATTAATTACAGTCTTCCACAATCACAACCACTTTTTGGCCTGATCTTGTACAAATGTTATTTCCTATTTCATAGTATGATGTAGCGTCTTTGGTTTGTATATAAACCGGGTATGTTTGAAATAAATGATTCGTATGGTGGGAACTGGTATTGGTATTCTGGACTCAACTAACAGAACTACGAGAAAAATAACTAATAAGGACACTAGGCTGTTTATACCGGTCGACATGTCATTGGTTTGGCACGATGTTAACACTGTATAAGTCGTATTCTGATTGGTTGAATAAGTCATGTGGTAATTAGCCAGGCTAAAAGATACAACAATAAGAAGATCTTCACTTGAATCAAAATAGAAAACTGTTAAACAATTTGTAAGACGAATTAACTAAGAATTGTAAATGATAAATAATGCAGACAATGAATCAGTTATACGATATATAAAATGATATGTATTATTCTTACCAGGTAGATCATCATCGACATTTAAACCACCACCACCTTCCGATTCCAGAGTATTTGGAAGTTCATCAAATTCAAATCCACCGCTAAAAGAAATAAGAAAAATATATTTAATTGATAGATTTAATTCAATTAGATGAGGAGTTTATATTAACCTAAGCCTTGTGTAAAAATCAAAGAACCTATTTGAAGAAAATGATCAAAACTACTTTATTAATCTAATTAGATTCTATTACTAAACTTGATGAAGCTATTCAGTGTCTACAAAATGGAAATTTCAAAGTTATGGAGTATAAACTAAGACAGCACACCTACTATTCATTGATTAGGTGAAGTGAAATTTTAATTAGAGAATTTTGTAATTGATTATCTACATACGTTAAGCTTCTTTGAAAAGCAACAATATACAGTTTGTGAATAACAGATTATGATGTTAGAGTGTAAATGGATTCTAGGTGTTTTCGCATTTAAGTGGCGCTCATGAGATGAAATTGAACTAAAGCAATATCTTTTAGAGCCTCCAAATGCTCTGGTACGACCGAGAGTGGGGAGAGTTCGCTCTCCCTCTAGAAATACTCTCACACGGCCACGCGTATATAGCCTCTGCCAGGGAAGTCCTACTCACTGCCTTCTCGTGGCAGGAGTGTTGTTTACAAAAATGAGAGGACGAAAAGCGAACGTCCGGCGCTATAACTGGATCCCAAATCAATGGCGCACATGGGCTCCAGTATCCTGCGGGAATAAATGGCGTATGAACCAATTTCCTGGTCACCGGCTTCCATGGGACTGCATCTCCTCACGATGCTCCACTGCCTTGTGGACTAGACCTTTAGGTCAAAGGCTCGGGGTGTGGCCCCTTAAGAAAACCACCTGCTTCGGTCTGGGCACCCGGGCAGTATCACAGCCCTCACACAAATCAAATGAGACTCATGTGGCGCATATGTATTTGGTGCTTCCTTGTACCAATACCTATGTGTTAAAATAATAATAATAATAATAATAATAATAATAATAATAATAATAATAATAATAATAATAATGTAAGCACGTCCAGTTAACGACTTCTAAATAGAATTAAACATCAATCTTGAATACTATAAACAGTTGAAATTCATATTGGTTGTCTATAAGGGTTTTAAGCTATTTGCAACATTGACAATACTCAATAAGTTTCTTGTATCCAAAATTACACTATGATATAGAAGATTCATCCGTTAAATAGACGTAAAAATAAGTTATTACTATTATTCGATCACATAGATATTGGTACAAGGAGGCACCAAATACATATGCGCCACACAAATCTTATTTGAATTGTGTGAAACCTATGATACTGCCCGGGAGTCCGGACCGAAGCAAGTGGCTATCTAACGGGGCCACACCCCGAGCCTTTGACATAAAGGTTTGATCCACAAGGCAGTGGAGCAAGGTAAGGAGATGCAGTCCCATGGTAGCCGGTGACCAACGACTGGTTCATACGCCATTTGTTACTTCAGGATAGTGGAGCCCATGTGCACCATTGGTTTGAAATCAGGGTTTTCCAACTCCTTTAGGTGGACTCTCCATGTCCACCAAACCGGTTAAAGCACCGGACATTCGCTGTATGTAATATTATATTTTTGGCACAATATAGAATTCGCAGCATAAAGTATTTCAACAAGTTTCCTTTTCTTATTTCTTGATCAATCCTGACGATAAATATTGAGTGATCGCCAGGTAGATTTTCAGTCAGTCGGCTACAATGTAGGACCAGGCACATATATGCATCGGTCCAAGTTGCCATACCGCATTAGCACAACAAGATGAACACCATATCCATAGAATTAGTTATTTCGATGTTAGTAAATATATAAGAGAAAGATTGTGTATAAGGCTATAATACAGGAAGAAAGAATTAGTTCGTAGAAAGAAAGGTATGAAGCAATTTTAATCTCATGGTTTAAAGGAAGACAAAAAGTGCATACATCCACAGCATTGTGATCGATTCTGAGTCTCCATCTATTGGTTACGATGGTCGCGCGGACCCCAACCAAGTAGTCTGCATCTACCAATATGGCTCAGACTAGAAGTTAGCAACTTCAAGGATTGATACCATGTTTTGGTTTGGCCGCCCCTAACTTTCTTAAATGTTAACAGTTGAGAAATCCATATTTGAATAATATTCATTCTTTCAAGGCTCATTACCAGCCACCATGATGCCTCTGATTGTACTTTTTTGTACCTTAGACGTATACGCGCCTGAATATGTTATGTAACTAATAGATATAACAATGTGTTAAAGAAAACAAAATCAGATAACTTGTTGAAATATCTAAATAGATGACAGGAAAACATAGCCTATATATTCAAGCAGGTCACCACGATGCTTGAAGTCAACCATCGTTTCTTCAATGATCAATAAAAGTTAAATGTCTAGCATTATCTGCCACTTTTTCATTTGTTTAGCTTGTGAATATAGTATATAGGGCTATAATTTTCACTGCCATCTAAAGCTATTTACGCATATCTTTTAGGAACATATTACTGTAGCATATCTCAAATATCTAAATAAAATAAACAAATTAAATGAAAGTTAGAATTTGAAATGAAATTCTTAGTGAGAAGTATACTACTCTCATATTCACCAAATGAATAGAAAAATGTCCGACGACAATCATCAATACATTTTACATATTGATCACTGAAAAACGAATAAGTTACAAATTCACAAACGTATATATCCTGTCATTTCTCTATATTCATGCTTTAAAATTAACTTATAAACCAATTAAAGAAGAAAGGCAAACAATCTGTTTTGGCATGAAAATCTATAATTTAGTTACCAAGAGAGAAACAAATGAAAAAAAAAATAATGACAATTATAATAAAACAGATGATGTGAACATAAACATACAGAATAAATTTTAACCTGTAAGAATTATGCTTAAAATCACCCCTAAACGTTGAAATACAATACTATTTTGCAAGAATTACTTTGACAAGTTTAATTTACCGACAAATGTGTACTATATATAAATCATTAACATGGTCAAGTTCAATAAGTAAACATGATTGAACAAGTGTGTTTAATATGAATTTGCTTATTAAAACCTTATTTTATATCTTTTATTTCTATGATGTTAACTCAAACCAGTCTACTAAGTGAAATAGTGGAATTATTTGAAGATATCGATCACTGAGATTATTATATATGGATAATTTTTATTTATTATTTATTTATTTTAACACATAGGTATTGGTACAAGGAGGCACAAAATACATATGCGCCACACAAATCTCATTTGATTTGTGTGAGGGCTGTGATACTGCCCGGGTTCCCAAACCGAAGCAGGCGGTTTTCTTAGGGGGCCACATCCCGAGCCTTCGACCTGAACGTCTGACCCACAAGGCAGTGGAGCAAGGTAAGGAGATGCAGTCCCATGGTAGCCTGTGACCAACGATTGGTTCATACGTCATTTGTTCATTCAGGATACTGGAGCCCATGTGCAACATTGGTTTGCGATCCGGTTAAAGCGCTGAACATTCGCTTTTCGTCCTCTCTTTTTCGTAAACAACACCCGTGGTGCGAGAAGGCAGTGAGTAGGACTTCCGTGGTAGAGGCTATATACGCGTGGCCATGTGAGAGCATTTTGAGAGGGAGAGCGAACTCTCCCCACTCTCGGCCGTACCAGGGCATTTGGGGGCTAGATAATTTGAATATTAAAAGTTATACGAATAGATGGATAGACAGAGAAAAACAAACCAGAAATATATCATTTGTTGAAATGTTAAATGGTTAGAGGAAAACCTGTTTAAACTAGGTTTTGTGTTGGTTAGTATTTGTCACAGCGTGGTATATTTCCACAATATCGGGGAAACAAATACTTCTCTTAAGCCTTTAATCTGAGTCACTTAGCTTCAAAGTTTGAGAAGTTATCAATGAGCTATTCAGGCAATAACTGTAGTAGGAGTGGGATGTTTACAACTGAATAATGACCGAGTAGTGACTACTGTCATGCTTATCCAGTGGCTTAGCACTGATCGAATCTTGTCGGTTAAATAGCCATTAGATAAGTGGTACTGCTTTAGAATGTGAACTTGGGTGATGCACGTAAGAATCCCATCGATTTCCTCGAAATTGCAGGCATGCCATGCTGGCTAGCGCCAACTAGCAGAAAACCAAAGTCAAGTGAGCTTTCTTGTCCACTACCTCTGAACAACAAACACTTTAAAATAGTGAATGTGATGTTGGGTCACTTAAACTGGTTAACGGACACATTGCAACTTTGTCGATCGAAGCCGATCAACACTTTAAGGACTAGATAGGCATGATAATGGTTACTTCTCAGTCTTTAATCAAATATATGTACATCATCCGCATAATTTTATCATTAATCACTCGATTTTATGTATTTTTTAATACTTAACTAATGTACACTTACCCAGTAGTATCATAGCCAACACCAAGTGAATTCGAACGAACTGCTGAAATATTAATGTACAAGAATTAAAGCTTGTGTATATACATCGAAATAATAAAAATTAACTATCACATTGAAATAACAGAGTGATATTCTATATTAACATTGTTTTTAACATGCCTTATCTCAAGAATCTGTGGCATAATTCAAGTATTCGTTTGCTAAATGAGAGGTAGGTGTATTATGTATGGTAGTCTGTTATGTTTTAATTTATGACTGTGAACGTAGGAAAAACTTCCACAGACTATAGTTATTCGATTATACAGAGATCTTTGGAGTATAACTCATATTCGATAGAATCACTAAGTTAGTAATGCTGAGATTACACGTAGTGTCAGGTAAAAAGGAAAATCGACTGACGACGCTGTTGAGATTTTCAAGACATGTATTACCCACGTCTAGCCAGCTCCTACTCTGACCTTTAGGTACTAAATTTGCATCTAATGGTTTGTAGTTTTAACTTTGATTACATGACGAAAGACTAAAAGAAATCGATTCAGTAATAGAAACTTGCATATAGATAGTTTTCGAAACTAAAGTTGCCTAGAACATTTATCGCAAAAATTCAATACTGTTTGAAGTGAGAAGTAATAAATTCGAGCCTCAAAGTGAACATCGATTCATTAGGATACAGGTAAATTCAGTTTACAATCTCTCAATAGGTTGAAACTCGCGGCCTTCATTTTATTGTTACTAACAATTTACCTATTCTATAAAAGTAGTATACATATGAAATCAAACAATTTATCTCTTAGCTAAATGATCTAAATTGTTTCAAATACATAAAAATTACGACAATATTAATTTTAATCTCCTAACAAATATAGTTCAATAACAAGTAAAAGTTTTTTATATATTTATTTTAACATATAGGTATTGGTACAAGGAAGCACCAAATACATATGCGCCACATGAGTCTCATTTGATTTGTGTGAAGGCTGTGATACTGCCCGGGTGCCCAGACCGAAGCAGGTGGTTTTCTTAAGGGGCCACACCCCGAGCCTTTGACCTAAAGGTCTAGTCCACAAGGCAGTGGAGCATCGTGAGGAGATGCAGTCCCATGGAAGCCGGTGACCAGGAAATTGGTTCATACGCCATTTGTTCATTCAGGATACTGGAGTTAGCCCATGTGCACCATTGGTTTGGGATCCGGTTATAGCGCTGAACATTCGTTTTTCGTCCTCTTTTTTTCGTAAACAACACCCGTGGTGCGAGAAGGCAGTGAGTAGGACTTTCCTGGTAGAGGCTATATACACGTGGCCATGTTAGAGCATTTTGAGAGGGAGAGCGAACTCTCCCCACTCTCGGCCGTACCAGGGCATTTTGAGGCGTTCAATAACAAGAACAGAATATAGTCCCTTAGATATCAATATAAACATTAAGTAGTGATCAAGAGTGAAAAACATAATAATCAAAATAAGAAAGGATATGATCTACGTGATAATAAGATAAGATCAAATATCACTTACTAGATGATCCATCTATTGTTGGGTTTTGATCATGATTAGTTGATCCAGTTATATTATACTTAGATGAATTCATTGATAATTTACGTGGTGAATTTCTATGAATATGATTATTCAATGTATTTCTTGATTGTTCTTGACTATTATTATTATGATTAATAAATTTGATTTGTTCAGTTAATTCAACATTAGAACGTATTAATTCATTTAGATGTTCATGTAAACGATTCTCTTCTTTTTTCCATTCTTGTTCTTTCACCTCTAAACGTGAAACTGAAATTGAACCAATTTACAACAATAATATATCAACAATAAGAGTTTTAATGAACAAAAAAAAAGAAGAGCAGAGCAAAGGAGATAACGACAGACAAAAAAATGCGAAGGAAATAAATCACAAGTATAATGTTGTATTATACGCTGTCCGATTTTGATACTGATACACATACTTCATATCGGCGAAAACTCGAATCAGCTACTGAATGAGAAGTCTAAGAGTGAGAAGAAAACATTCTGTTGGGTGATCAAATCGAGAAATAACTGTAAACTCATTTATATATAATGTTCCGCAGAAATTTAAACGACAAATCTTGCTCAATCGAGTGCGCTTATTATCTGCATGACGTCTGAATGGTCCATTGTATCATATAAAATGAGTTAAAAACTTTAATACAAGTGAGTGAATAGATAAACATCAGCTGTATTGATCTAATGGAGTAGTGGCTCAGTAGTTAAAGCATTTGAATTTTAGCCGTTAGGTCAGTGATCTCAAACCTAGTCCACCTATTTAGATTTATGCAACTGGATAATGTATCACTGACCCATACAGTAACAGTGTGGCTCGAAGGTGAGTACATGAATATGTACTTAGTGAGCGAGTTACACACAAGCCGAATTGATTATCCGTGAATATAATGTAAATCGTATCTGTATAATCAATAATGTAAATAATTAGATAAATAAGTACAAGTTTATGGCAAAAGGCTTTGAAGTACATTGGATGAAGGCTAACTACTATTAGATTGTTTAAAGCTAATATAAATAAACCACATTTCTAATCTGTAAGTTAATATTCGAAAAACCACCACACAAAAAACGACTACATGAAACAAAACTGAAGATCTAGTAAAACTGACCAGTTAATGGAAGTGACGTAGATAGAATGAAATTTGAACAATCAACTTGAATGATTACGAATCGAATGTTTCAACATATTAAATCACAACTTTACAAGATACAGTATTCACAATGAAACCCATAATATGTTTATTTTTTGCCATAAATAATGAACCCATCAACAATAGGTTCATATGCCACTGATTCCCTCAGGATCGTGGAATTCATGTGTACCAGTGGTCTCCGATAGGTGGATCCTTCATACCCACCAACACAGTTTTAGCTTTTCATACTGTTAATTACGTCAACAACACCACCACCGTCAGAAGTTACTGAGTAGAATTCCCCTTGCAGTGGGTATACACACGTGGTCACATAGGCACTATATATATATATATATATATATATATATATATATATATATATATATATATATATATATATATATATATATATGGTACTGGGTTCGAGTCTCAGAGTGAACATCAACTCTGAGATGCAGGCACATCCAGCTGACGAGTCCCAAATAGGATGAAACGCGCGTCCTGGATTCCACTGCTAGACACGATCCATTTTTGCTCATAAAAGCTTGTGAATTAAGACAATATTGAGTCATACGCACAGTATGCACATATGCCAATAACAGACTGATCAATTGCAGTCTTAAAAACTCAATACCAAGTGAAGTTATATCATATTTCGTTAAACAATATACTTGAGAAGGTGATCAGTAATAGTTACTACACGATTTCAAATAGATTAACAGTTGAAAAACATAAATCAAATGACTTCAATCATATATTTATAATACTAAATGTAAACAATGTGAGTTTACGTGGTCATGAGATGTAAGCTTAACAAAAAAAGACAGTTCTCTATTTCACCCGACAATTATTGAATACTTTAAATTACAGTAGGTAATGATATATTATTAAGTGTTATTTTTGTTGCTTACTTTTCAATAGTAAATTTAAATTAATCTAAACTGATAATCAAGGATAAGTTTATGTACTTGGAGATTTGAAACAGATATTTATACCTAAGAAGCTAATGCAGTAGTGTATAATAGTTAAAGCGCTCAGGTATGGGTTCAAAATCTCTTCCATTCACTTTGATTTCCAGAATTTTGGTAGTATCACTAACTTTCCAGAAAATCACTAGGGTTCAAGGCTGGGGACGTAAATGTTTACTTCTTAAATGATTTAATAACATCACCTAGTTACCTAAATTGAAGTAAACAGATATATGAGATAAAATTCCATGTGTAGTTAAACAAATATTACCTTTGAACAGTAAAGGATATATATTCATCTAATTAGTATGTACAGTCAAGTTTATGAATAATACTTTAGGTAAAAGACACAAATCAATCGATGAGAATGCAAACTTGGGGAGATATGGTAGTACATGCATGTTCAACAGCAAAAACGTATTCAGTGCCCTACAAGATTCCGACTTCCACAAACTAGATCAAGTGACAGACAACAATCTAACTAATCAATCATATTCTACCCTGAAGACGTGAATGATATATAAATCAAGCGTAGATTAATTTAAACGACATTAAGTAATCAACAATAAAGACTCAAATTACTCCTTGTGTATGATGAGATAACTCACTGAAGAATGTATTATATCCATAAATAACCAAACAAATCGTTGATTAAGCTTTCACCATGTCTATCTGGTTTGATGTCTGTAAATTATCCCTATTACATGTAACCTGTCAATTGAAGGACATTATTATCCTGTTATATAAGTATGACTTATGACTTTTATTCATTTCGATAAGACATGAAATACTGGTCGAAACGGATAAAGTTGTCCTTGTTTTTACCATAGCTTTCTGGTCAGTATATGACATGGTGTCGTAGTATGAAAGAAAGCTGCAAAGGGCTAGCTTATGTTGGTCCTTCACGACTCCCTGGTTGGGGTCCGAGAGATGGTGTAACGCAGTGGCTAGAGACGTTATCAGATATGGCTCAGAATAGAAGCCAGTGGCGATCCTGCTGTAACCTTCTTTTACTTTCTTCATAAAAAGGTGGTCGTATTCTTCCTTAACTGAAAGATCTGTTCTGATTGTACCTTTCCGTTTCCCCCACCATTGTTCTCTCTCTCTCTCTCTTCTTTTTTTTTTAATAATTCCCCACGTTCATTATTTTTTTTTTCTTCTCTTTTCTCCTTCTCTTCTAATTATCACTGTTTTGTGTGGCGCATATATATTTGGTGCCCCCCTGTACCAATATTTATGTGTTCAAATAAATAAATAAATAATAAATCGAGTTTACAGTTCTAGTAGAATATCTGTAAGACAAATTAAATCCTACAACTTCACAGATTTGACAGAACTGTCAATTTAATATAACTCATTCACTAAGCAGTACAAGTTTATGGGATTGTCTTTAAGATACTGTTCGTATGTGTGAAGGTCAGTGATGCTATTCAATTCTCCAAACCAGTCCTACTCACTGCCTTCTCATGGCAGGGGTGTTGTTTACAAAAATGAGAGGACGAAAAGCGAATGTTCAGCGCTTTAACCGGATCCCAAACCAATGGTGCACATGGGCTCCAGTATCCTGAAGGAACAAATGGCGTATGAACCAATCGTTGGTCACCGGCTACCATGGGACTGCATCTCCTCACGATGCTCCACTGCCTTGTGGGTCAGACCTTTGGGTCAAAGGCTCGGGGTGTGGCCCCCTAAGAAAACCGCCTGCTTCGGTTTGGGCACCCGGGCAGTTTCACAGCCCTCACACAAATCAATTGAGATTTGTGTGGCGCATATGTATTTGGTGCCTCCCTGTACCTATACTTATGTGTTAAAATAAAATAAATAAATAAACTCCAAACCAGAAATAAACGGAACGAGATTCAAACCTGTAATCTACTGGTTGAAAATGGAATATATTAATTGTGAAGCTATCACTATGCATTATTGATTTCAGAATCTCAAAGTATATGTTGTTTGATATTGTAGAAAGAATCAATGAACACACGATGCTGAACCTCTGTATTACTAACATGGTGTTGCCAGTAGATGTTAACAATCCTTCGGAAACACAGAGTTGTCTAACATCCTCAACTCGGAGAGGCCAGGTTTCACAAGCATAGAGCAAAACTGCCCTCACAGATGCATTGCAGATCCGAACTTTTACAACTAAACTAACATCACGAAGGCGTCAAAAATGATCCAGATTGGCATAAGCCGCGCTGGTTTTCACTATACGTGCATTGATCTCGTCACTCACGCCACCACCACCACTTATGCAGCTACCTAGATACACGAACTTCTCGACTACTTCTATCTCCTCATCATCCAGGGTGAGTACAGGATTAGAATCCTGCCAGTCTTGTAAAAGTACTTTGCACTTCGAAGGTGCAAAGCACATACCGTACCTAGAGACATTGGTTGCCAACTGATTAAGTGCGGATTGCGTGGCTTGGGTACCATCGCACAGTAAGACAATATCATCCGCATACTCATGGTCGAAGTCTTTCTCCAGGCAACAGATCTACACCGCCATTACTTACACCCATCAGAGTTGTTTCCAGAATGTCATCGATGGCAAAGTTGAAGAGGAATGGTAAGGTTGAGCAACCCTGTCTAACTCCACTGCCTGAATCAAACAATGAAGAGAGGTGGTTTTATGCGCTTACTCTACCTGAGGTGTTTTTATGTAGGACTTCCAAGGTGTTAATAAACTTCTCAGGCACACCTTTCTTCAATAGACAATCCCATAGAACAGACCTGTCCAATGAGTCGAAGGCGGTCCTAATCTCAAGAAACACTACGATTGTTGGCTTGCAATACGGTATAATAACATTTGACAAAGGGTGAATTCATTATCAATACATCCTCGACCAGAACGAAAACCAGCCCACCCCTCGCGAGCCAATCTTTTTCGGGTTTTGAACAATCTGCCAAGTGTGATGGAAGCCAGTAGTTTGGATGCAATCGGAATTAGACTTATCTTTCAGTAGTTGTCGTGAAGATAGAGACAATTGTCGACTCGTTCCACGATGTTGGAACACTCTCTAACTCCCAAACCTTTGTAAACAACTCAATCAATTTGTTACCCAGAAAGTCACCACCATCTTTAAGAAGAGTTGGAGTTCTTTGTGAACTTCCGCCTCGTCATATGGATCAGTCATCACCAGACATGGATGATAGGACAGTCTGATCGATGTTGTCGGGGCAGCAGACCAGTAGAACGGCTCCTCGAAAAACTCTGCCCATCATCTAACACGTCAGTAGATGTCATCATTTAGCATACCGTCAGCTTCATGTATTGGTTTACTCACAACAGACTTCATGTTACCAGTGACTCGGGTGAGTTGAAAGAGCTTCCGGCAATTACCGAAGGCAGCTGCTGTTTCTATCTCATTAGCACGCTCCAATCACCAGGCTTCTCGGTCCTTACAAATGCTTTGCACAATTTCATAACGTAAAAATCTTCGTCACGGTCTTCAAAGAGTTGTAAGGAGCCTGAAGAAACCTAGTGCTTATAAGCGGGACATTTCGCGAAGCGACAAGCGATTTAACTCGCCATTTTCATGGCGTCGTGTAATTGCAACAAATGCCCATCTATACTTTTCGGTGGTCTGATAGCTAGCCTTGAACCTAGCTTGGTTTGACACTTAGTTGCAACATAAACTGCAACCAATTTTCTGACATCAATCCTTTTAGGATGATAAATTTGTTAGCCACTGAAACGTAAGATCAGCGCAAACAAGGGCATGACCACAGTCCCGAAAGGTACTCCAAAAGGAACAGCAATCTGGCACACAACCACGTCAATGGTAGCTGAGCATGATGTGACCAACCTGAGCCCAGGTTTAAAATGCTGAGGAAGAACGTCAGGTAGCACATTGGTGATGACTGTGCCGAAAGTTAGTGCTAGCCAGAAACAGGTTGTGGTCCGACCACAGTTATAGCAGACGGTCACCGTTATCTGACCTGAGACCAACAAGTACCTATCGGCCACCCAAATGACTCTCTTTTGTGCTTAGACGCCTGACCTGAGCATTCAAGTCTCCGGCTAGTACTACAATATCTGCCGAACGCACTTTCTGCAGAAGAACTGCTAACTAGTGGTAAAACTTGTTCTCGATCGCATCTGGGCTGTAATCTGTCAGAGCATAGATAGAGATGACGAAATACATCGTTTCTCATACCGACTTCCTCGCACTTTGGTAGGGATTTCTAATATAACAGCACATAACCTACTGTTAGAGAGGATTCAACCGATCAGTGCTGCCATAGCTCTAGCGCTTTGTGCGACATCAAAGCCAGCAAAACCGAACAAAGATGCTGCAGAGTCTCTGGATAAACGCACGTGAAACAAGCTTTTCGAAGCGATGTATGGACAGAGAATTCGTAGTACGTCACTAGAGTTTTGAATACTGATCTCGGATAAACAACAGATATCGATGTCGAGACTTTCTAGGTTCATAGCCAACCCTATCTGTTGTTTGATCTGCATTAGTGTGCGAACGTTGAAGGAAGCCAGTTTAAATGGCGTACATGGCTTCAAAAGGACTGTTTCAGTATTCATAGTCGGTGGTAGCATTCGACTTTCTATCAGTCAGTGACTTGAGATCTTTAGATAGGACAGGGTTTCGACCATTGGCAAGCTGCTGTGTAGATTGAAAAATAAAATAATACGCAAAATGAGAATAAAGGGAAGTAGATAAGTGACGTAGTATAAAAGAAATAAAAACCAATGCTATTATATGATTGTGAATATGATTTTTCTGAATGAGCGTTGAAGCAGCAACAACAACAAAATAGGAATTCTTTCGTGAGTGCTCAGATGATAATAGTAAAATGCATACTAACCCGCTGTTTCCATCATATATTTATTGATTTTACTAACCTATTTATCAATTATAAATTTGTGAAGTAACGTTTGAGTCACACTATAAGTGTAAGGGTTAGTTGTCCAAGCCGAAGTAGCTGGACTAAGGGGTTCGAGTCCGAAAATTAGTGACTAAACGCCCAAAGGACTAACAAGTAATATCCTAAAGTAAACCTGAATGGAATATTATAGTTTAAGATTACAGATAAGAAAATAAAGGTAACGCGGTTTGACTCATTTGCACTAATTCACCCCTTTTATTGATGGTACTACGTTCATTTAATTATTATTTAGGTACTAATCAGCTTAGTTTATACAGTTAGATATTTAGTCGACAATCTTAACCGTAAAATACAACTACTTGATTACAATTAAATGGTACCAATTTGCATCAGTCAGTAACAGTACTACGACATAAAATGTCACTGAAGAGGTCGAACATATCTACAGAGAGATTTTAATGCTTAAAGCTCAATGTGATTATTTATGATTATTAAAGATATGTACATAAAATTTAAAAGAATATAGGTATAAAAAAGACGAAAAAACAAACCTTGATCTTTAGCCAACTGAAGTCTCAATTCTGTTTGCCGACAAGATGTGGATAATGACTCATTTTTTGCCTCATTCACCTTTCTCTCTTCATCAAAAGCATCCTCTGCATTTAGTAAACGCTAAAGTTTTAAATTTGCATCGAAAGAAAGTTTAATAAGTTTGTTAAAATTCAGCAGAATCAAGTGAACATTTTATCACAAAAATATGATATTTGAAATATGATACACTCTTTTAAGCCTCCATGAACGGTAATCATGCTACAGGTTACATCTATAAAGAAGTGTACACGCAGTTCAGTGGTAAAAATAATAAGGATGTGTGATGTGACAGTATACGGTTGACTTACCAACGCCAGGTTGGCATCACCAGCTTTGTGGTCATCAAATAGCACGGAAATCATTTACTAACAAAATGTATACACTATGTCAGTATACAATGCTCCGAAATTCCCTGGTACGGCCGATGTTAGAAAGAGTCTGCTCTCCATCTCCAAATGCTCTCACACGGCCACACGTATACAGCCACTGCCAGTGAAGTCCTACTCACTACCTCGCGGCACTACTGTTGTTTAAGAAATTGAGAGGATGGAAAGCGAATGTCCAGCGCGGAAACTGGGTTGTTGGATGTGAAGGATCCATCTAGGGGAGCTGGAAAATCCTGAGTCTAAACCAATGGTGCACATGGGGTCCAGGATCCTGAGGGAACAAATGGTGTCACCAGCTACCATGAGAATGCATCTCCTGACGTCGCTCCATTGTCTTATGAACCAGACCTTTAGGTCGTAGGATCCCGGTGTGGCCGCCTACGAAAACCACCTGCTTCGGTTTGGACACCCGGGCAGTATCACAGTCCACACACAAATCAAGTGACTTGTGTAGTGCATATGTATTCGGTACTAATATTGTACTAATATTTACGTGTTCAAATAAATAAATAAATGCAATATTTTATAATATGGATGCAGACAAAACAGTTGAGAGTAAACGAAATAAACCACATATATATGATGATGATTTTTTTCAGTTTCGTGTACAGTGGGAACACGCGAACACAAGAAGATCGAGAACAACGTCGAAGTTTAGCATGGAACTACGGATGACAAAGAACCCAGTTTTGAACATGTGTTAAGTAGGGTGGATGTGTAACAGGTTACGTATATCCGAGATGATGGTTGAGAAGTTTCAGTTTACACAAATCAAAAGCTGTGACATTATGCTGTAAAAGACCAAAGAGATCACCTTTTATGGTAGTAATATTTATTGTGTAACTTGGCAATTATTAAAGTCGGAGATATCAATTGGACAAATTCTTTTCTTTAAAATTCACTCACCAATTCGGACTGTTTACGAGCAGCCTTCTCAGCAGTAAGTTGGTCATAAATATGCTCATTCTCTTCACGTAATTGTCTGACTTCAGCGTGGTATGCAGATTGATCTTTATATAGTTCATCCAAATTTTCTAGTAGACTAATTATTAATGGCATTAAACGTTCAACAACGGGTAATCCATAAGCCTCAATCATAGTTTCAAACTCTTTGTATATACCAGAAGCTATACACTGAACGCGTTCAGACATAACCACTGAAACATGTGAGCTACGATCTAATTCGTTGAAATTCGAGGACAAATAAACATCGTCAATATCATTAAAAGGAGACTTCAAGTTGAGTAATTTCTTTTCTAATTCAGTACCACCATTCGCAATATTTTCATGAACTATTGTACTTTCAGGAGAATGGGACATTCTAACTGGAAATATTCAAAAACAGTAATAATAAAGACTCGGAACAGTTGTGATCTTCCAATTTAATATTGTAACGAGGAAATTTGAAGTAGAATTGCAAATGGCAAGAAAAAGATATACCGTGATAATAAGAGCAGGTGGTTATCAACAGTGGTTCGAAGCTGAGTACATTAACCTGAATTGGATGAAACAGATTACACAAAAGACAATGGAATTAGCGCGAATATATGTCGGTTTAAATTCTCATACTTTACAATGGGTACAGTAATGGAGTGAAAATGATGTTAGTCGTAAACTAAACACGAAAAAGATAATACAATAAACTCGTGTAAATACTATGCATTACTGCATCATTTAACACTGAATATCCTTAATTTACAGTTATCGTTCTAAATAAACAGCTAGAATATATAGTAAACTGTAGTTATCTTCCCTTTACTTATGTTAACTATACATGAAAATAAGTATATGTGAACGATCAAGGACTGTTCGGTGATATGGTAACAGTCGGTTTTAATCCACCCCAAGTTAATGTATTATCGAAACTAGTCTGCCATAAGTTATTACATAAAATGAAATCCAACGGCTATTTGGTCTTTATTAGCTAATCTGCAAACAAAAATTGTAGTCTTCACCTTGCAGATAAAACTGTGTATTTAAGACATTTAAAAACAACAGTATGTGGAACAGGGCCAATGAATAACGGAGGTAAGACATGACGTGCCAGCAACAACGCATATATTTCGAAAATCGAATGACGTGGTTATGTTACAAAAGAGTAGGCTTGACTAAAAAAGTTTCATACATTATTTGCAAGCCCAGTTTACCTAGGCCTTGTTTTTCTTGAAGAACATATGTAAATATTTACCAATTGTTGCCCTGTAATAAAAAAAGATTCCGGTTAATAACATTGCACAATGATTTCGAATATTGTTGCACAACCCCTCTGTCCGTGAGGCACTGTCTCTGATTGTGGATATGGACATGCTGTCTTCCTTTGATTGTACTTCGTAATAACTAGTGGCAGATGAGGGTTTACAAACTGGGTATCGAAATGCACCAACGTTCGGTCTGGTTCCAACTAGTTATAGTGTACGATTATAACGTAGTCTTTAGGTCGCTGACAGTTGTGTAAGACAAAGGTAATGAGAGGTCGAATAAACACAATTTTTTAAGGCCCTTTCTAAGGATGGCGGAGCTTGTGCTCCTAGTGGAGACAGAGAGATGAAACCAAAAACGATCTCTAGTTCATACACCGATCCGTCAACTCCTTGGTCGCATAAGTCTTCCTGGTGTCTGCTAGAATTCTGTATACTGATTTTGACCACGCGTTACGCGTCGACGAGACAGCTTCGAAGATTATGGATGTACGGAACATCTTCCTGAGCCACATATAGTAACGAGGGCCTTTGTACCCCAATGGGTAGACGTAAGTCATGCAAAAAAGTAGAGTGACAGGTGAGAAGCCTGTGGAACCATGAAATGGTGCGCGATAAGCTAAGAAACATTGTGGTATCGCATTATCCCGACATTCAGTGGACTTACTGATGAACGATATTAGGAGGGCCTTAATGGTCCTGTTTGTCCTTTCCACCAGGCGATTATTTTCTAGGAGGTACGTAGTGGAGTGTGTTTTTTCAGATTTCCAATATGTGGTACTTGAGTGATGAGATAACTTACATAGGGCACGGAAAAGCAGTCAACTCTCAAACTATACCGCGCTTTCCTCTACACGACCTTGAACGTCACAGATGGTAGCATTCATTCCGAATTTGAAGTGCTTAATGTCGGTTACTATCATGATTCTCATATGTGAAAGCCACTAAAGTCGTTGCTAACATCATAAACTATGTTCTTTTTCATTTTTAGCATTGTTTGTTTTTAGTGTTGTGCAACACTTTGTAAAACATCGGTCGAACGATTTTGTTGGAGAATCTATTGCAGCCAGGTATTTAAAAAACATAACTGAAAATAATCATAAACTAATCTATAGACTGATAATCCGTGTGATAAATAATTATGTTTATTACTAAAGAGATGACTGAAAATCAGTGGGTTTGGAAATGTTGTCGTCTTTCATTAGTACTAACAGTATCTTCTGTACTGCAGTTAATAAACCCTCTCTGAAATGATAACTTTTTATCTTGTTTTCTGTCAATGTGTCCCCATTTGTCGTGGTTCATGTTCTAGAAACACATCAGTTGACTTGAATTATGCGGCTCATGAGTTAGAATTTCAAAAAGCATTTACTAAATTCTGGCACGCAGGAGAAACATATTTGTAGGTGTTTCAGACTGCTCACATCATTATATATGTATAAGAAGATGGTTTTTAAGTGATACTGGATTCAAGTATACATTGGTTGTATGTTTGGCCAGAAAAGTAAACCACAAGATTTTAGTTGTGAGGACTACAAATCTAAAGTAGCATTTCAGGTCCAAGTTTCTGAATTAACAGTCAATATTCCACGTAGTTCTGCTACAGAGTGAGTGCGTAATATAGTCATGTAAGGTACTGTGTAATCATCCTCGTGAGCGTTTGTAGTGACCTACTTTTGTCAACAGAACGCGATTGGTTCGATGAAAACAATTATTATTATAACCAATTGTACCAGTGATTGTTTTATTGTGCTCGTTTGTTTAACTGTGCTAATGACAGCCATTACACTTACTCTCCCGTTGACTTTTAATTGTACGAATCCGGTTACGCTCAGTAACCACGCTTGTACTCCTTTGGCACGATCTCGGTATTCTTTCGATACCACAAGATCGCCAACAAATGCATCTCGACTACAGCCATCATCTGCCTTCTGATTTTCGGCCTACCGGAATCTTATTGGTCTATTGGCACGTAGTCTTTTAGCGGTGTTCATAGTCAAGCTCAACCCGACACCACGCTACATTTGGTGAGCCAAATATTGGAACACGCCTCAATTTCGGTCAAACCTTCTACATCTGGTGAACCTAAATCTACGAACACTTGGCAATCGCAACCAAATCTTCCATAGAAGGCAATTCGGTTGTTGTTTTATCTATCCACGTCTGTCGTATATTTTCATTATTATTTTTCATATATAATATACTCGACATGACGGATAACGATAAGAATAGTATTAATATAATAGACTCCGATGTACGCATACCGAATCCTCTGCACTTTTTATTCGCGTGACGATAAATTCCACGCTTTATTCGAGAAATTCCCTAGATTAACTAAACCTTTCGAGAAGATTTCATAATTGACCAATCGTGTGGTACACCACATAGTCACCCGCGGACCACCAGTCACGGCAAGACCACGCCGACTGGCACCGAACAAATTAGCTTTCGCTAAACGTGAGTTTGACAATTTTCTATCTGCTGGTATTATTCGTCCTTCTCACAGTCCTTGGGCCTCTCCTTTACACATGGTGCTCAAAAAGGATGGGGTTAGTTGGAGACCACGCTATTATTCCAACGTCTTTCGGATAATGCAATAGTAGTCAACCCAGAGAAATGTGAATTGGGTAAATCGGAAATAATATTTCTGGGTCACATCATCAGACAAGAGGGTATTCTGCCTTGCGAGGACAAAGTTCGAGCAATCAAGGAGTAAAACGTGCCGTCCTCAATCAAGGAACTGAAGGCTTTTCTCGGTTTGATCAACTTCAACCGACGTCTCATCCCTCACGCGGCAGAACGGTTACGACCATTAACCGATTTGCTATGTGATAATCCACGCAAATCAGAATTGAACTATACCGCACGTACTGCATTTTCAGAGATCAAAACGGCTCTCGCTGAAGTTACACTTCTCGCCCATCCTGACCCATCAGCCACGCTTAGTATAGCGGTTGATGCATCAGATTTCGCTATAGGAGCCGTTATGCAACAGAATATCTCCGGTAGTTGGCAACCCCTTGAATTTTTCTCACGACGCCTTACTCCCACGGAGATGAGATATAGCGCTTTTGGTCGCGAGCTGCTTGCAGCCTACTGCGCCATCAAACATTTCCGGCACGCAGTAGAAGGACGCCAATTCATTTTATTCACCGACCATAAGCCCTTAACGTATGCCCTGCATACCAAGTCTGACCGCTACTCACCACGAGAATGCAGACATTTGGACTATACCTCACAGTTCACGACAGACCTTCGTCACATTAAAGGCGAGTCGAACTATGTTGCCGATGCTCTATCACGTATCCAGACGAATGCAGTTACTTTACCGGTGCTCGATCTTCCTGCTATGACCGCCGCACAAGCAAACGATCCTGTCTGTACAGAAGCACCACAATCATCGTCCCTTCAGTGTCAGGAAGTACCCCTGGCTACTAGCTCAGGTACTATCCGATGTGATATTTCTACCGGTCTTCCTCGACCCATCTTACCCTCTACCTATCGCCATCTCGTCTTTGATGCCCTTCATGGATTGTCTCATCCAGGTATCGCAGCCACATTACGTCTCATCTCTGCACGATACGTCTGACCGTCCATGAATAAAGATGTTCGTATGTGGGTAGAGCAATACTTACAGTGTCAACGATCAAAAGTGCACAGGCACGTAGCTGCCCCCATTAACACGTTCGCTACGCCTGATGCTCGCTTTGATCACGTTCATATAGACATTGTAGGACCATTGCCACCATCGCATGGGTATGATCACATACTCACGTGCATTGACCGTTTTACAAGATGGCCCGAAGCTATTCCCATCACGTCTATCACGGCGGAGACAGTTGCTCACCGCTTCGTAGAACGATGGATAGCAGTGTACGGTTGTCCCTCGACTATCACGACTGACCGAGGACAACAATTTGAGTCCGCATTATTCTCCTCACTGACCCGGCTGCTTGGTACGGGACGCATACGCACCACCGCCTACCATCCAGCATCGAATGGTTTAGTCGAAAGGTTTCACCGCCAAATTAAAAGTGCTCTCCGAGCACACGAAAACGACAATTGGTACGAAACCTTACCGCTCGTTCTCTTAGGTATCAGAACGAGTTTGAGTGCAGATATCCAATGTTCCGCCGCTGAACTTGTATACGGCACGACATTGCGTCAGCCTGGGGAATTCTTCACATCACGGAGCAGTAATGATTTCGGTAAATGAGATTACGTCCATCGACTGTCTGCATTTATGTGAACGCTGTCTCCGGTGTCAACTCGAATACAACATCGACAGGTCGCTCTCCCTCGAGAGTTATCTACCTGTTCACATATTTTCATACGAGTAGATTCGGTACGCAAACCTCTACAACAGCCTTAGGAAGGCCCTTTTCAAGCGATCTCTCGTCACGAAAAGACCTTCAAGGTTGATCGACACGGCCGCGTCGAGATCGTCAGCATTGATCGTCTCAAACCAGCACACGTCGATGACAGTGCCCTACCCGATAACTTGAGACTCAATGCTAGACCTATCAAACCTTCTAGCGGGATCTCTACGTCTACCTCGGATCCCACGCTAGATACGCCTGCAGCGTTTTCTGGTTCACATCCCTACGAACGCAATCAACAGATCCTGGATACAGACCACTCTGGTGTGGTATGCTAATTCGACCGACAAATACAGCACACTTCTCCTGGTACCGTTCTTCGCAAGACTTTCGTTGGCAACTCGAGGATCAACGATCACTTCCTGTTCCGCCAATTTCATCCGTCCTACAACCGCACTTCTGCCGATCAGTCCAACGAATCAAACCGCTAACTATCGAAAGTGTAAACCCTTTCTAGCGGGGGGCTCCTGTAGTGACCTACTTTTGTCAACAGAACGCGATTGGTTCGATGAAAACAATTATTATTATAACCAATTGTACCAGTGATTGTTTTATTGTGCTCGTTTGTTTAACTGTGCTAATGACAGCCATTACACTTACTCTCCCGTTGACTTTTAATTGTACGAATCCGGTTACGCTCAGTAACCACGCTTGTACTCCTTTGGCACGATCTCGGTATTCTTTCGATACCACGAGATCGCCAACAAATGCATCTCGACTACAGCCATCATCTGCCTTCTGATTTTCGGCCTACCGGAATCTTATTGGTCTATTGGCACGTAGTCTTTTAGCGGTGTTCATAGTCAAGCTCAACTTGACACCACGCTACAAGTTCGTGGATGATTTGTGATCCATGAAGGAGAAGATCGGCTTCAGAGAATGAAGAAAATTGGAGGCCAGTACTGGTACAATCGTCACCCTTAGACTGAGTGTCCGTATGCGTTGGAAAAAAGACTGGCTATAAAGTCTCCATTATTGATTTGATCACACTGAATGCTCAATTATTTTCAGGTAAGCATGCACCCTCATGCTTTTAAGCTGTGAATAAAGGTACATGGCATCATTCCTCTAGGATGGTTTTCCACTTGTCTGATGCAGACAGTAGTCTGATTATACAAGAGTTATCCTTCCTGAAACTGTGCTGTTAGGGTGAAGAGAAGTTATTGAATAATATGTAGTCACGTAGGCCACCTTATGTCAGGGACTTCATAATTTTTGATGGCACTGGAAGAATTGCTACAGGCCGGTAGACCGAAGGTTCATTACGTCTAGCTCTTTTGAAAACTAGTGGAATGTGAGCCAAATTCCAAATATCTGGTAACGTGACTCGTCTTAGAGAACTTGAGAACATCATACTAAGCGACTAGCAAAGATTGAAGTCGCTTCCTTTGATGGAATGAACTACAACTGGACTAGAAAAAATGAACTTGCAGAGATGCTACAGTTTCTGATACACCATATCGGCCCTCATGTTCACCTCTGAGAGTACTATCGAGCTGCATGTGTGGCTCCCGTTGACTCAGTTTGCATGTTATTTTTAAAGGACTGAAGTTTGACGGTGTCAACATCGTTGTTGGTTGGACCATTAGGACCTAAAAATTGGGAAACTCTGGGTTTGGCTTGTCGAAGACCAGCTGCATGATGAACTAAGCTTTCGGATTGAAGGAATATTTATCGACAAGATTTTTTGGAATTCAAAACCATCTAATATAAAAGCTCTAGTGCAATGACTTCTTATTTGTTTGAACTGCCTATATGTGCTGTTGTCACTAGTTTGTTCATGTCCTGCCCAGAATGGTCTTGTAAGCTCAAGAATTTGAAAAGTGGGATTTTCTATGACTGTACGCAACCTGTTCTTTTTGGAAACACTTTACGGGACAGACTGTCTTGTAGCACATAAGATTGTAAGCAGTAACTGACTGTTTCTCCAACGAGTTGCTGACTTAATATCTTCGAATAATCCCAGATCACCAATGAGTTTAAAAAGCCGTGTTTCAGTAGAGTTGTCATCTTGAAGGTAAGTATGATCAGCGAAGTTGACTTTAGAAAGATCAAAGTCGCCTACAATCAGGATATGAGTGTATCCAAGACGAATAAAGAGGGATAATCCCTTCACCACATGATTTTCGTGCTAGGTATCAGCAGCGATCTTCCTGTAGCTGATTCAACCTATACAATTCAGTGTGTTAGACAATCTCACTAAGCACCTTACAAATTTATGAAGACCGATAAACTCTTGAGTGTGTACATGATGTTCAACCACGCAAAATCGTAAGTACAAAGCTTCCCCGAACCCCAATCCTGTTTTTGTGTAGTTGCAGAAAAAAAGGCATACCGGGTACGCGCAGCTCCTGGCCTATAATTCCAGAAGGTGTCTGTGTTTCAGATTTTTTCCAGACAATAGATCAAATTCTGGAAGCCGTAACGCTTTTCCATATGATTAAGATATTTTTCCAAGAGTTCATTTGTAGAGTGTATTATACTGTAGTGTGGTGTCGAGTTGAGCTTGACTATGAACACCGCTACAAGACTACGTGCCAATAGACCAAAAAGATCCTCGTAGACCAATATCAGAAGGCACATAATAGTAGTAGTTGAAATATATTTGCTGGCAATCTCGTGGTATCGAAAGAATACCGAGATCGTGCCAAAGGAGTACAAATGCGATCAGCAAGGAAAGATACGTGCGTAGTCACAAACCGCGTAGAAGTAATGGAGTAAAATGAAAGACCAATATGGCTGTCAGTAGCACAGTTAAACAAACGAGCACGGTAAAACAATCACTGGTACTATTGGTTATAATAATAATTGTTTTCATCAAACCAATCGCGTTCTGTTGACAAAAGTAGTTCACAACAGTACAAAGAGAATTCAAAGGCATATATATTAAATGCTCCATTAGTTTCGTTTAGTGAATATGGACCGTTCGTCCCAACATTATGAAGAGAGTTATTTAGTCGTCCAACTAATATTTCCCAAGATTTGGTGCAGTATGTTCTTTATTTAGCAGTACCTTCGTTCCTAATCATGTGTGCCTATATGATATTGCGCTAATATATCATCACATAGTTTTGATAATCTTCGTTTTCTTATTACACTATCGAAATTTATCAAAGGGAGTGATTTACTTCAAACTACAATATCATTTTTCATGTGATTTCAACGTATATGTTTCCCAATTACGTAATTGAGGAGAGCTCAATCGATTCACATATGACTGATACTATTCAGACTAATAAGTTATAAGTTCGAGTGTCATTTTAAACGTTGATCGAACTATGTGAATATTTCGTTGTTTATTAGCTCACTAGTGATCTTTTAACATATAAAACAAACTAACCGATCTATACATTTAAATTACTTTTAATTATTAAGTCAGCATATCAAAACACCTTTTACATTATCCTAAAATATGTACGTAATATATATATATATATATATATATATATATATATGGGGTAAGAGGAGGCAAGGATAATAATAATGTGAACATAATTGGAAACCTAATCACTCTGAATATTAAGTCAATATTACGAGGGTAGGTTAAAGGTAAGAATAAACTGTTTTTGAATGCACAAAGAGGGTTTGAATTTTCGTATGGCTAAGGCTTCAATAAACTTTAGTATACGCCCTTTTACACTTTTATACAACACCACAAAAGTCAAGTTAAGATCAATCTTATGGCCTGTTTCAATTATATGTTTAGTAATAGAGGATGATGGATGTTTATCCTCTGCTCTTATTGGATCACTTGATTGTATTTGTTTCTGAAACCATTTGGGTACATGTTCACTCACCCTAATGTGGAGATCACGATTACTCCTCTCTATGTATGTGTGACCACACACATATTTAAATTGGTAAACACAGTGGGATGTGACACAATCGTTTTCTTGTCTTTTAGGTTTTGGATGAAGCATGAGCCTTGTTCTTTCTTTAATAATGACCTTTACTGTGCAATACGTTTTATTGATGACTGATTTAAGTCTTTTTTTCAATAACAGGCTATTTGAAATACCTCTGAATGGTAAGGTGATGTAGACAGGCAGGTCTCACTGTACCATGGACTTTCCATCTATTTATGAATTTCAGAGGATAGCCATTTTCTATTAATGTCTTATTTAGCAACTTAACATCATCATCAATGGCATCATTTGTACAAATACGATCAAGCCTGTTAGAAAGACACCTTATCAAACCACGTTTGTATTGCACAGGGCAATAATTATAATAACTAAGGTATTGACCTGTCCACGTTGATTTTCTAAAAATGGATCGCTTGACTGAGCCATATTCTCGTCTACTCAGAAGTATATCTAGGAAGGGGGGCTGATCGTTCTTCTTCTCTTCGCATGAGAGACTGGTATGGATTTGAAGAATGTTGAATTTACAGAGAGACCTGTCAAAGACAAGGAAGGCGGGCCAATCACCGAAATTCAACAACAGCGCAACAGATGGGCAGAGTACTTCGAGGAAGTCCTGAATAGGCCGGCTCCAATGAATCCACCGGACATCGAAGCAGCACACACAGATCTTCCTATAGATGTCAATCCACCAACGACAGAAGAAATCAGAATGGCCGTCAGACAAATCAAGAGCGGGAGAGCAGCAGGACCTGACAATATACCAGCTGAAGCGTTGAAGTCAGACATCGAAGTAACTACAAGCATGCTTCATCTTCTATTCAAGAAGATTTGGGAGGAGGAACAAGTGCCGATGGATTGGAAAGAAGGACACCTCATCAAGATTCCGAAGAAAGGAGATCTGAGCAAGTGTGAAAATTACAGAGGCATTACACTACTGTCAGTACCAGGAAAAGTCTTCAACAGAATTTTACTGAACAGGATGAAAGACGCAGTAGACGATAAACTTCGAGATCAACAAGCTGGATTCCGTAAGGACCGGTCATGCACAGACCAGATTGCGACACTACGGATCATCGTCGAACAATCAATTGAGTGGAACTCGTCACTCTACATCAACTTCATTGATTATGAGAAGGCATTTGACAGTGTAGATAGGAGGACGTTATGGAAACTTCTTCGACACCACGGAGTTCCTAAGAAGATTGTAAATATAATCCGGAACTCATACGACGGACTACAGTGCAACGTAGTGCATGGAGGAAATCTGACAAATGCATTCCAAGTAAAGACCGGAGTACGACAAGACTGTCTACTCTCTTCCTTCCTCTTTCTCCTGGTGGTCGACCGGATTACGAAGATCTCGACATCTGAGGGAAAACACGGCATACATTGGACAGCTCAGAACCAATTAGACGATTTGTACTTCGCAGATGACCTAGCCCTCCTATCGCATACACACGAACAAATTCAGATAAAAACAGCCAGCATAGCAGCACTCTCTGCATCAGTAGGTCTCAACATACACAAAGGGAAAACCAAGGTCCTCAAACACAACACGGAGAACAGCAATCCAATCACTCTTGATGGCAAAACTCTGGAAGACGTGGAATCCTTCACATATCTGGGAAGCATCGTCGATAAACAAGGAGGTTCAGATGCGGACGTCAAGGCAAGGATTGGTAAAGCTAGAGCGGCATTCCTTCAACTGAAGAACATATGGAACTCAAAACAAATTTCAACCAATATCAAAGTCACAATCTTCAATACGAACGTCAAGGCAGTTCTACTGTACGGAGCTGAAACTTCAAGAACTACAACAACCACCATCAAGAAGGTACAGGTATTTATTAATAGCTGTCTACGCATGATACTCAACATCCATTGGCCGGATACCATCAGCAACAGCCTTTTGTGGGAGAGAACCAACCAGCTCCCAGCTGAAGAGGAAATTAGGAAAAGACGATGGAAATGGATAGGACATACATTGAGGAAATCATCAAACTGCATTACGAGACAAGCGCTAACTTGGAATCTTGAAGGGAAGCGGAAAAGAGGAAGGCCAAAGAACACATTACGTCGGGAAATAGAAGCAGATATGAAAAAGATGAATAAGAACTGGAAAGAGCTTGAAAGGATTGCCTAGGACAGGGTTGGATGGAGAATGCTGGTGAGCGGCCTATGCTCCTTCATGAGGATTAACAAGCGCAAGTAAGTAATTGAGTAATATGTCCTCTTTTCTTTCAGAAACAACTAAGATATCGTCCACATATCTCATATAAATTACATAATACAATTCACTAATGTAAATAACTCATCATCATTTATATACTTTTTTTATAAACAGATTTATGTTACTTAATAAAATTAAGTAGTAGTATATCTCAATAAGTTAAATTTATGCCATGATTTCATTCGAGCACCCCACCCTCTTCCTCCACCTCATAATCGATCAATAATATCAATATTTTATTTTTACAACAAGGAAGGTAAACTAATAAAACAAATTACATTTTTTTTGTACATTTATGATCTAAATAAAATAAAAGAATTTTTGATGTTTTCAATGAATAATTAAATGGATACTCTATGCTCAATGGGCTATTGATTTTTAAACTAAGAGATATGTATGTATACAATAGTTACTAATTCATTATCTTATATACTTCTTGGACATGATAATACAGGTATACAATAATTATCTACATAATCATTGAATTGATTAATAGTTGTTAAGGGATTATGATGTAACCAATGATTTAATGTTTGATCCGTTATAGATATGGAATTATTATTACTATTATTGTTGTTAGGCAATTGATTAGGTAATATATTATCATTATCCGTATTATTATTATTAGTAGTAGTATTAGTAGTAGTAGTATTGTTATGATTATAATTTAAATATTGTTTATTAATAAATGAATGATGTAAATGAATTGGTAATTGTGATGGATTCATTATTGAATTTTTAATTTGATCATCATTCAATAGATTCATTTCATTTGAATTTATTGATTTTATTGAATTTATTGATTTTAAATGATTAGAAAGAAATGTAGATGATTTTTTTAATGGAATTGATAATTTAATTGATTGATTATCAATAGTATGATGATGATAATGATGAAATTGATTTAATTGATATTGATTATTGAAATTAAAATGAAAAATATTATTTTTATGTATATTTTCATTTTGTTCATTATCATCACTTAAACTTTCTTCATATGAACTATCATTATGATCATCATTTGGAGACCATACTGTTATATGATTATTATTATTATTATTATTATTATTATTATTATTATTAGGATTTGTATTCATAATATTATTCTGTGTTGAATAGGATGTGATCATAGTAGGCATTAATTGATTATTATTATTATTATTATTATTGTACATGGAATAATTTATCCAAGGATTGATTTGTTTATTTAAATCAATAATATTTACATTATTTCCAATAGTATTAAAGTTTAATCTTGAAGATGTTGGTGGTGGTGGTGTTGGTGGTGGTGTTGTTGTTGTTGTGGTGGTGGTGGTGGTGGTGGTGGTGGTGGTGGTTATTAATTTACCTGGATTTGAAGTATATAAACAAGAAGAAGAAGCGGGACAAGAAGCAGGACAAGAAGAAGAACAAGAATATCTAATATTGTTCATTATTGATTGTGTTGTAAGATTTAAAATATTTTTCTCATATTGATTTAATGATTGAATATCTTGTATTATAGGTGATTTATCATAAGTATTAGACATTGAATAAATAGGTGGATAATTTAAATTAGATTGTTGTTTATTCATGACATTTATCATTTCATTGATATTATTCTCATTATTAGTAATAGTATTATTAATATTGTTTAAATAAGATGAAGTGAATTCATGAAAATGGAGATAATTATTAACATTTTCTTGTATATAAGGATTCATTGAAGATTGTTGATGATAACAGTATTCACTAGATGAAATATTAAATGGATATTTATTATTGTTTGTTTGTTTGTTCATATCTAATTCATCAATAATCATTAATTGATTCATTTTTGAATGATCAGTGATTATTTTATTATTTTGTTCATTATAAGAATTCAATTGAGATATACATTGGGTAGGATGAGGATGAGGTTGATAATGATGATGATGATGGATGTATTGATTTTGATTGTGATCATTGTTAATTATGGGATATGAATCACATAAATAATCTTTTTCAGATTGTAAATCTATTCTATTGAATAATTCTCTACAATGTTTGATCAAAAAAATTGACATAAAGATTTAAACTACTGAAATGTTATTTTAGTAGTTTTAAAATTAAATAGAAAATATTTCAATTCCATATTATGTATATAATTCTTATCATCATTATTAATACTAGAAATAATAATAACACAAGCTGGTATCAGTGAATAACCAATAATGGCATAAAATCACATCATACTTAACTTGATCTTTTCACGGATTTTAGGACAGTTTATCGTTGTAGATTAGATTCAGTAGTTAAGTGGATAAATCGATGACATTTGAAGTGAACGATACTGGGTTCGAGTTCTGGAGTGAACATCAACACTGAGATGTGGGTACATTCAGCTGACGAGTTGCAAACAGAACGAAAGAGTCAGAGAATTCCATTGGTCACAGTGGACAGTGATGCAATTTCGTGAATTTGTTGAAGTTAGACATTAATACTACTGGATCTCGGTCACTCAGTGGTCTATAGGTTAAGCGTTCGCGTACGAGACTGATAGATCCTAGGTTCGAATTTCGGGAGGTAGATTCGTGGTTGTGCAATGCCACGAAGAAGTTCCATAATAGTAAAAGTTGGCCATCCAGTACTTTCAGGTTTTCCATGGTAATCTAGTTTCAATAACCTCATGAATTCAATTAATTGATTGTATATTTAGAATGAATAAAGATATAGTTAAATATTGTACACCTTTCATTCATTATAAGAAATCAAATTAAACGAATGACATTTTATCATGAAATGTACATCATAATTGGTGGGAATATTTATTATTTGCTTTAAGTAAACATACAAATCCATCTATATTAATCAAAATAAATTCATAAGTGTAATAACCATAAAACTCTATTCATGAATTGGAATGTTTATTCTTTTTATTATTAATATTCAAATGATTCAATTCAGTTTTATTTATTTATCTATTTATTTATATAAATCAATAAAACTTGTTGAAACCGGTTAAAAAATTTTTTAAAAAAAAAGAAAAGAAAAAAGAGAGAAAAGAAAAAAGAAAAAGATTGGAAAATAAATAGCTAACATTAGAATATAGTTTATTTGATCATTTGTTTAATCAAAATTACATAGATCGATAGATAGATAGATAGATAGATAGATAGATAGATAGATAGATAGATAGATAGATAGATAGATAGATAGATAGATAGATAGATGTGTGGATAGATCGATAGATAGATAGATAGATAGATAGATAGATAGATAGATAGATAGATAGATAGATAGATAGATAGATAGATAGATAGATAGATAGATAGATAGATAGATAGATAGATAGATAGATAGATAGATAGATAGATAGATAGATAGATAGATAGATAGATAGATAGATAGATAGATAGATAGATAGATAGATAGATAGATAGATAGATAGATAGATAGATAGATAGATAGATAGATAGATAGATAGATAGATAGATAGATAGATAGATAGATAGATAGATAGATAGATAGATAGATAGATAGATAGATAGATAGATACGTTAGAATAACCATTTCATATACCTCAACTGCTTATGGTTATAGATGTACAACATAGAATAAACAGCAAACGAGAAACGAATAACTAACCGAATTCCCCTAAGTTAATGTTAATTCGTAATTTCACTTTAAAAAATCTAATTCTCAAATTTGTAGATTATATTCATTACAAATTGATTGTGGATGAGCACTGTTGAGGGGTCTCAAACTAGGACGAAACGGCCGTTTAGTGCTTCCAAGTTTTCCATGGTAGTCTAACTTACATTGATGCATGAATTCAACTATTATATTGATTTCAGTTAGGATACTACTAAAAACCAGGAAGAAAATGACCGTTGTTTTATCTTAGTTTAGAACTTTTAAACAGTGTGTAATCATAACCAACATCGGGTCCAGATGAAGAACTGTACAATATTCTTTGGTGCTTAATAATATCTCAACTAACATTAGTCTGTAAAGAATACAACTTGGAAACTCTAATCATTTTAGCTCATTATAAAATTTTCATTTAAATATATCATTCTTGTACAAATGAGTAACTATCTGAACTCAATTGTTAAATGAATAACGAATTGAGAGTTTAAAGGTAATAGTACTATGTTTGAATAACTCCGCCTAGAGCCCCTCTGGGACTACTGCCGGTCACGAACACGGATAAAGGAGGAGAGTTGGGCATGAGGTTAGTGACCCCATCCAGTAGAAGACTAACTCACTAAAATATGCTAATCAGAAAAAATTATTCAAACCATTTAAACTCTGCTCTAGGAGTTAGAAAGTCTTTATTTAGAAGAGTTATGACGCCTCATGGTGAAAGTCAACTTCCTTCGGAAGTCACGAGGCTGATACCTATTCTAACGACCAGAGCAATCATTTATTAAAGTACATGGAATTTTCATAAAATATGGGAAACCAAGAAATGAAGAAATACAACCTGGTTGTGTTTGCAATCAATCAAACACATTCGACTCAAATTGGACAACAAAGATTAACTTCAGAGAAACTTCTATTATACTCCAACTATGAAGAAGAAAATACTACACATACACACATATGGTCGATAGTATTCGATCTTCACTAATAACGACTAGACACGCATGACATTGATCATTAGCCATTGATCCATCAATTGGAATTTTTATAGATATTATAGTAATTTCAATAGTTCAGATCATGAGTTAATTAAACCTAGACTAATATGAAAACCCTGAAATCATTGAATAGCCTTTTCACTCCTTACAACTATACATTCACTCATTCCATCACATTAGATTCAAACCCATAACCTATCCATCTCATATGTGAACACTTAATCTCTAAACCAATTGAATCAGTTAACATTTCACTCTTATTAACTGTAATCCATTTCTTCTATTAAAAATTATATAAAATATAAACACAATAACATCAATGGTTTATATATACCATAGATTAGATTATATCATTACAAAACAAACAAACAGACAAACAATAAAAACAATACACCATAATTAGTTACCATGGTGAAATGATCACCTTCTTAATACAATTTATAATGTATTATATTTTCTTTTATTTTTCATTCATTTCCTTTATTTATTTAGATTCTCTTTTTTATTTTATTGATTTCTAATATTGATAGATTATGTAATACTATGTTATGTAATCATTCTTAATGAAATAGTCTAATGGATTTCTACCTTTTGATGGTGATTATTTTGAATATTCCCATTATTTACTCTATTTATATTGATTATTTTAATTAATTTACTTATTTTTATTATTATTATTATTATTATTATTATTATTATGATTTTGTTTTATAGAAGTGTGCTAGAATAGTAAAGGATTATCCATTAGTTCATTAATTAGGTTAGAGTGTTAATAATGACATTAGTAAACAAATCTATATTTTTTGCTTATTTTGTCCACCCCTATCCCACTCCACTCTCACCCCCACCACACCTTCACACCCCACCCATACCCCCACCTATATTTCTACTTTCCGCTTACTTTTAAATGGATGGATACATAATCAAACATTTAATTAGTAAACATGTGTTACGCTAAATTTTTTGGTTTTTTTTTTGGTTTTTACAACTTAAATAAATAAAAATGAATATAATAGTTTGTGTAAACAATTTTATTCTTTAAGCTAAATGATTTAATTGTATAGCTTTCATTGTTCTTTTGAATGATCGTGAATGTTTAATTCTATCTGATCATCTAGCTATTTCCAATATATTGATCTAAAAGATATATATCAATATTGAAGAAATCCTAAGAACTTCTCGTTCTAACAATAATAATAATAATATATTCAGTTGGTGTTGTTTTCTTGTATCTTCCAATTGGTATTTAGGATTGCAATTGATCAGTCTCTTATTGGAATATCAATGGTTAAAGATCATGAGTCAGTTGAAGCTAGATCACCATGGAAAACCTGGAAGCACTGAATGGCCGTTTCGTCCCATTATGGGACTCCTCAGCATCGCGCATCGACGACCTCACCCTCTACGAGATAAGAACCCAGGACCTACTGGTTTCACGCGCGAGCACTTAACCATTAAACCACTGAGCCCACCAGCATCCAACGGTGTTAATGTCTAAATTGAACTAATCCACGAAATTGAGCGACATATCCACCATTGTCTTCAGTGAGTTACTATCTCACAACAAACCTGGTTGAACTCCACTGGTCACTACTTCTCACTAGAACTCGAGGATATACCTCTTGAAGCCAGTCACTTATTGGAATATATGCATCTTCTGTGGACAGCTTCTATATTACCTGAAGTCATAAACTTTATAAGCAAAGATGGATAGTGGCTAGTAATGAAATCCAGGACACGTGTTTCATCGTCAGCTGAATATACCTACATCTGAGAGTTGATATTCACTCTGGGACTCGAACCTAATACCGTTAGCTTCAAACACTTAGCTACTCAGCCCTAATGATAATAATAATAATAATAATAATAATAATAATAATATGGACCATAGAATGTCTAATATGAAGAATGAGAACAGTATCATAGTGACGAATCAATTAGATATAAGGTAATATCCCTTCAACATTTTCTACTCAATTCAAAATTCAATAATAATTAATAACTATTTTATAAAGCGCTCAATTCTATCATGAAGAATACTTGTAATTTAGTAAGGGAAGTGTGGAAGGATTAGGCAAACGGATATATTCAACAGTTTTATATTCTTTAACTTAAAGGACATTCAAAGAACAACAAAAACAATGTTCCTTAAAGTAAAGGATTCAAATCAATCTGAAATCAATGATCTTATCAATAGAGATCTTTATTTTATCATGCCTATACAAGCATAACCAACTAATCATATTGTTATATATCAATCAAATAATACAATGAGAAGTGTAATTGATAAAAACTTTCAATGACTAACATTTTAGAATAGGCTAATTGATCACTAGTAGAATTGAAGAGAAAATTTCATGTTTAGTACATAGAGATTACAAAAGAACATAATCTAAACTTAATTATACTAACTACAGAAAATAATGATTATCCTGTGGTGT